GTATGGCGGCCGCCAGGGCCGGTGGAGTAGGCAGAAGGAGGGCTGTGTCCACCAGCCACCCCAGGACAAAGCCTTATTCTCACAGTTTCTGAGGGTCACAAATTTGGAAGCAGACTAGCTTGGAGTCAGGGTCTCAGGAGGTTGCAGTCAATGGTTGTGCAAGGGGCTGGGGATTTAGCTCAGCGGCATAAGCGCCTGCCTTGCTAGCCTGTGGTCGTGAGTTCAATTCCTGGTACCAGTAAAAAAAAAAAAAAAAAAAAAAAAAAGGTTGTGCAAGCCTGTAATCCCAGCCCTTGGGAGGCTGAGGCAGGAGGATTCCAAGTTGAAGGCCAGCTTGGGTACCCTAGCCAGATTCTGTCTCCAAATAAAATTTAAAGGGCTGGGGATGTGACTCTACAGTACCTGGGTTCAACCCCCAGTACTGGGGATTGGAGTGGGTGGGGGAGATGCTATCCAGGACCACAGTCCTCTTGCATCTGACCAGGGCTGGAACAGCCACTTCTAAAATGGTGCCCTCCCCTGGTTAAGGGCAGGGTGCCCTCGCCATCAGGCTGACCTCTCCGCAAAGCTGCTGATGACCTGCAGCTGACTTGTGTCAAAATGAAACCAGGTGTGGTGGTGCACACCTGTGATCCCAGCACTCTGCGAGGCTGAGACAGGAGGAGGGTGACTCTGAACCCACCTTGGGCAACTTAGTGATTTAGTGAGAACCTGTCTCAAAAAAAAGAAAAATTGGGGCTGGGGATTTAGCTCAGCGGCATAAGCGCCTTCCTTGCAAGCACGTGGTTGTGAGTTTGATCCCCAGTACTGATTTAAAAAAAAATTGAAAAGCGGTGGGGATGGCAGCTCAGTACAAGGCCATGTTCCAATCCCAGTAAAACACACACATACACTCACTCTCAACAAGAGAAAAGAAAGAGAGGGAGACAGAATACAAGACAAAAGCCACAAGGTGTTCCTTAACCTGGACTCAGGGGTGACACAGCACAGCTCCTGCCACCCTCTGCTGGTTGCAGGACACCACTGCCAGGCCACATGGGTGCTCTTCTGGGGCTGCCTCCAAGGCCACTGCCACAGGCTCCGAGAAAACACAAACTCACCGACGCTCCGATGTTTTCAACACACACAGGAAGATTTATATCCGCTTCACTCCACTCATGGCTCAGGGATACATAAGTGATGGCTGCGCAGAAGATAAACAGCCCTTGCCTGGTGGAGGCACTCACCAAGCCAGGACGGACGAGGCTAAGAAGAGCACTTGCAGCCCCATGCTCAGCTGTGACACGTGTATGGGAGGGAATTACCACACGCGGGCTGGCCTCTGAGGCCCAGGAAGAGAGATGGTGTGTGAGTGTGAGCACACACGTGTGTGTATACCTATGTGTGGCTGCTGTTGGAGAAGTTTTCCATCTCAAAGCAGGAAGCCAGTGTGTAATTTCTAAATCTGAAAAAAAGCAGAAATATTAGCACACTGCTTAGAAATAAATACCAGAAGGATGGGCTACATCCTGCGAGGAGGAGGAGTCAGGAGGGGTGGAAAGCAAGGAGGTGCTATGTTTTCACTGCAAGCCTCGCAGAACTGTTTGATTATCCAGCGATGCACAATTATGACTTTGGTTAGAAAAACACACAATGGGGGCTGGGGATTTAGCTCAGAGGCATAAGCACCTGCCTTGCAAGCAGGTGGTCATGAGTTCGATCCTCGGTATCGATAAAAATGAAAAAGACAAAAAAGAAAAACACACAATGAAACTGAAGTAACTGAAAGTAAGACTCTGACTATCCGAGCTGCCCCGACTCTGAGCTGCCCCTGGAAAGGCAGGGCACCATCCCTCCGAAATCCTGTTTCTCCTTCCCTTTGCCCGTCCCAGGTCATTCCGTCCTTCTGTGCGTCTCAGGCCTTGTCCCCCTCTTAGCCTGCCTCCGCTTCCCTTGCCTGCCTTCTCAGCATACTCCATGCTGGGCGGGGAGGAATGGGACAAGGAGCAGGGGCTGTTCCAAGGGGAGGGAGCCAGCTGTGTCTGGCAGGGCCTGTGTGGCCCCCGACCTCACCCTCTGGCCACCCAGGGCACCAGGAAGCCGAGGGCAGCTGTCTCAGCCTCCAGCCTGCAGGGAGGGAGATGAACGGGGGCGCTCTCGTCCTTCTTCCCCACGACCCCTCGCCGACTATCCCGCATGGGATTCATCTGTGTGCCTTTGCCTTTAATTAAAGTTTCATAAAAACACAGGACCTGGCCAGGCCAGTGCAGCTGGACTGCTGGGCTAGGCTGCTTATGGGAGGGTGAGGCAGGCTGGGCATCCTGCCACCCGGTAGCACCCCAGTTTCCTCTCCTCTGAAAGATCAAGCCAGGGGCTGACAGGGCAGGTGAGGGCTGCCTGCTGCTTAGCCACAGCCCCGGGAGAGGAGGGAGGCCGGGGCCTGGCTGCTGGTGCAGATGTCCCACGTGCCCCAAACACCACAGCTTTTTCTGGAGATGCTGACCCCACACCCACTGAGAGAGAGGCACAGCTGTGAATGAAGTGACCTGTTCAGGTACACTAAACCCGCAGTGGGTACAGCTGGTCCCTCCTGGCCCTGCCTTGTTCAGATTTTTTTTTTTTTTTTTTTGTCTTTTTGAGACAGGGTCTGGCTATGCAGTTCAGGCTGGCCTTGAGCTCATTTTGTAGCCTAGGCTGGTCTTGAACTCGCAATAATCCTCCTGCCTCAGCCTCCTGAGTGCTGAGATTACAGGAGTGAGCCACCACACCTGGCTAGTTCTCAGTTTGTTTTTTTTTTCTTCAGATATTTAAAAAATTTATTTATTTATTTATTTTTGTAGCAGGGATTGAACTGGCAACCTTTCACTTGCCAGGCAGGTGCTGAACATCAGTGTCCAGTCCTGGCACAGCCCCCTTCCTGACAGCTGCAGGAGAGGGCAAGGCAGACAAGCAGGGCCCCCCAGTAGGGGACTTGGGCCTGACCCAGTACCAGGCCAAACCACCTCCTGAAAGCCTGCGCTCCCAGCTGCAGGCAGGAGGGGGCTGCTGGGAGGGGGCCTGGAGCAGCAGGTGAACTGGAAAATCTATTTGGAGCCCACTGAATTATTAAGAGGTTCAAGAATATTACCATTGACAGCAAGCTGTGGTCTGCTGAGGCGGTTCTCACTGAGGCTCTATTTTTAAGGTTCTGTGGGAAGCGGCTGAGACACCACTGCACTTAGGGTCCCCCAAGGGTCCCTCTGCCCCAGCCTCACACTTTACTGTCCCCAGGGAACCCTGGCCTGTCCACGTGCCTCTTTGTGCACCCCAGACCCTCGTACCCTTCTTCTGGGGCCTGCCCAACACCCTTTGGCAGATGGGGAAAGGCCCCACTGGTTCTGGACTGTTGTCACTGTCTACCACCGAGGGAAGGACTGGAATCTCAGAGCTGAGGAGATGCCCTCACTGTCTCCTGCTGACCTGGTATTAAGGTGACCATTAGCAGTGAGGCCAGGGGCTTGCAGCCCAATGCCTCCACCCCTCCAATGCTGTGGGCCCTGTGCTGCGCCCCATCACTCCTCCAGCTAAACTCTTTAGCCCCTCGGAGGTTTAAAGGCTCCCTTCATTAAACCCTAGCCGTGTGGCAGAGGCTCCTGAGAAGCTGTGCCCTGCCAGCCCTGTGCCCGAGTCTCGCCCCATCCAAAGACTTTGGAGGAGGCTGGCTCTGCATCTGCTAGGTCCTGAGGCCGGGTGACGGGCAGCTGTCTGCTGGGGGAGAGCTGAGCAGGCCGCAGGCAGATGTGGGTTGCAGCCTCTGAATCCTGGGTTAGGTGGGTCTTTCGCAGGGACCTGACCTCCGGGCACCAGCAAGAGTCAGGTCACTGTGGGGCACCCCTCAGACCTGCACCAGATGGACACAGGCTACGAATGCAGGAATCAAGGTGGACTGTTTCTAGAGACCTCATAGACACAGAAAGAAAATACCACAAACAAGTAAATGTACACCACAGAATCAGGTGTGGGGTCAAATTCCAAGCACACAAACCTGCGACCACCGAGCATCTGGGACACAAGAATTTTGCAGCTCAGCAATAAACACAGACAACCCGATTATAAGAGGTGGGAAGTAGAGGATGTGGAGATGGTTTTCCCAAGGTGTACGACTGGCCAGCAGCACCTGAAAAGGTACGTGGCATCATCAGTCACAAGGGACCCTTGAACCCAACTCTCAATGCGACACGTTGTGTCCCCAGGATGGCTAGAATGCAAAGGACAGCCGGCCACAAGCTGAGGATGACCCGGGAGCCTGGGTGCCTAGGTGTGCCCGCGCTGGCAGGGCTGGGACGCAGTGTGGGGCATCTTGGCAATTTCTCACTTCCTCTCCTAGGTGCGCAAAGGCGGCAAACACTTGTGGCAGCCTCACCTGTAACACCCCCGACCAGCAGCAGCCCACATACCTGCCACCTGGTTTGTGGAGCTGAAATGTGGCAGGTCCTCACAGCAGATTTAGTCACAGAAAGGAGCGAGGTAGAGGAAGGCCATGGTTCATGAATGAGTCCCGCTTTGGGAGAACATTTGTGAAGCTGGATCCACTCATGATCATGGGGAGCCTTATACCCCCACCCCCACCCCAGTTCCCAGCTCCACTGTTTGTAAGTCAGGGATGCACTGTAGTGACACACAGTATGACACAGATGAACCCTGGAAGTGTGGGAGACTGGACATGAGGACTGGACACAAAGAGGGTCAGGGTCCAGTGAGCACGTCCAGAGGCAGGAAGTGACCAACGGCTGCCAGGTGGCTGCTGACAGATGGGGTTTCCCTTTAGGGACTGAGAATGTTCTGGAACTAGACCACGGAGAGGGAGACAGACCATGGATGTTCTTACTTCTGCTGCACAGACATGGTCTCACCACATAGCCCAGGCTGGCCTTGATCTCAGGCTCAAGCCATCCTTCTATCTCAGCCAAGGGGCTGGGGCCAGAGGTGCACGTCTAAGTGCCTGGCTAGGAAAAGCCCAGGACTGCACACTCCAAAAAGGCTAGAATTGTGAATTTTATTTTTTATTTTATTTTATTTTAATTTTATGGTACCGGGGATCGAACTCATGACCTTAGTGCTTGTCAGGCAGACACTTATGCCACTGAGCTAAACTCCCAGCCCTGGAACAGTGAGTTTAATTTCACATGTTGTGGATTTTTTTGTTTGTTTGTTTTTTGTTTGCTTGTTTTGTCTTTTTCCTTTGCATCGGTACCAGGGATGGAACTCACGACTGCCTGCTTGCAAGGCAGGAGTTATGCTGCTGAGCTAAATCCCCAGTCACGGTGAGTTTAATTTCAAAACAAAAACTAGGCACACGAAAGCTGTCTGCAGGGGAGGTGAGACTTGGGGGCAGGGTGCTGGCCCCGTGTGTGCAGGCACTGGGCTCCAACCCCCAGCACTGCAGTTTATCTACACTTTCCTTGGGGCTCTGGCCGCCCCTCACTGGGAGGCAGTGTGTATGAGTGTGTGTGTGTGTGCTGGGCAGGCCTGTTGTGGGTACTGGCTGTGTCCCTTGTGAAGACTCAGGCCCCATGGAGGGGGCGTGGCCACCTCTGCCTGTCCCCCCTTGAAGCTGCCTCTGCATGGGGCCACCACTTCTGAGCCTCCAGATGGAACTAGGGGCTCCTGACGGGGAGCACAGGCCACCACCCCAGGAGGCCGCTCCTGCCTGCCCAGCCGGAGGGAGCTGAAGCCAGGGCTACCCCACCCATAGCTGGGTGGTAGAATAGAACTCCTACCTGGTTTCTTGTCATCTGGTTAGCATGGCCATCAGGCCTGATCTCTGTGGGTCCCGTTTCTCCAAACTAACAGCTTCTTTCTACCCAGGTACCACCACGTGTCAGGCTTCATGCTAAGCCCCTTATGGATGTCACCTCATGGGACCTCCCAGCCACAAGGAGGGAGGACAGGCATTATCCCCACCTGCCACGCGCTTTACCAAAGCACCAGGGAGACAGCTCTGCTGAGCCTCAGCCCTGCACTTCTGAGCAGCCACTGGTCCTCTGGGGCTTGGGAGGCCAGACGGTGGGGGCAGCTGTGAGCCCCCGCCCTGGGTTCAGGCGGTTTTTGGGGGAGCCCCAGGAGTGTGCTGAAGTCTGTGTGGGCCTGGCCATGCCCTGAGACCCCACTACTAGGCACCCCATCCTCCCTCCATGTCTCGGGTAAACCCCAGGAAGGCAGGCAGAGGGCATCCCCATGAGAAGACAGGTTCTGGGCAGGGCCAGAGCACTCTACTTCAGGGGGTGCTGGGGCCTGGGTGGGGAGCCTGGCAGCTGTCTCCTTTGGATGGGCTGGATGCCAGCATGTGTGTGTGTGGCACAGCAGAGCCTGGCACATCCAGCACATGGGCACTTTCATCTCGAGACCCTCCTTTCCTCTCCTCTCCATCCTGACCCAGAACTAGGGAACCTGGACCTACCTGCCACCTGTCAACCCCACTGTGGGCTGTCAGTCTCTGGCCTGCTGGGCACCTGAACCCCCAATCCTCTGTGTGCTCTGGGTGGGTGATCTCATAATGTTCTGGTCTGGCACTCGCCTTGGGCACATCTGTCCTGGGCCAGTGACCACCCAGATCACCGAATGCTGGAGGAGGCAGGGCAGCCAACAGTGCAAGAGGTGTCCTGCTGGGTGCTCTGGTCAGCATTTCCACTTGGGGAGGTTGCTAGCATCCCGAGAGGCCTTTCCTCAGGATAGTTACTTCCTGAGGTTGCAGTGGGAGGCTAGCTGTTGGCATCTTCATGGTGCCCAGCTCCTGGTGACTGCCAGGCTTTGCCCTGCTGCTTCTGGCATCCTGGTTGCATAGTTTCTGGGTCTGTCCCAGGTCTCTGCTGGGGTCCTCAGTGCACCTGCCCTCTTCTGCTGGCCCTGCTGAGCCTCCTTTGGGATGTGCCTTTGATCCTGGTCTCTTCTGGCTCCTGCAATAACATTGAGAAAGGCACAGCCTCAAAAGGGGTTCTGGAACCAAGAGACCCTGGAAGAGCTGCTGACAACCACGGATTAGCAATCCGGGCAGAATTTGATGGCCAGCTGGACAGGTTCACCTTGATCCAGCCTGGCGGGTCCAACTGTGAAGTGGGGGTTTCCAGTGCCCTCTCCCAGTTCTCAAAGCAGCCTATCCAGGCCTGCGAACAGCAGCTTGCTGCCAGGGAAAGGAGCCGGGGAAGCGCAGCCTTCAACGATTCACCCCTTGGCAGGACCCTGGAGACGAGGAGCCCAGGAGGCGGGGCTGGGAGCCCACGCCATGCACAACACCGTGTCTGCCACCTGCCAATGCTCCTGACTTCGTGGTCCTCATTTGCAAGGCAGGGTCAGGGTAGCTGCTCCAGGCAAGGCCACTCCAGGCTAGCTGGTCCAGGCCCTGCAAGGTCAGCTGAGGCTATCTGCCACACCATCTCACTCTACCCTAGAACCTGGAAGGAAAAGTTACTCTGCCTGCCTTGCAGAGAAAGAGACAGAGGGTGTGGGGCAGCCCTGTTGGGAGGTGGGGCTCAGACTCGATGGCCGTAGGGTGCTGTTTCTGGAGAGCTCCCTCCAGGCTCGAAGCCTACACCCTCAGGGACCTCTCCTAGCCAGGCCTGGCCCTGCTCCATGGGTCCTGAGCCCCAACACTGCAAGCAGGAAGAGGCTGCCTGTGGGCATCCTAATGGCCCCTGGAGCTTACCTCTCCAGCCCTGGTGCAGGTGGCCCGGAGCAACACAGAGTCCTGCGAATGTACTCTCGAGAGCGGATGTCAGCCTGAAGGAACAGACAGTGCAGGTGAGCAGTGGCAGGCCCTTGGCTGGCTGCTGAACAGACAGGGAAATGCCTTTGTACCCCTTACGGGAAGCCGCTTGGGGCCCCTTAGCTCCTACAGCTCATCCATGTGTGACTGACAGGGTGCCAAGACCTCAGGGGCTGTGGACCTGCCACTGAGGCTGGGGGTGTCCGGGCTACTCAGCTTCCCTTGTGCTCACAGCCCCTCCCTCCAGGGAGTTCTGCTTTGAGTGGGGGGACTCATGCGGGCCAGACCTCACTCTGGGTCCCTTTCTGTCTCTCTGGCTAGTGTCAGCTGTGACTGCTGCCTGTCTCCCAAAGTCTTGCAAAATTACTGAGAAAAAAGGGCTCAAGGGTCACAGATGGGGACTTTGACAGATACAGTGGAGGACACAGAATGGGGTCACACTGTGTGGGACCCCCCCCAGACAGCCTGGCCTCAGGAAGCCCCCTGATCCAGCTCAGATGGGTTTAGCTTAGCTTTGGGCTTTGTGACACAGTGACAGCCACAGCTAATCCCCAGACAGCCTCTGCTGCAGCTCACAGGGCTGTGGGCGGGTAAGCAGGGGTTCCCCAGGGTAGAGCCCAGCCTGCAGTGGAGCCTGCACCTGGCACAAGGAGCACAGCAGCACTTGTGACCAAGGGGCCCCACGGAAGCAGGAGAGGCGCCAGATGCCACACTGAGAGGGCGCAGCACTTAGCCCCGTCTCCCCGTCCTCCAGGGACTGCCAGATATGCAGCAGGGAGGGTCATACTGAGATGAGCGGGGCTAGGATGAAGGTGGACCAAGCTGCCAGTGCTGCCTTCCCCACCAGCAGACAGAAGTGGGCTCCAGGTGGCCCGCATCTCACACCAGCCGCCGTTTCCACAGTGTGGGCAGGATCCGGAAGGCTCTTCCCCAGCACCAGACATAGGACTGCCCCCACTTCTATGAGCTCGGGCAGCTGGCCCCTCACTTACAAGGTCGGGGGACCAGAGGCCCGCAGGTTGAGGGCCACACAACCCAGGGTTCTTGGGCCTCCTCTCATTAGACCCCAGGCGAGTGATGGAAGAGGAAAGGCCCCCTGGGGCTGAGGGCACAACTCACTGGCCTGGGGACCCAGAGTTGTGGCAGCAGCCTGGACCAGGAGGATGAGACTGTGGGGGCCGTTGCTGGGTGCTTATAAGCTGCTCAGCAGCCAGCTCTGGGCACTGCCACCCCAGTGATGTGAGTACTGCACTGGCGTGTGCTGCTGCACCACCTGGAGGCCACTCTACATGCCTGCAGGGGACAGGGAGGAAGATGGAGGTGGAGGCGGTTATCAGTCTGAGTCCAGGGGCACTGAGCCTGGTGTTTCCCCTGGGAGCGCAGAGGGATAGCTGAGCCGAATCTAGCAGGTGGCCTTCTGTCGGTGGCTGTGGGGCCAGAGTGGGCCAGGGAAGAGGCAGACAACAGGGAAGGCTGGGGCTCTTTCCCCAGCACTTAGCATGCCCAGAGGGCTCTAGGCTGGGCCGGAACTCCCAAAGACCCAACTGCTTCTGTGGCTCCGTGTCCTGTCCCTGAGCCAGGCTTGGGACGTAAATTGACTCCTACCCATCCCAGGCCTCCTGACCAAGCTCTTCCTACCCAAGGGCTCCCGAACGCTGTTCCAGTGTGCCCTTTGCTCATCTTCTGGGGGCTTCTCCTGGATCTCTGGCCTACGTGCTGCTTTGTAACACACACTGGCAGGTGACTGGGGAGCACAGGAAAGTGGTCCTGGGCCCTGGGTCCTCAGTTTCACTGAGCTGGGCCCTAAATGCTACACCCTGGAGACTGGCTGGGGCTCCTGGTGCCAGCATGAAGCTTCTTCAGCATGGCACTCCTTGCAAGGGCCTCCGAGTGTGAGCCACTCTCTCTGGGCAGGGGAGCAGAATGGTGACTGCGGCACCCTGCTGCCTGAGTGCAGTGCGCGGTGGCTTGGGCTAGGCAGCTTCTGCTCCCCTCCTCTGCCTCCAGAGCCTGGGGAAGTCAACTGGCTCGCCAGCAGGGAGCCTGGACCTGGCCCCAGCCCAGGATCATCCTGAGCTCACCCCGATGTTCCATGATCCCACTGGGGCTGACAGGCAGCAAGTGATAAGGAGCAGAGAGGAACTCATGCAGTGACACCACCCACAGGTGGCCCCACCTGGCGCACGGGCTCCGGGATCCGGAATCTGCAGCAGCGACGGGTCAGGCGCACGGCGGCCTCCAGGCTCATCTTATGGCCCACGGAGATGTACACGGGCTTGGTACTGTGGTCATGGCTCTTCAGGGCCTGTGGACAGGTGAGGCCAGAGTGCTGTGAGGGTGCATCCCTGTGTGGTCAGCACCGGCCTGGGGCTGCAGGCTCTGACATCTCAGGTGGCAGGCGGTAGCCTGGGGTGTGCGGTGCTCCAGTCTCCAGGTACCTCCCTACTTTCCCTCCTGGGCAGGGTGGGATGAGTGTGCCTGAGGTCCCCTCAGCTTCACTGGGGTCAGAGGAGTAAACAAACACAGGTGTCACATCACCTCCCTGTCTGGTGCCAGAGGCAGGGAGACACAGAGATGAGTGGGCCTGGATGCACACATGTGAGCGCGTGCAGGAGTCCACTGCCCAGCTGTCTTCCTCTCTGAGCTGGAGCCTGGGGAGGACAGACACTCACCATCCCCAAGACAGTCCCAGAGCTGCCCATCAGAGGAAATGTATCTCCCCCAGCCTGCAGGAGCCGAATCTGGAAAATGGGAAAGAAACATCCTCTAAGCTCGGTGATACATGCTTGATATATCCAGCATGGATGATGCCCTGGCTTTGATTCCCAGCACGGCAACAGAAGCAGAAACCAGAAGGGACTGAAAGTATGCTGCTTCTGCTTCTTTTTTTGTTTTTGGACTGGGGATAGAACTCTCAACCTCATGCTTGCCAGGCAGGCATCTGTGCCACTGAGCTAAATTTCCAGCCCCTTTTTATTTTTGGTACCAAGAATTGAACTCAGAGCCTCACGCTTGCCAGGCAAGCGCTGTGCTTCTGAGCTACATCCCAGGCCCTCCAGCCCTTCATTTTTAAAATCGAGTCGCAAGCCAGTCTTAGGTGGGGGCAAGGCCATGCCCCCGAGACAGTACTGAGTACACTGGGCAGTAGCATGACCAGGGCTTGTGTTGGGGGTACTGCCTGCAGGATCCTGTCTACCCTGATGACAAAGGCTCAAAGAAGGTGTGACAGCTCGCCAGGGCCACAGCATGGACCAGTTAGGCACAGGCCATGGACATGGACGCACAGGTGCTGCCCCGGGCAGCAGCCTTGAGCAGGATCACTACCTTACTATTGCTTCCTCCCCTACGAGGAATCAGGCCACATTTGAGTCAAGTGAATAAACTTTCTTTCAAGTGGGCAGAGTGGGTCAGGGCTGAACCAGCTGTTGGGGACCCTATCCATTTAACAAGCAGATACTGAGCAACTAACCACTCTAGCAGAGACACACAATCTCTGCTCTTGGAATGTGCTGTCCACCAGGAGGTGTGGATATCACTAGCTCCCTATGGATGGGACATCACACCCTAGTGCCAGTCCCAGCGACCTATAGGAGGAGATGGTGAGGAAGGGCATGGATGGAAGCTCTGGAAAGGCTTTGGCCAGAGAGGGTATCCACGGGGCAGAAGACACTGTGGGCATGGCCCAGGGCTGGGCTTTGTCAGGACTCTTAAGGGGCAGGCAGCCGAGGAGGACAGAGGCACATGGAAGCCCATCCTATTCCCAGGAGCTGGAGGTCTAATCCTGCAGCACAGAGGTGAGGCAAGTGTGGTACAGACGTTTCGAGGGCTGCCAGGATGTAGTGCTCAGGGCCAGGGGACAAGGGGCTCCCAGAGAGAAGCAGGTCCTGCCTGCAGGCAGGGCAGAGATGCCCGAGGACAGTGATGGCAAAGCTTTGAGAGCTTTCAGTGCTACCAGCCACCCACTGGGGCACATGTGCCATAAGCTCATCGCCACGGTCCTAGGAGGTGGCCAGTGCCTCAGGTACCCCGGGGCCTCCCAGCCATCACTGCCCACAGGTCCTTACCTTCTCCTTGTGCACAGGATTGTTCTCCAGCCCTTTCACCTGTAGGAGTTTCTTGGCCACCCCAATGCAGGGTAGCCCTGTGAGGACGCCAAGGTGGCAGGCTACTCCAAAGCCTGCAGGGGAGTGGAGAACAAGCTTGAGGCGGTGGGGTAGAACGGGAACTGCCTAGACTGGCACGATGCTGGGGAGGCAGACTGGGAGGCCAAGCTGACCTGGGACAAGATCCTATCTCCTTCGGTCACACCCCTGCTCTAGGGTCACACCCTTTGTGTGTGATACTGCTGCCAGGAGGCCAGTGCTTCCTGCGGCCAGTTTGGATGAGGGTGACACAGTCTATCAACTTCAGCCCCTCCCTGGGCCAAGCAGGCAGCGCTCCTGTGGGAGGCAGTGCTCACAGAAGCAGGGGGAGCACTGGGTGGGGCACTCTAAGTGGGGGCCCTGTGCCTTCTCACTGCTGAGGTCCACACTGGATGGTGGCGCCTTTAGGTGGGTTAGTGCAGGGTGTCTTGCAGGAGCAGGAAGATGTGGGCGTGGAGAGGGCAGAGCTCTTTTCTGAGGGAGGGACACTCCATCATGACGGTGAAAATCAGCCCAGACAGGAGCTGTGATGGAGCTTGAGGTGGCAGACATAGGAGATGCCCTCTGCCATCTTTCCTACCCCTCTGTCCGGGGAGCAGGATTACCTTGGTGGTGGAGCACCCCATTTCCATCCACAAGAAGGACCTAGAGCCACAGGAGGTCACAGTCAGCTGAATTGGCTGTCCCAGCAAGCGGGGGTGGGGGTGGGGTGGGTGGACTTTGTCACTGGGGCACAGCTTTTGGAAAATCCCGTTCCTCTCAGGCTAAGGGTGGTGGTGGGCTGCAGGGGCCTGCCCCTCCCCCAGGAATCCAATGGTCTCTTGCCCAAGGACATGGCACCTGCCTGGGGCATGAGGCTTGGCTCCTTCTCTTGCAGCCGATGCACCGCGTCTACTAGGAAGGGCGCCTCTCGGAAGGCCAGGAAGCCTGATACGTAGGGGGCTGTCAGGCTGATCACACGGCTGTCCTCGTATACCACCTGCCACCAGCCATGCAGATCAGCAAGCAGCCCGTGTTCCCTCCCACCACCCTGTCAGCCTCTTTTCCACTATGGGCTACTGGGTGGGGGTTTCACCTTGATGTCATCTCTAAGGTGCTTACTTGTGATCTGGTGTGAAGTGAGGTGCAGCCCACCCGGTCTCTCTCAGGGACTGGTGAAGGCTGGAGCCAGCCTCCCCCACCCTGGGTCTCCTCACCAGACTTTGTACAGCTGCTGGAGGCTCAGAGACCAAGCACAGGACAGTACTAGGGTGAAGAGCACCGGGGCTCAAGGCAGCACTGTATGAGGACTGGGAATGAGCGGAGGAGGCCGGTCTTCAGAGGCAGCAGCAATGGTTTCATGAGAAGGGATTTCAGGTCTTAGGAGAGAAGGGCAGGACGAGCTGGACAATCTGAGCACTTGGAAAGAAAACCTGAGGCTGTAACTGACTCCAGAGCTTCCGGAAGGGGCACCCAGGACAACAGACCATATATGAGATGCAAGGAGGCAAGGAGGACACAGGACCACAGATGGTCAGGGGCTTTCCAGAATGGCTGGGGACAACTGGAGTGATGTGATGTGCTTTTATTTTGAGGTACCAGGGATCAAAGCCAGGGTCTTTGCCCTGAGCTATATTCCCGGCTCCTTTTTGCTGTGAGATAGGGTCTCGGTTAGGCTGGGCTCAAGCTTCCAATTTTCCTGCCTTGGCCTCCCAGAGTTCTGGGATTACAGGCATGTGTGACCACACCAAGCTCTGAAAGCTTGTAAAGCACACCCACCTTCCAAGGGCTTCTCCAGCAGAGGCAAGACATGAAGCCCTCTAAGAAAGCAGCCTCTGAAAACCTGACTGGCCATCAAGGGCTCTGCTTACAGCACCTGAGGGCAGCGAGGGTTCTAACTGTGGGTTTCCGTCAGTCTCCTGGCCCAGTGAGGAGACAGCGTCCCATTCTCCAGTGCCCTCTTTCTTTCTTTTTTTTTTTTTCGGAGCCCTCTTTCTGCCTGCACTCTGTTACTAAATCTCTTGACTCTCTTGGTGATGGTTCCAAATCACAATTTTTATTGCTTTTTGAGGCTGGACCAATAAGCTAATGCACCTAGGTCTGTGTCGGCACAGAGGGCCCAAGCTTGGTCCCAACATCTTAATCAACAAGTCAGCAGGAGACGGATGAAACCTGCCAGTGACTCAGAGTGGGGCAGGTCCACTCTGGGCAGGTAAGAGACTACGACACCAGGTGAGCTCAGCAGGGCTGATTGCTGAAGCTTCACGTAAGATGACTTCACAAAGACACATGCGGAATTTAAGCACCCACAGCGTGATGGTGGCTGAACATATCAGAATGTATCAGAATACTTGCACACAAGCTCCTCAAACTGGCAAGATCAACAGGAAACCCACCCCACTCCTGATTTCCTGTGGTCACGGCCTAAGAAGCAAACACTGATGAACACCACTGTGGGCTTCTGAGCGGAAGAAAGCACAGGCTGCAGAACAGCTCAGACAGCGCGCTGGGTGGGCAGGGGGCTGTGGAGGGGGGCAGGGCGAGGCGGGGTCCTGATCAAAGTCACCTCAGATGCAAGCACTAAATTACAAAGTGACCAAAGGAAAATGATTCAGGCTCATAGCTCAGCAAGCACCACTGAGGACAGAAATGAAGCAAAATACTGAAAGAGGTTAAAAGAAACAGGGAAAAAGAACGCAGTGAAGAAAATCCAAAACCCATAGGACTGCATAGGGGAAACCACGGAACCCAACTAGCAGGTCTGTGTTTAAAACTACCCTCCAGCTGGGGGTGGTGGCTCACAATTGTAATCCCAGCACCCTGGGACGCTGAGGCAGAAGGGCCACAAGTTTGAGCCCCACCTGGGTAACTTAAGGGAGAACTTGACTGAAAAAACAAAACCAAACAAAACAAAATGAGCTACAGATGTAGCTTAGTCCAAAGGCCCTAGATTCAATCTCCAGGACTGGGGAAAAAAAAAAAAAAAAGCTCCAACAAAACAGAAAACTATAATCTGAGAAACACTCCAAAAACAAACGGGGATCTGACCCCACATCCTGAAGAGTCAACTGTGAGCTGGGAAACTGAACTGAACAGAAGGTACTTTGAGACACATGACAGTAGAAAAAAGAGTAAAGAAAACAGGCAACAATGGACAAAAATCCCACTGTAAACATAATACACCTGTCACAGCACTGAATAGGATGCAATGTTAAAAATTTATAGATCAGAAAACAAAGTAAAACCAGCTTTTAGACACGTAAGGGGGACGAGTGACTATGTCCAGTTTTGAGCAATGCCACAGGATCATTGTGGTCTTTCAGGGCCAACGTGCCTGCTGTTACACAGTACGTTACATGCAGGGTGGACTGCTCACGTACTCAGAGACAAGCTGCCACAACCTCTAGGACATGTTCTAAGCACTCAGTAAACACACAAAGAAAGCATGACATAACCAGCAACCGCAGAGTCTAGACAGGGTGTATGGCTGCATCTGATGTATCATTCCCCAATTTTCAGCATGGTTGTACACTTTCAAATTAAAAATCTTGGAAAAGAAAAATCAATCATGTAATTGTGTGTGGGCAAGAGCTAGATGGCAGCAGGTGGAGTAAACAGAGGCCGGGGCACAGATGAGGTGACTGAGACTGAGCCAAGGAGAGCTGCAGAGGGAAGAAACACTATGCTGCCTGCTTGCCACACATGACCTGCGCACTGGGATTAGTACCATCGTCAGCCCCAACCAAGAAAAAGAAACCAGAGGCCAAGAGCTGTGGGGAGTGGCACAGCTGGAGCCCAGAGTAGTAGTCTGGCGCTAGCATCTGTGCTTTTACCCTGTGCACTGCTGCGCAGAGTGATCAGGGACCAGTAAGGGCAGAGACCTTGGCTTCCTCACACAGATCTGGGTCCTCACACATAGTGGGCACTCAACACTTCTGTGCTGAACTGGGGCTAAAAAGGGCCTTCTGGTGAAGCACAAAGCCATGGAAGCAGGAAGATGTTGCTGCTCCCTTGGGGGCAAGAAGAGGAGTCATGCTGAAGCTGGGGTGCAGCCAAGGCTTCCTGAACTGGGGACTGCAAACAAACCATAGGCTCACTGCTCACGCATGCATGCCACCTGATGAGGAAGGCTCTGAGCATCTGCCAGATGTTGAGCCAGGTGCTGAGGCCACCTCTGGTGGGCAAGACGACCTGGTTCTTGCTTCCATGGAGTCTACTTTCTGGTAGAGGAAACTGGCCAATTCCACTCCATTCCAGTGTAACAAAGAGGAAATTCAGGGTTGGCTATGATCTCTTTGTCCCCTGCCCCCCAATACATATGAAGATCAAAGCCGCACAGTGATGGTGTTAAAAGGAGGTGTCTTTGGGAGATTACTTCACCATGTGAGGGCACAGTAAGGCAGCTGTCTGCAACTGGGAAGAGAGGCCTAACTCCGACCTGGTCATGCTGCATCCTGAAGTTAGACTTCTATTCTCTGGCCTCTGAGAAATAAATTTCTGCTGTTTATAAGCCACCTCATCAGTAGCAGCCCACACGGACTAAGACAAGAGTGCTGAGGATGAAGGGGCTCTCTGAAGAAGTACTGTATCAACTGAGCCCCAGGAGGAGTCAGAGCTGACCAGGGATGGAAGTAGGTTGCAAAGACAATGCAGCCTAATACAGCATGGCATGTCTCAGAGTCAAAGCCCTCCGGAGGGCAGGGTACGCTGAGGTTTGATCCTACAGCAATAGTCAAGCAGGGAGCAGATCATGAAGTCACGTCAATCAGTGTGAATTTTATTTACCACAATACCAGGAAGAGCCCTGACATGTTTTCAAGAGACTCCTGGTGATATAATCGCATTTTCTTTTTTAAGAAAATTGCTCTCCTAGCAGAAACCAAGCAGCACCACTTTAGGCACAGGGTCAGGAAAACACTGCTACTTGATGGGTGATGTCAGCAGATACAGAAAGAGATGAGAGGAGGCAGGCAAAGGAGTGAATTCTGCAAGATTTAAGAGGCAGAAACAAGAGGGGCAGGGCGAAATGAGCAAGAGGAAGAGAGAGAATTCCCACTTTTGCTTTCTTTTTCCCTTTAAAGACTTCTCAACCTGTTACTGAAAATTCTACAAAAGGGCTGGTCCGATGACAGTGGGTTATCAGAACTTATTAACATTAGTGTCACGTGGTATACCACCCCCCCCACTGCTAAATTTGATTGGCTTTAAAAGAAAAGAAAATTCTACAAAAGGAGGCCTATGGGTTTAATTCAGCAGTGGAATGTTTGCCTAGTATGTGCAAAGTCCTGGTTCCATTCTCAGCACCGAGCATAAAATAAATGAAGAAAGGAATCCTACAAAAGACGAGGCTGTTCTCTACCCTGAATTTATTTTCTGTCTTGCAGGTCTGTTCTCTCAGCTGAGGCGAACCCTGGTTCCGCGCCCCTCCCAGGTTACCTCGAGCTCGGGGTAGCTGAGCACCACCAGGGAAGCACAGGCAGTGACACTGTCCCCTTTCACGAAGGACACATCAACGCCCCCAACTCTCTGCAGACCTGAGAAGTCGGGATCCTGTTGCCAGGCCTCCGTGTCTCGGTCTACCAGGAGGGCCTTCAGCCGGGCTTGCTCCCTAAGAGGGGAGAAACATCAGCTGGCCCCGGCCCCCACACCGGACTCTTCCACCTCAACCCACGAGACCGCCGCGCCGGCTCGTCCGGGCGCGCGCTCTCCTCGAAGCGTCCTCCCTTGCGTCCAGGACACAGCCAGTCTTGCCATGGCTTATCCTCCTTGCGGGGAAGGCAAGGGACGCGCTGGTCAGGCCACAGCCCCCGGGAGCGGCAGAGGGGCGCGGGGTCAAGTGGGCACACGAGCGGGGAAGGGCGCGGGGAAGCCAGCGGGGTGGACTACAACTCCCGGAGACCTCTGGTCCGCGCCGGAAGCTGGGCCCGCCCGACCTCGGTGGCTCGAGCAACGGCCCCTGCGCCTTCACAGCGTGGGCTACAAGGTCAGCGGATCCGCAGAGAGGTGCAAAATCCCAACCCCTGGCTGCTGCGCAACGTCTCGTTACCGTTTCCAGAGCAACAAAATTTCTTCAGACGGCTGTCCCTCGGCCTTTTGGGCCATGACTCATCCCCCGGCGCGCTTCCGGCCAACGTCACTTCCGGTGAGCCAGCCGCGGCCGCTTCCTTCTTTACCTTGTAGTCACTGCCCTTGGCCATTGGAACTGGCACTGCTGGGGACCCCGCCGCCGCCAGGGGCCGCTTTTCAGCGACCTGGGTTTCGCGCCCGAATCCGCGGATACTCGTGGACTGGCTGGAAGCCCCGGGGGCCGCACACCCTCGAATCCTTCTTCGGGGTGCCCATGCACGATTCTCTGGTACCCGCAGTGGCTTGGCCTCCCCTCTGTTATCCCAGCGTTAGCGCTGTTCCTGCACCGTAGGGTGCTCTGCTTTTGGGAAAGGGTAGTTCGGCTCTCCACCCCCTGCTCTATCTGCCTTTGCCAGACTTCGAAGCCACTCGCCAGGGGTAACGACAGTCCAGCAGCGAACTCAAACACTTCCGAGGCTTGCCGTCGACGCGGTCCTTGGTGGCAGTTCAGTGGCTGTGGAAAGGGTTGGAGGGCAGAACTGTTCCCTGTTCAGTCCCGTGCAGTGTTGGGCGCGATTGGACACACAGGGGCTGCATCTTGCTGGGCAGAAAGCCTCATCTAGCAAAGTATGGCCTGCCATCTTTGGAACATTGTTTTTTGAGATAGGGTTTCACAGTGTAGTTCATGGTGGTCTTGAACTTACTATATAGCCCAGGCTGGCTTTGCACCGAGTGATCCTCCAGTGTCAGCCCCCCAACCCCAATCCAGTGCACGGTTTACAGGCCTGTGCCTTGCAGCATTGATTTTAACCCAGTGCTCCTCAATTTTGTGAATATCTACTCAGTGATCCCTGTGTGCCAGGATTTGTGCCAAGCTTATGACTTCTTCTTGGTGCTTTTTGGTACACCAAGAGGTGTTTGGTGCTTGTCTCATTTGGGGCAGGAAGACGTGCCCCAGATCATGGAGTTGGCAAACAGGACCAAGATCTCCAAGCAGCTTTATCTGGGCTGTTGTTAAAGAGCTGTGGGATGAAGAGCCCATTGGATTTGGTAGTTGGGAGCCATTTGACAGGCCTGTCAGATGGGCACAGGAAGTGGGGTCTGAGAAGGGTGCTGTCCAAGGTGACATCCTTGTATGCTCCAGGAGCAGCTGTCAATCTAGAAGGAGTAGGTCTGCATCCCACCCGGGAGGAAGGCAATGGATTGCAGACCATACAGCTCCGGGGCAGGAGTGGTGTTGAGAGTAGGGAGGGGCTGCTGCATGACCTGGGCCCCACCCTCCTATTTTTGCCACCTCAAACTCCCTGGGCTTCAAAAGGAAGCAGGGTCACTATCCTCAGAAAATCCTACAGAGGTGTTTTGTCAGTGTTTGCTCTCAGGAAAAATTGCTGTCTTGCTACGTGTTTTGCCAAGTAGACAAGAATGCTTGGGCATCAGTGAGCTTGATCACAAAAATGCAGAATGTGAAACGTCTGCTAGTCATGGCAGACTTGAATTGTCTGGTACTCAGCAAGGCCATGGGCACCTCCTGCCTCTTGGAGCCCACTGTCTAGGCTCAGCCCATACAGCGCTTCCTGTATCCAATCAGAGTTGCTTCCCATCCCATACTGGTGCAGGTGGGCACTGCTAGCCTTTGGTTACTTCACATAGTTGACTAGACACTTTGAGTTAATGTTTTCTTCACAATGATTGTTCGTCACTGCAAGTTTGTATGTTGTAACTACCTGAACATTGCTTATGGCTGTCGCAGTTAACAGATGGCAAAAACTTACAGTATGAAGGGTCATTATGGTGGGCTCCTAGTCCCCCTCCCTCTGAGGTCCCCCAAAGGATGCAACATTTGGTTCCCTGACCAGGAAACTTACAAGTTTACCCTATGGAGACATCCCTTCCCCTTTTGGGAAAACTCATGATGATATTCATTTGGGATCCCATACAAGAGCTATTACCAAAAAGTAGGGCATTTTTTTGTGGATTCTCTCAGTCCAGAGGAGTCCAGAGGTCAATCACTGTGGAGAAGCCAACTGCTGTCCTTCTTCAGGGTTGCCTATAAGACTCCTTGTCCCCTCTTTTTTCTACAATAAATTTCCAATAAAAACTTTTGCCTATAAATTCATAATGTTGTCTCAGTTTTAATTTCCATTTACATAAAAGATGGACCAGACAGTCACACACTTGAAGAACCTGAGATCACACAAAGCAGGGACTCGTGGCACAATGCCAGACAATCAAAATGGCCAAAAATATGCCTCTAACACAGCTTCACATGAGTAGACTTCCACGTAGAATCTTAAGAGCTGGATGTGGTGGTGCACACCTGTAATCCCAGCACTCAGGAGGCCGAGGCAAGAGGATCACCACAAATTCGAGGCTAGCCTGAACTATACAGTGAGACCTTGACTCAAGTAGCGAATCTCAAATTTTGAGACATGGGAGGAGCTTTGTCTGTCAGTTTATTCTGTTCATGAAGGAACTGAGACCACAAAGTCCTCAGCTCTTATCCAGTGCTTTTCACAGTTTGGCCCTGACCTTGTGAAACTTGGCAGTGACTCATACAGGGTCTGGGTCAGCTTGTGTTCACATGGCATAAGGCATGGGTAGATCCCTTTCTTTTGGCATTCCTTGTGTTGTAAGAAGATGAAGAGTATGGCATTTCTGTACATTTCAGAAACCAAGAAATGTATGTATAATACTCAGAATTTAAGGGACTGGGAAAAAGAAGAAAACCAGATTCTCTTCAGAGAGCAGAGAACAGAGCAGCAAAAAGGAAAAAAGATTCCCCTGTTGTCTGTTGTAATGGGAGGACGAAGGAGCCGGTGACAGAAGATCAAAGTAAGAGGCTGGCCGGCCTGAGACAGACCGAGATTGGACAGGACTGTTACTTGGACACTACTGGCTCTCCTGGAAGGCACAGGTGGGTCTGACTTCCGAGCTCAGGGAAGCGCAGCTTTTAGCTCCCAATGAGTTCCGAGGGCACTGCTGGCCAAACAGTGCGGGCGGGCTTGAGTGCAAGGGGCACCACTTCCTCTAAGTACTCAAGAGGGTGGCTGGTGCAATCCTGCGGGCAAGGGTGGAGCCGCCCGGCTCCCAGGCCAGAGTGGAAGGAGCCTTTCTACTTCGACTGTCGGTCCTGTTTCCGCGCAGCTGCTGCTTTCCACACGGAGACGCAGCTGGACAGCAGGATCTCTTCCGGGAACTGGGAATGCAAATCTACAGGGACGTCGGTGTACTTAGTTTCCATGTAACTTACAAGAGTGTCCCTCAGGCTGTAAAACCAAGAACAAGAGACACTTTTTATAAGAACAGGAGGCCTCTGCAGAACCAGGATGTTCACCCAGGGCGGAAATGGAGGTCAGCACCAGGCCAGCTGAGTGCTGAGCTGGACCCTGGGCCCATCCCACTGTGGGGTGCAACCCTGCCTCTGGCTCGTGCCGGCCTTGTCAATGCTCATGTCACTCTAACATGATTTGTTTGTATGAAAAAGCTTTGCTATTCAAACAAACAAAATCATGTATCCCCTTTCACATTTTATATAAATAAAGGTCATAAATTTTTCTTGTTTTGCAGATTCAAGATAGTAAAGGCTTATTAAGTTGAAAGAATACAATGCACATCGGTATATGCCACATGACACAATGGAAGAAAAACAGCAAATATGAAATACACTGGTGTGGAAAACTAGTTCGACTATTTAGAAGAACAATAAAGTTAAATCCCTATCTCACAGTACACACAGAAATAAACTCGCTAAAAAATATATAATATGGAACCATAAAAACAGCAAAAACGAAACAAAAATTATAAGTACGTTTCTAGCCTTGGGATACGAGAAGGAAGACCTTTACTGATACATTTTCCCAAGTGATTTAATGTAGCTTTTTTTTTTTTTTTGTACTGAGAATTGAACTCAGGACTTTGTGCTCGCCAGGAAGGCAGTGTGCCACTTGTCAGATTTGACCTTTTAAATTTAAAGACTGAGATAAAGCATTTGTAGTAGCACATTTAGGTTGGGCATGGTGGTATATATCTGTAATTCCAGCACTCGGGAGGCCGTTGCCATTTCGAGACCAGCCTGGGCTACAAAGTGAGCTCAAGGCCAGCTTGAACTGCACAGTGAGACCCTGTCTCAAAGACCAAAAAAAAAAAAAAAAAAAAAAAAAAAAAAAAATATATATATATATATATATATATATATAAAATAAAATAATACATTTAGATAAAAGAGTAATTTCTGTGAGACCAAGAGCTTTTCTAAGTCACTAAGGAAAAGATAAACAGTTGGGTGTAGCGGCCCATGCCTGTAATCCCAGCAACTGGGGCAAGCCTGCCTTGAGTTGGAGGTCAGCCTGAACCACTGCAGGGCCCGCTGCTTCAGATTAGGCAAAAAAAAAAAAAAAAAAAAAAAAGAGGAAAAAGAAAAGTAATTCAGAGGACAATAAACTAGAAGCTAATGAGTATGAGAATGTGCCAGGCCATACTACTAAGTAGGAAAGTAAAGAGACAGCCAGGTCCCATTGCTTGACCCTTGATGACACCCGTGTGAATGGGAAGCACTTTGGGGAACTCCGCAGTATTGGCAATGCATGCCTCTTTGGTATGGAAAACCCACTTGTTGGAACGTATGGCTTTTGTAGAAAGCCAGCCTTCAGGCACTGTGCTAGTGGAGGAGCAGCATGGAAAGGGCCTGTCCGAATGTTTGTGGGGGGCCTCGGGTGGCAGAGGGCTCCCACCACCCCACCCAGCAGCAATGTGCGGGTCCTTACCTCCAGTAATGTTTGAAGCTGTCCTCTGCCCAAGTGCTCTTCAGTTTTAGCATGATCATCTCGTGGAGCTCCAGGAGGAAGGTGTCAAGGCTGCTGTGGTTCAGGAAAGTGCTGAGGAGCTTGGCATGTTCTGGGCTGAGGTCCTCTTTGTACAGTGGACTGATTTCTCGAAATGGTTCCTACAATGCAAGACCAGCAAGAGGCCCATAAAGGCTGGGGCGAGGGGGCTGAGCTCCGCATACAGGGAGGCAGAGGTCCGACTTACTTTCTTCAGGCGTAGCAGCTGTTCCGATTTATGCGCAGAGAGAAGCTGCCAGAGGGAGATGGTGTGTTTTAACTTACAGCTGCTTAAGGCCTGAAGGAGGAACCGGAGCCCTGGTAAGAAGTGAGCATCTCACCCCCTTTATGCCCTGTGCTAATTCCACGCGCCTTGTCCTGAGGCCATCTCTGTTGCATCACAAACCAACCTGCCTTGTCCTCCCGTCATCTCGACAGCCCCCAGCCCTGCAGCAGCAGCTCAGAGTCCCTCGGTGTACAGCAGTTGATGCCCACATTACATGTGTGGTATGTCTGTCTCTACCATCCTAAGTGGCTCTTTCTATCCTGTGCACTGGCCGGGGGGTGCTACCTTTGGGCTCCTCTTTCCCAAAAGGGATGTGTGCGTTGCTGCTCCCTGCCTGGTGGATTTCTAACAGGAAGCAGGAAGCTCGGCTGAGGCTGCCCATCTCCCTGAGCAGCCATCACACCACACCGACCTTTAGAACCGAAGCTGTCTGGTCGCCCATTTGCAGAACTTTTTGGATGTACACATTCAGCGGCACTTCGACTTTCTCATGAGCTGTGCTCAGAAAGCCCAAGACGACCTCTATGACAGAGAGGGCTTCACAGGCATCACTGTAGGACTGCAGCTGCCCAGTGATGGTGCCCATGGCTGCCCTCGGAAGGGTGACCTAGGACAGAAAACACAGGACAGTGACCATGGGTTGGGATGTTGGGATACTTGCTTGTCACTCCTAGGAAGAGCTTAGCTCTGTTACTGCCTAAACTATAGGTGGCACAAATGACACAGTGTCAGTTGACACGTAGTGCTAAGAGCAGCAGCGTTACAGACACGTGACAAGAATATCTATGAGCTCACTGAAGCCTCAGAACAACACTGCGTGGATATGAGGCAAGAATATTCATCTCCCAGCATCAGTATCAGAAAAGTAGGGTTAAGTTCTAGGATCTTTTGCTTAGCCGACACCTGAAACGTCATTACTAGCAAGCTAACCACACAAAATGTATAAGGGACAGAAAGAGGGCTGCTCTGTGACTAGCTTGCTGATTTCTTGCTACTTTGGCCCACCATGAACTATTCTGCTCTGTGACGTCCCCTGCCACGCCACCCTGTCCTACAGGCCAGCCAACTATGGACTAAAAGCTCTACAAACTATGAGCTAGACAAAGCTTTCTTCCTTTAACTTTGGGTGTTGGTAATTTGTCTCAGCAACAAGAAAAGTAACTAAGATGATACTCAAACAAGAAAACTGACCCACTGTCCTGGTTGTTTTCTGCAAAGAGCATTATCAGGGAGGCTCCCAGGGTCCTCAGGGAGCTCAAGACCTTGGTGCTCATAAAGATACCAGGGAGTGGCTGAAGCCACCTAAATGTGGAAGGAACCACCTTACAAGTGACAGGTTTGTCATGACCACCTGTGCCATCTTCTTCTTGATGTCCATGAAGAGACGCTCATAGTTCCGGTCATGTCTGTGCACTAGCGTGGGGATCCCCTAAAGTGAAAAAGGAAACATCTGGATGTTACATCCATAGTGGAGTCCTGGCAGATGACAGGTGCACCTTGAGCAGTAGCTGAATGGGAGAGTCTTCCTGGGCAGCACACGGACTCTCTCGTCTCATTAAGTCTCTGTTTAAACCACAATCCAGGAAACAGTAATATGATAAGCACCCAGCCCAGCCATAATGGCCCTGCAGATATCGCCATGGAGACTAAATTGTACCCTTAGGATCCCAGGTGGTGCTGGAGACAGGGATGGGATGATGATATTCATATAACTACTCAACAACTGCTTAGCAGAGGCCACTCCACTAAACAACTCAGTTGTCATAAGCCATTAAAACTGGCTTTGGAGGGCCAGGGATATGTTTCAGCAGCATAGCACCTGCCTGGCAAGGGCAACGTTCTTGGTTCGATTCCTGGTACCAAAACCAAAAGAAACCCACAGCTGCGTGTGGTGCACACCTGTAATCCCAGCACTCAGGGAGACTGAGGCAGGAGGACCATTGTGTGAGTTTGAGATCAGCCTGGGCTACAAAGTGAGCTCAAGACCAGCCTGAACTGCATAGTGAGACCCTGACTCAAAAAGACAAAACAAACAACAACCCTCACCCCCCAAATTGGCTTTGGAGTCAGGCATGGTGGTGCATGCCTGTGATCCCAGCACTCTGGGAGGCTGAGCAGGAGGCGCACAAATTCCAGTCCAGCCTGGGAACTTGGTGAAACCCAGTCTCAAATTTAAAAAAAGAAGGACTGCTCAAGGGAAGGCCCTGAGTTTAAAATTCCTCCAGTTTGGAAAAATAAAAATTTTTGGATACAAAGAATTCACAGCTTAATTGTGGACAATGAGAAGGAGTAACACACCCAATTACAAAGTATCTGACTGGACCTAGGACAGTCCCACTCCTCGTAGGAGGCTCAGCATACCTTGACTGTCAGCTTGGGCTTGCCCTGTAGGAGGCGCCCTCTGATCTGCTGCTGGATCTTTTCCAGATCGAACTCCTGTGAAGTCTCCCCACCTTGCACCACTTGATATTGGCAGTTGGACAGAATCAGTGGAGTCAGGTCGCGCTCCACATCGTAATTGATGACATGCAGGTCACTGATCTCGGAGGCATCCACAGAATAGCTGTGGGACGTAAGACGCAGTACTGGATGTCTAGGGCAGGTGTATGGAGCTGGAGCTTTGGGGTACAGGGACCCTATACCTCCCTCTGCCCACCATAGTCTGAACAGTTAAAGGCCATTCCACAAATTTGGGGCTTTGTGGAGGCAAAACAGGGAGGGTCTGGTGGGGACGGAGCTGCAGCCTGCCTGCGTCTGCTGCAGGAGCCTGAAACCCAGGGCCAGGCTTGCCCTGTGTTGTTGCCTGTGCACACCTGATATTTTCCTTGGAGAACTTTTCCACCATGTAGACAGCTTCATTGTGCAGGCGAATCAAGTAGCTGACTAAGGCAGTTGAGCAGAGGCCCAGGCCCCGCCGACGTGGGAGGAGGACTTCAAAATCAGCGTCCAGATCCAAGGCAGAGCTGCAGTACTCATTCGGGAGCTTGATCTCACCTTAAAATGACAGGGTTTTATAGAGAGCATGTTTCTGGCAGAGCCAGCAGAAGAGCAGGTCCAGGGGCTCAGTGTCGAGGGTGAGGAAGACACTCACCATTGGTCTCCAGCGATTGCCTCAGTGCATTCCATGTGGACAGAAAAACAGTGATTCTCTCCTGGAACAGCTTACTCAGTCTATCTGTTGAACAAAGTGCTTGGTAAGAACCCACAGAAATAACGAGGCAGCCAGAGCGCAATCAACACAGTGTGGGCCCTAGCAGGAACCCAGCTCTGCTTCCTCTTGTGATTGCTAAGCAGGAGGTTGAGCTGGAGGAACTAGAGAGAAGGAGGGGCTTCCCAGCTGCAGCAGAAGCCTTTAGTGTGTCTCTAGAACCCAGGGGACCCTCACTGCACCCTGAAAGCTTGGCATGTGAACCACCTATGAGCCTCGAGCACCCACCCAAGCCTCACCAGAGGCTAATCACCAAGCACCAGGTGGTTCTGATCTCTTGTTGGAACGGAGAGCAGAGACATACCTGAACTCTGACTTTTAATAAATTTCCTGATGGAGCCAGGTTCAATTTCTGGAACATTCTGGAATTGTTTCACTAGGCTCTTTTGCAGGTCCAAAATCTTGGGCAAGAATTTCACCATTCTCAGTTCTGCCTCCTGGAGAAGGGAAGATCACTCAGTAAGACGTCCTCCATTCATTTTGGGAATGTTATTGGACATATGAGACTTCGGAGCTGGCTGAGGATTTGTCTCTGTGGTTTGGTCCGCTCAGTGGGCCACTTTACAGAAAGACACACTCAAGGTTAAAGTGTCATTCTCCCACCTCTCACAGGTAATTCTGGGGAACCTGCAGTATGTTAAACACTGGCCGCTCCTGAGGGATACAGGATGCCTAGGGTCAAGTCCTGCCCTCCAGCAGTTGGTGATGCAAATGTGTGCACCAACACCCAGAGTGAGAGACAACAGCCTGACCCCTATTTCTCCCCATGCACAAAAACCAACTCAAGAGGGACCAAAGACCTCAGTGTAAGTCCTGAAACTTTGAACTCGTTGGAAGAAAACATAGGGGAGGTACTTTGAATGGTGGTACTGGCACTGATTTTCTGCTCAGGACTTCAAAAGAACAGGAAACAAAAGAGACAAACTACAGATTGAGAACAGATTTACCCACACACCAACTGACAGAGAATTAGTAGCCACATACATAAGAAATTTTAAAAATTTAACAAAATGACAAGTAATCTCATAAAAACTGGAAATTGTCTGAATAGATACTTTTCAAAAGAAGAAATACACATGGCCAAAAAAAAAAAACTGTACGTAAAAGAATGTTCAGTATCAATAGGCTCTCAGGGAACTGCAGATCAGAGCCATAGTAAGTCACTATCTCATCCTCACTGGAATGGCTATTGGAACAAAAACAGAAAAAACAAATGCTAGGAAGGATGGAGAGAAAAAGGAATATAAATGAGTACAGTTATTTGAGAGAACATAGAGAGAGTCCTTAAAAACAAACAAAAAACAACAAGCAAACCTACTCTACGATACGGCTACGTGTCTCCATGTATACATGGAAAGCACATGAACTGAGCACACGCAATAGACAATGCGTGCCATAGTACTGTGGCATCATCCATAGATGTGAGCTTTGGGGCCAGCTGAGGCATTCACAAATAGATGAATGGGTAAAGAACACACAGCCACACAGTTTAGTCACAAAGGATGAGGTCCCCTAATGGAACCAGAAGACACTATGTGAAGTGAAATAAGCCAGACACAGACAGACAAATACCACCTGTTCAGTCTCATGACTTTTTTTTAGTCAGTCTGAAATGAGGATAGTGAGCCAGAGTGGTAGAGGGTTGTTGGATTTGACTAGTACATGCTGTCACACTGAGCTGCAATAACATGCATGATGTGTATGAACAGCAAAGTGAACTTGAAGAAAGAGAAGAAGAAATTGCATCTTGGGCCCACGGGGCTGGCTGGCTGTGGCAAGAAGCTGCGAGAACTCCAAGAGGTCACGTAGTGGTGACTGCTATAATTGTTGGACACTGCTCTGAGACCTAGCATCTCAGCATCCTCAGCTGAATAGAACTGGGCGTCTCAGTGAGTGGCCACTGTGCGTACCACAAATGACCACATCAGTCTTGCTTCTTGCTAGCTGCAAATACTGGTCCATGAAGGGAAATAATGAGCACATCTATCTCAGGCAATCAAGAGTTTTCGCGAGTGAAAGTCAGCAGTGTGCATTTCCAGGCTGAAGAGCCTTGGTTGCCACAATCCATGGCCCCTCACCCCACTGCCCCTCGCAGCCAGCACACGTTCTCTCTCATCTGCAGCCTGCACTGCCAAGATGGTGTAGAAACATGGAAGAGATTTGGTCTGATTTTGGCTACTCATTTCTCACTGAACTCCGGCCACTCAGCAGATGGGTGGTGGCCAGCTGCGCTAAGCTCTGGGGACGAGCTGTGAGCTTTGTTTCCTTGCTGAGCGTGACCAGGAAGTTTCCTCCTGGCCATTGAGCTCTTTACAAGTACCTGCTGACCAGGTATGCGTGCATGCTCCACCTGTAACTTTATGCTTGATGGGTCTGAGAACCGCCACACTCTCCCTGAGTCTCTTCCACCTGTGTGCTCTTCAGAACCCGGCCATGGAAGGGTCGGTGAGAGTTCTACCCCTAGGAAAAATGGTTCTGAGCAAGAGCACAGGGAGGCCCACGTACCCTCTGCAGGAAATGCCAGAGCACGGGCAGTGTCTCTTGGCCATTCTTCTGCTCCACAACGTGCTGGAGGTACTCAACTGTGACCTTCTTCCTGCAGCTCCAGATCTTGGAGCAGTGGACCACACTCTGCTGGGGCAGGTGGGAGAGGAAGGTCGCCGGGTCATTGTATATGACTCTGGCCACAGGGCTGGAGGCGATGCGTTCATCTTTGCTGATGAGAGTAGTCACGGAGCAGAGGGTTTTATCGAGACACTAGATGAAGAAAAAGACACAACAGTCTGAAGAGAGTCGGTGCTACAGACTGGTACCTCGCGCTCCTGCAGTCTGCCTGCAGGCCATGGAATCTTCGAGTTTGTCATCATTTGAGTGTTCCTTGTTTGTAAATGATTGACCTCTCCACTTGGAGGTCCGTATTTCATTGCCTTTCTTTTGTTTGTGGTTAGTTATCCCAGTGATGTCTAGGAGTAATGAATCTGATCTCAGTGCTTCTCTTGCGGGTTCCTACAAGACAGTTTCCATCTCTACGTGATCTTCTAAAGAATTAACAGAGAGGAAAGGAAACTGCTTCTCATACTTTAAGGATTCCTGGACAGTTCTTTGGCTTGATTTGTGACCAGCCACAGGAGGAGCACTTGAGAATAGCAGGAGGTGAGGTGACCCTATGTGGGTCTCTAGAAGCTTCCTGTGGTCAAGAGAGCTTAGCAGATGTGAGAGAGGGGAGCCAGACCGAGGTTACTCACCTCTAGCTCAGGCAAGAGAAGAAGTTGCATGTATTTTTCCCAGTTGTTTCTCTGCTCTTTGGTTGATAACTGCCCATCAAAATTTAAAGTCCCTACAAAGAAATCTGAAATATACAGGTTACCCAAGGAATAAAAACCACAGCAGTTTGCATAAAGGAAACAGTAAATAAATGTCAGTAAAAGTACTGCTCCCTTTGTGGTTACACGTTCTAAAGTCAGCCTGACTTCCTATCACACCAACAACCTATGGAGGAGGCCTTCGGCCCATGTTAGGTATAATCTTAAAGCAACTCAGAACAGAATCACCAAGGACAGCGACAGTGACCCACACCATCTGCCCTCTTGCTGTTGGCCTGCCTCCTGGGGGACCTGTGGCAGCAATGTGGATCCACCGCAGGTGGGAGTCTCAGGAACTCCTTCCCAATGAGCCTGCCAGAGCTAAGTGGGAAATCACCTCCTTCACTAAAATCTTACACATTCTGGGAATGGAAACTACATACTAATAATGGCTTCTGGCAAAGAAGTCCCCGAAGTGGAGACAGTCTCTGGTCCTGAGCGAAACTTTTTATTGCTTTATTATCAGGGCCTTCCCCTTGAGCTATGATCCCAACCACCCCCAACTTTTAATTCTCAGACACGTTCTTGCTAGATTGCCCAGGTCTAGCTTGAACCTGGAATCATCCTGCCTCAGCCTCCCAGAGTGCTGGAATTATAGACATACACCATCTGCCTGGTTTATCATTGTCCTTACAGTGCTGACTTAAAGAAAATCTCTCTGAACACCACCATTCAGAACCATTTACAAAGTTATCTCGCAGTCCTTTTTGTTCTACATGGACTCAAATGTTCAAAATAGAAAAACCAGCTGAGGGAACGTTTTGTAGCCGGATTTTTCTCACTTAGTAAACTGCAGACATGTGAACATATTCCATCAGCAAAAACAACGATGTATTCAGGAAAGCAGAGAGTGGGTCCTGACACACACTGCCTGCTTGTGCCCTGTACAGTGGGCCAACCCTGTGTCCTTGCCCCGATACCGCAGGTCGTAGCTGGGCACATAAAGGAACACAGCAGCCCCTCCACCCTCCGCAAGGAGAGTCCTCTCGGGTTTCCCATGCCCATGGATCTGACTTGCTCTGGAGCCATGAGAAGTGGCCCCAGCCCACTGTCGGCCGGCCCGGAGCTTGCTGGTTTCCTTACTCTGGCCAGGGAGAGGCCTCTGCTCTTGGAGAAGCCTGCGCAGCACCAGGTGCACCACAAGGCTGGTCTCGTCCGCATTCTTCCCGAGCATCTTGGTCAACTGCTCCAGATTCCTTTGGATGTGCTGGTGCAGGAAAGCTATTGGGTTACTCACTGGAGGCCTAATGATGTTCCCTAGAGCCTGCGGGGCAAGCGAACAAAGCAATATACGTGGATGAGAAGGTAGCCCAGCAGAGACCCCCACAAGTGCACGCTGACCCCGAGCTGAAGTGTGGTTTATGGTAGAGGTCATGCAGTGGTCTACCCATGCCATAAACAGCAGCTGCTGCCGGCTTGCTGCTGGCTTTGCCGTTAACCAAGTTTCACCCTTGGCTTAGTGTTCAGGTGGGGACAATGCAGTGCACTCCTGCTTCTTCCCCTATGGCCTTGAAGGCGTGGGGGACACTGGGCCCCACCAACTTCTCCACACCCAGTGTGCACCTAGGTTACGGTGCTGCATCCTCCAGGTGGGTTCTATGATCTGTTCACAGCACCTGTGTGCATGTACTCAGATGTCACACTATAAATATGTGCAACAGTCTGTGTCACTTAAAAATGAAACACTTCAAAAATTAAAAAATAAAGTGAATTTTATGTAATCTGACAAGGAGCTCCCACATTCCATCACACGCCACTGTGGAGAAAGTTAGAAAATAGGAATGCTGTGTTATTTATGGATTAGGTATACAGACAGAGTCAAAATCCAAAGGCAGTGACTGGGACCCTTTAGACAAAGGGCCAAAAAGCATAGAAGGTTCTTACAGAAACACAGGGCTCTGGGAGTGATACCTGGGGACCTTGGGCAGCTCCCAGGAGCAACGCCAAGTGGGTGAGCAGCCGGAGGAGAACGAAGATGGCTGGGGACAGCGCACGGTCAGGGGCCACGGCCGCATCCCTGGGCTGTGGGTTTCCCAGCACGTGGCCGCTCTGCGTTCTGTCAGTGTTTGGTCTGGAAAAAACGAGAGAAGACATGTAAAGATTCTGTCTCCAGTTCTGAAGGGAACAATATAAAAAGCACGTCTTATTCTGTATCTCTAGACCGCCTGCCTACGGGTCCTCTTCTTTAGACTCACCTTTCTGGCTGACCAGGTTCTGAAAGGGTCTTGGTGTAAAGTGGTGACTGGTGGTGATGGCAGTGTGTCAGCTATACCTACTCCTGTCTCAGATCAGCTAGGGTTGGGGACATATGCATCCACGTGGGGGATGTCCACACTCATCTTCACAAGTCAAAAGGTCTGGCAAAACCTTCTCTTCCCTCTTTTTCTTTCTTTTTGACAAGATATTATTATAAAGTCCAGGCTGGACTCAAACTCTTGATCCTCCTGCGTCAGCCTCCCGAACATTGGAATTACAGAAATATAACACCACACCGTCAAAATTGTATCATGAGCAGAGAGGTGATGCAGTATGACACATGGAGCTACAGAAATATTAGTGATCCAAGGGAATCCTAACAGTTTATGGAGATAACAGGCTGCATTTTTCTTTTTTTGCAGTATTGGAAATGGAATTCAGGGTTTTCTCATGAACTACATACCTCACCTTTAAAAAAAAATTGAGACAGAGACTCAAAGTTCCTATTTCTCCCAGGCTGCCTTAGTCTCCCAGGGTGCTGTGATTACAAGCATGCACCACCATACCCAGCAAGGCTGGGATATGTTAAGCTTTGCTGGTATCACAGAAGTTGGAGGTTTGGTGACACAGGTAGGGCCTGCCAGCCATCTAAGAGGAACCCCAGTACCACACCCATAGCAGGAGCAAGCAGGGTGCCGGGAGGTGATTTCCATCTAGATTCCTAAGGCTGGCACTGAGGGTCCTCCTATGGATAGGACATACATTCCACCAACAATGAGTCAGAAATATCTGAAAAACCTGCATCTGTGCTGAGCACAGAAAGGCTTTGTTCTTGTCTGTATTCCCTAAACAACACAGCCGAGCAAATATGTGGTCCGCTTTTATGTCGTGTTAGGGTCTTAAAGATCTGGGGACAACCTGAAGCACAGGGGAAGACATGCGTAGGTATGCAAATAGTATGACGCTTTGTGCAATAAGCATGATGTTTTGGGAGAGGGCGGTGTCCTGGAGCCACACCTCACAGATACCGAAGCTTCCTGCTGGGATTGATTATGTGCCCTTCACTCTCCTCAGATTAATAAGAGAACATTGAAGAGTATATAGCCAAGGCACTGTAAACAGACGCCTTGTTTCGGTTCTACAGACCACATGCCAGTCTGCATCAGATGTCAAGTGTCTCTCCATGAGGGAGCCATGGCCACCTGGAAGGCCTAAACAAGAATGCACATGTCATCTGTTTTGCATTCAAGGCCAATGACAGCTGACATAGCTCACTGCTGACCATAGGGACCTTATCACCAAGACCCAGCAGAACACAGCTGTGAGTGTGGCCCTGTAAATGTACAGCTGGCACCGACTTCTTAGCTGATCAGAAACAGCCCCAGAGCCCACAGTGAGAGGCCCAGGAAGGAAAGGAGCTTACGTACTGGATGATGTGAAAGCCAGTGTTGGGTGTGTGATTGAGGCCTCCAACGACAGCGTTGCAGTCCACACAGAAGCTCTCCTCCATCGGCTTGCCACACTGCGGGGAATGGGAGGACAGCGAGACACGGAGGTCAGTGAGGGAGCTGCTACGCATTGACACCTGCTTTGGGATGGCTTCTCCTGGGACGGGCGGACTTTAGGGGACACAAGAGCCTTGGGGACAGGGTAGTCACTAATACAAAGATCATGATGTTTTAAAGATTAAGCATGACTAAGTTTTAACCGCAAAGAGAAGCACTCTATACACAAACATACACGATTCCACTTTCTTTTCTCCTAGTCATGGATTTTTTCCATTCTCCTATGCATCACAGTGCTTCATTACGTAATACCAGGTATAACCATATAAACAGCTTCCTAACAGATTTCTTTACATCCACTGGATTTTATAAAAAAAAAAAACCAAAACCAAAACCAACAAACAACTCAACCATAGATTTATTGCTACCAAAGGCCCATTTTTCAGTCTAATAGTGTCCTGCTGGGTACTGTGAACGCCCTCCCACAACAGACACTGCCTGTCAGAGCATGGATTTAGAGCTAAGAATCCATCCACCTATGTATTAATTTACCTTTCTTTTTTGGGGGGTGGGTGGGACTAGCCATTACATCCAGGCCTGTGCACTGAGCTATAGACCCAGCTCTTTTTTTTGTTACTGGGGATTGAACTCATGACTTAGTGCTTACCAGGCAGGTGCTTATGCTGCTAAGCTAAATCTCTAGCCCATACCCAGCTCTTTTTTTCTTTTTTTGTATTTTTACCGGTACCAGGGATTGAACTCACGACCACGCACTTGCAAGGCAGACGCTTATGCCGCTGAGCTAAATCCCCAGCCCCCCCAGCTCTTTTTAAAAATAGGTTTTATTTTTTGGTACTAGGGAATCAAACTCATGACCTCACACTTGTGAGGTAAGTGCTTGAGTTGCTGAGCTAAATCCCCAGCTTTAAAATTTTTAAAAAATTTATTTATTTACTTATTTAGTCAGTTATTTTTTGGTACTGGGAATTGATCTCAGGACCTTATGCTTGCCAGGCAGGTGCTGTCCACTAATTCCCTGGTCCAAAATTGTTGAGACGGTATTTTTAAGATGCCAACTTGCTCAGGCTGGGTTTAAACATGCAATCCTCCTACCTCAGCCTCCCAGAGTGCTGGAATTATGAGTATGTGTCACCATGACCAGTTAAGAATTTATTTCTATTTCATTTCACAGTTGAGGGAGGAAATCAAGCTCAGAAAGCCTAAGCCTTTATATCAGGATTTCCCTCCAGATCTCCAGCTTATCAAATAACAGGAGTTGGTTCCCTGAAAAACCCATTGTTCAGCAATGGCAGATGGAGGCTGCGGGACATGCTCTGGAATTCAGAGGAAGACTGTGTCTTCCTCCATGGCTCACCCTCCTTAAATGTGTGTGCTTCTCTCTGGTACCAGGCCACATCTCCTGTCTGGCTAGAGTCCAGCTGATGAGAGGCCATTCTATGCTACTGACCCCAGCCAGCATCCTTCTGTGGCCCAGAGGTCCTTTGGCAAGGTCTGAAGACATTCCTGATGTCCCCTGCATGCAGGGGCTACTCTCGTCCTGGTGGGCTGAGTCAGGAGTGCTGCCAGCCACTGGTGGTGTAGCAAGGGACCGTGCTCAGCACCCAGGTGGAAACGCAGGGCTGAAACCTGGAGCACCGCAGCTGTGTAGTGGTAGCACTGCCAGAGCCCCCAGGAGGGAGAGCCCCTCACCCCACCTTGCTCTCAACCCACAAGGATGCACATTTTCTGCACTCCTCCCTCCAATGCCAAGACTCACCTCTCCCACGACGCATGGATGACCGTTGGGACAAGCTGTTGAGAGACAAGGGACACACATTGAACGGGGGCTTCTGACACAGGAAGAGAAGCTGGTGCTCTGCTCTCTGATCCTGACCCAAGTACGATGCACACCAGTGCCTCAGCAGAACCCTCGGACCATGCTGCCAGGTGAGTCGCGGCCGTTTACCCCGGCGCTTGATAAATGTTAGAGAAGAGTGCTTTGATCTAACTTTATAAGTGCAGGGACAAATCAGATTGCAGATTCACGACAGGGATCACTGGGCGACATTGTAGACAGTATTGTGTATTTATCTACCATGGAGCCCTTTTTATTTTTTGAGACAGGGTCTTGCTCACTTTGAAGCCAGGCTCAAACCTACAATCCATCTGCCTGGGCCTCTTGAGTAGCTAAGGTTACAGGCGTGTGCCACCATGTCTGACTGCATCTTTCCATTCTTTTGGCTTTTCTTTTCCTTGAATATGTTTTATCATAACTTTAAAAAGTAGTTCCATGGCTGGGGATTTAGCTCAGCGGCATAAGCCCCTGCCTTGCAAGCAGGTAGCCATGACTTCGATCCCCGGTACCGATAAAAACAAACAAAAAAAAGTAGTTCCAAATAACTATTTTAATCAATGCATCAACAAAATTCACATGAAGTCATGGGTCATATTATTTTATCTTCCATTTCTTCCCTCCCTCCTTCCTTCTTTCCTTCCCTCCCTCTCTTCCTTCCATTTGTGATGCTGGGGATGGAGCCCAGCACCTCCACTCTGAGCTACATTCCCAGCCCTTTCTTATTTTTTGATTTAGGATCTTAGTAAATTGCTGAGGCTGGGCTCAACTTTGGAGTTCTCCCGTGTCAGCCTCTCCGAGTGCTGGGATTACAGGGATACATCACCATGTCTGACTTCAGTTTCACTTTGAGAGCACCACCTTTTGGTCAAAACCTGTTGCACTGTGACTGGCCTTTGAGTGAGCCTTGGAGTAGCAACCCACCCCTCTCCCCAGCCTGCATACTGCAGAGAGCAGAAGGCCAGGCCCAGATTGCCTTCCCATGATGGAGAAGCGGAAAGATTCAAACTGTCTACCCAGCGGAGTGTGGATCCATGCATACTCTGTAGGCTGCCAAAGGCAGGGGCAAAAGTGACTGTGAATTTTCAGGCAGAACCATGGGGAGCCCAGGCCCTATCCAGGCTCTAGTGTGGCTGCACATTGTTCTTCAAAGCTGCAAGGACTGTGCACACCTCTACCCCATACTTACTGTACCACTGGACATTTTCCCGAGCCATCCAGCTCGTGGCCTGGGCCAGCAGGTCTTCAGGCATGGTTGGAAGATAAGCGTTCTGCAAAACCAGAGGCAGAGGCCAGGTGAGTGGGCGTCCTGCCTGACTGTGGAGGCTGACAGACAGGAAGCACACCACTCACTTTTTAAAAGTATTTTTATTCACATGTTTATGGCACATCCTAACTGCATTCATCTGGGGATCTGGAGATTATGTTATATACATTGCACCTGCATCCCTTGCCTTCCCCTTCGCCCCTCACTCTGCTCTCTTCTTCTTCCCCTAGGCCCTCTTACCATTCTCAGAGCCCACCTCCCTGTCTCCTGCCATCTCCCTATTATTTTGCCCTTTAAATGACTGCCACATTGGGCTTCTCGGGTTAGAGAGCCTTCTGATAGTCAGTCTCCTGTGTCTGACTTCTCTCAGCATCATGGTCTCATCTGTGAACTAACTTCTCACTTCTTCTCCACCTCCACAGTGACTTAGGCAGAACGCATGGAGGATGTGTGCGACACAGCAGGAAAGTCCTCATCACCTCAGGCAAAGCAGCGCAGAAAGGCAGAGAGAAAGGCCAGGGATTTAGATCAGTGGCATAGCGCCCGCCTGACAAACATGAGGCTCTGAGTTCGAATCCTAGTACCACCCTCTTCCCCAGAAAAAGAAAGGTAGAGAAAAGCCAGAAGGCAAACAGATTCAACAGTTCTCAAGGTGCAAGCGTGGTCTCTACAGTGACAAAATACTGAATTTTTGCAAGACAGCCACAGCAGTCAGAGCCCAGTACCTGCATGTTGGCTGGTGAGAAGGCCAAATTCCTTAGTGGCTTCAAGACATGGTTCTGTCCACACAGAAGGACGGCTGCAGCATGAATGGCCATTTCTACCACGGTTCCTTCAAGGCTTCTGGTGCCAGGCTCCGTGTGCAGCAGAGGCAGGGCATTGTTCACAAGGAGAGTGGCAAAGTGCTGGGTCTCTGGAGAGAGGAGTTTGCTTTCCTCTATGAATTCGTTTATAGCTTCGCAGTGCTGTCAGGAACACGTTTTTTGCATTAGGTTAAGACTGGGAATTTGAGATTTGCCCTCTGTGACATTTTGATACCAAATATGTAATAAATATTAAGATAAATATGGTTGGTTAAATTACCATCAGCTGAGGGGAAATCTTTCAGAGAAGAATTTTTCATTCAGAAACAATAACCACATACCAAGCCCAACTTTTCATATGGGACTTTGGTAAATATTATATTATGTTCTTGACTTTTATGATGCTTTGGGATACACATAAAATAGTATTTGCATATAACAAGGCCGAAAACCTTTACCCTAGTTGAAAAACAGGGAGCATAATTTGTGTTTGTGACTTTCACTGTATTAAAAAAAGTCCCTCATAGGGGCTGGGGATTTAGCTCAGCGGCATAAGCACCTGCCTTAAAAGCAGGCGGTCGTGAGTTTGATCCCCGGTACCGAGAAAAAGAGAAAAAGAAAAAAAAAAAATTGAAAAACAAAAAAAGTCCCTCCATCGAAAGGTCCTCGAGGAAGCCCTGACAAGGGGCACTCACCTCTGGCTTGGGATGCAGGTCTGCGTTGTGGGAGTAGAACAGAGTCCCCACCTCTCTATATAGAGCCAGCACTAAGTAGACCGCTTGCTGGGACCGTGGGCTCCCACAGGCCTGCAAAGGGATGGGTACCAAGTCAGCAGGGACCAGCCTGGATGTGGTAATGCACACCTGTAATCTCAGCACTCTGGGAGACCACGACAGGAGATGCAGCTCAATGTCAAGGCCCTGGGTTCAGTAGTCAGTACCACTAGTTACAAGTCTATACCCCAGGGCTAGGACCCAGTGTGGTTTGCATGTGAACACGGACTCAGCCTTTAAGCTACCAAGGAGCAGGTCAGTGCCCAGACCGCTGGACTCCTGGACCATGTGCCTCAGGGATCTTCATCTCAGCAGAGAACTCGGGCTGCAAGGGTTACCACACACACTCAGATCAAACTCAGCGTGTGGTGACCACACAGGTGATGACAGAAGAAACAGAGATCAGCATCTGTTCCCTTCCAGGCTGTTTCTCTGGTCTTGGAAACATTTCCTGAACAGAAACAGGCTTTTCTTTTTTCTCCTTCCCCCCAGTGCCAGGGTGAACAGGGACTCAAAGAAGATGGAAGACCATAACAATTTAAAGATAAGAATCCTAAAAACCCTGCATCTTTATCAAAATAAACAGATTGTGATTGTACACAGGACTCAGTGAGCATCTGTTGTATCAGAAACGAATTTTCAGAGGAAGTAACCAATCAGCCCAACACAACTGTCCCCACTCCCTGTTCCAGCTAATGGAATTCTTGACAAACAGTGTCCCTCTCAGCTCTGCTCACTGCTCCTGCGCATCAGCCTGTACCACTGTGCATAATGGAGGCAAGAGGCAGCCTCCAAGAGGGCCACTAGCCTGGCAAGAGGACCTGACCAGCCTACCGTCAGGGCAGTCCCGATGCCCGGAGTCTTGCACTGGAGCATGGCGTGGCCCACAGCATCACGAATGGCCTTGTATTCTTCACCGTACACCAGGTATCCATCCATCTGGTTTAGGTGATCCTTCTGCAATCCCAGGAGGACAGGGGTTAGCCTCAGAGGGGACAGGCAAGGACACTTCATAAGAACTAAAGATGCTCAGTAATGACCATAGGCTGGGAGGTGGTTGAGCTGGGAGCTCCTTGGTGCCAGTGTGGGGCAGGCCACTGCTCACCGGGGGAGAGCAGACTCTACAAGAGGAAGAGCCCAGGGGACACCAATGCTGACTTTCTAATTGGTGGCTTTCTCTACTCACAGCACCACGCCAAAACCAGATGACACAATATGTGTCACCTTTGAATTGCAATTGTTAACATAAAAATGCTACAATTTTTGGTGGTACTCTGTAACCCCAGGGCAGTAAGACCACACTAATTTCTGAGAACCAGGAGAAGAAAGGTGAGAGGGCCTAAAGCCAAACTGGTGCAGTAATGGGTTCTTACTTCTCAGGTCTCCCATTTCTACCTGGCAGAGGTTACAATGACCACCCTGCAAGTGGGGTCACTGTCACTTTGCTCAAAGCAAAGGCTGCACAAAGAATCCTTTTACTGTGTGTCTAATTCGATGAAAAATTAATGCCTACATGAACTCTGCAAGAGAGCAGCAAACCAGGAGCACACACACTCATGTGTATACACATATGCAGGCCTCTCCCTGCCATATGGCAAGATATCTAAACCTGTGCAAAGTACAGGGCACAAATCAGACATACATATGTAGTCTCCATTCGGGAATGGGGAGCCACAGCATGGCAACAGCGTGGCGTCCAGTAGAGTCTCCATGTCCCATGACCCACATCACACCTGGCCCTTGATGACTTCCTTGGGAAACACCCAGCGGCACGGGTGTCCCTGCCTGGAGAAGCACTGCAGGAAATCCAGCCCGCGCTGGCTGGTGAGCTTCCTCATGAGGTACACGCGGTACCAGTCGTTCCCGCTGTTGGTACAGAACCTCTCCACTGTCTGCAGGTAGCGCTGCTGCTCCCCAGTCAGTGCTGAAAGGTAAGGGCAAGCGTGACATGGGGGCTCACCGTGCAGAACACACCCAGGAAAAAGGCGCGGGGAAGCTAGATCGCCTTCAAACAGGTATGCCCCCATACTTCTGAGCTAAGTTAGGAGAAGACATGCCTGAGTCCTCAGAAAGTTCAGTGAGGAAGTCAGAAGCCCTGTCCAGACACAGGCGGACCCTGGCCAATTCCTGCAGGTACTCGACGGAGGCCACAGGGGCAGGTTCCTGGCCAGGCCTTTTAAGGGAGCAAGACTGGAGGAAATTGGCTTCCTCCCTCAGGTAGCTTGGCTCACTGCTCCTGGAGCAGAAGCTGGTCTTCTCTTGCATTGAATCCTAACAAATAGAAAACAAGAAAGCAAAGGATGGAATTTTTCCTAACAGGCAAGCCCTCCCCTTTCTAGAATCACACAGTAGGCTTCCACAGAGATAACAGAAACAAAGAATATGGTAGATCTGAACTTAAATTTTTCTAACCATGGAAAAACTAATATCCCTTTCTATTTAGGGGAAAGGAAAAGAGAAAATTTTGTATCATCCAGTTTGTTTCCTATGTGCTGTAAGTATTTGGGGAATAAAGATTTCCCAATAGGAGCTGGGGATTTAGCTCAGCGGCATAAGCGCCTGTCTTGCAAGCAGGCAGTCGTGAGTTCGATCCCCGGTACCGATAAAAAGACAAAAAAAAAAAAGAAAAGATTTCCCAATGTCCGACAATCGGAAGCATTCACAGTCTTGATGCCTGGTGACAAATCTGTCCACTTCAGTGCTGCCTTCTCATAGGCTCCTGGACGTCCACCTACCCCTGCATCCCACAACAACCACGGCAGCTGCTGAGCAAGGCATGGCCAGGGGATGGCTGTGCAGACACCAGCGCACACGCACACGAGACAAGATAGCTTTGGTGGCACTAGGTGTCACTGTTGGTAGCAGGTGACCAGATGCCACTAAGAAGCTCATGACTGCATACATCATTTCTTAGAGTGAAGGAATGCCACCCCCTCAAAATGGGACGCCTGATCACTGCCCTGACTGAAACAGGACACTCTTGGTTTTTCATGGTGTAAACTATGCTGTAAAGAAATTTGCTAAAGGGACTCAGGAGGTGACAGCCAGCTCACCTCCAGGCAGTTGATGAAGAGCATGTATAGTTCAGTCTTGTCCTCCTGTATGTACGCTTTGCTCGCCAGCAGGGACAGGTAGTCCTGAATGTAATTCTTCACATCCCGAAAGCTGCAGACAGGGAAATACTGTTCCTGGTTTGCTGATGTGGGACTTGCCTCACAAAGGAAAGCGCCTGTCTCTCAGTCTGTAGTCTATCCCCCTGGGTATGTGTAAACATACACTATGTGTGACGACTAAACAGCGGGCCCTGTATCACATGATTCTGTAAAAATACATTCACAGCTACTGGAGTACAAAATCGCATATATTAAATTGGCTGTCCTCAAGATCCTTTCACAGGCTTAACAGTTTGTTTTAAGTAATTGTTGATAACCACAAGGAATTTTTGTTTACATGGGTTATATCTATCAATATTCATGGCATTAGAAATTAAAACTAAAAACCTTTAAAAAATTAACTATTTTTGAGAACAATAATAAACGTTACATAATTTAAATTCATAACATTTTTAGAATTTTGCTTTGCACATTTATTTAATGTCTGGCTTAACAGAAGTTATTTGATTTTCCATGCCTGCTCCTGACTCCTGTCAGCTCTATACTCAATTATATCAATACTGAAATATATGAAGAAATTCTGGTCTTACACATGATGCCGTTAATGTGATATAGTTAGAAAAGGAGAAATTCACTAATTTTCTTGGCAGCTAATTATGGATACTTTACTTTGATGCACCAAGACTTTTTTTTTTGGTACTGGTGATCGAACCCATGAACTCGCACTTGCCAGGCAGGCGCTTATGCTGCTGAGCTAAATCCTGGCCCACTGCACCAAGACTTGGTAAGCGACTATTTCTAAATGCTGCTTTTGGAAGCTGACACTGTTATCAAAGCAGTTTTCACAGTTGATTATATCAAAGCCAAATGGTCAGCCTGGCAATTTAAATGGACATTTTCCCCTGTGCCAAGAGTGAACCCAGGGCCTTATCACATGCTAGACAAACTCTTAAACCTACATCTCTGGCTCCTGGATTTTTCTTTTGTGAGACCAAGCATTGATCATTTGAGGAATTCTGGGGTTTGCTGTGCTAGGCAGATCTTTCAGTGTTGACACATTTTTATTCTACAACATTGATGTCACAACAAATCACCTAAAAAATCTAAGTATGAGGAAGCAACGCAGCTCAAGGTAGAGTTTTCTAATAGTTTAATTTTAGGCACAGGTTGCTTGGCTTCATTTTTGTTTTTTTAGATTGTTTATTTGGCCTCATCTTGAGTGACTTTCTGAGATAGATATCGTCCTCTGGTACTAAGCTGGTGTTTGCTGTGTGAATTTCCTATTTCCGCAAACAACAGGAACTCAAATCAAGGGTCAAGGTTCAGTAAGGGAAACCAACACGCTGGAGGACTCCATGTGCACAGAGGCGTGCAAATTGCTGCTGCGACCATTGCCTCTGTGCTGAGGCCAGTGCTCCCAGGCCTCCACTTTGGGAATGCTACTGTGAATATCATCATGTTGAAAAAGGTAAATACTGTTCTCACTGTTACTTTAAAAATGGAGCTCAGGGACGGTTCTGAGCTCAGGGACGGTTCTTTGGGCCCGGTGTGGAGCTATGTCTGAGCCCAGCCACACCACCGGTTCCCTCCCACCACAGGAGCGCACTCTCCAACTGTACCCTGCTCCTCGTCCTGGGAAGGACAATTGGTGGCCTGGACAAAGGCCTGAGGGGACAAATGACACTAACGCCCTGTGGCAGCCTCTTGGTGAGCTACACCCACCTGTACTTCAGCAGGAGCTTCAGCACCACGGAGCGGATGATGGGGGTCTTGTCCACGACGTCATCAAACGGGGACAGAGATTTTGTGTGCTCACGGTGTCCTGTGGCCAGAAAGAGGGGGCCACGGCTCAGTTGCACATAAGGGGCAGGAAAAGAACTGAGCTCTGGGGACAGGAAGAAACCCACTCACTCTGCGGGACCTCTCTCAGGGTGTCCTTCTGTATGAACAGCAAAGACAGCAAGCTGTCGATCACGCTCTTCTCAGGGGGAGCATTGTCCTTGAAGCACATGGTGGAAACCAAGTCCACAAAAAAGCTGTTGCACAAGCGCCGGAAGTGGGCATGCTTTTCCACGGCCTCCCTGGGGACAGAGGAGAGGCAGTGTCATAGGACCCTACATCTCTCCACACAGAGTAGTCAGAGACCGGGGCAACACTGCAGGTTTAAATAAATCACACATAGGTGAATAGGTTGTCAACGTAACAACAGACAGCATCGGCCTCATCCCTTCCTAGGAATGCTAAAGTCACTTGGCCCAACCAGCAGTACCTTTGTACGTCTAAAACACGTCAAAAGACCCCTCTGTTGGGAGGAGGGAAGGAAAAGTAATCACAGAGGCAGCCGGGCCAGACTAAGAGCCCACACACCTTCAAGGAGAGTACGTGGCTACCAGTGGCTCTTCCAAAGCCCTCTGCAGGGAGTTTCACTGTCAAACTACTGCTAGCAGTGATCACATTTCTGAATGTTATATATGAGACAAGAGGAGTGCTTTGAGAGGGAGCTTTACCTGTGCTCCTGAGAAATGGTTGGAGAGAAGTCATCTGGCAGGGCTGTTCGGCAGTAGGGACAGAGCATCTGTCCAGGGTCCATCCAGGTCCGGAGGCAGGCCAGGCAATACACATGGTCACAGGGCAGGCACACGGGTTCCCACGTATCTCCCAGGCAGATGGGGCACGGGTGAATACCAAACCTGGAACAGGAAAACAGTCATCCCAGAGGCAGAGAGGCTGGCCAGGAGTGATATTCCTAGAAGCCTCGTGTTCTAGCCTCCTCAGGGCCCAGGCTACAGGTCTCACCTGGAAAAGGCATTGTTGGCTTGGTCTTTGCATTGGCGAAGTATGGTCATTACAGCTTCAAAAGGCTTGTACGTCTTCAGGTCCGAGTTCTCCTGGAGACACTGGGGAGAAAGGCGGGGATAGGGAGGTGTGAATACAGGGCAGAGCAGCGGCAGAAGGGTGGCCAGGTAAGGGGTGTCTCCCGGCAGCAGAGGGACAGGCTGAGGACCCCAGAGTTTGGCGGGCTGGCCTGGCGATTGTGACCTGCCTGCCTGAGCCTTCCAAGAGCAGAGATTACAGGTGTATGCCACTATGCCCAGCTGATTTTGGACACTATAAAAATGCCACCCATGTCTTTTGACTTTTTGTCTGATCTTTTCTTTTTAGCTCTACCCCATCTTCATTGTGAGATACTTCAAACTACATAGTAATTTATTATATAGTAATAAAATCACCTTATAAGAGTCTGTGGATAACCTTTAAGAAATCTCAACAATTTTGAAAAACAAAGGAAAAACGGAGAATTTCTACAGATATATCTAGAAATGGAAACACTGACCGGTAGGAAGTAGCCATCTCTAACAGTACAAGGAATAAGTTTAATGATCATGTTTCTGAAAGTTTGTGGGTACACATGGTGCCTTTATGGGTGCTTCGTGTTAAATATTCTATTGTGCATAAGATTAAGTATAAAGAACTCCCTAGTCTTAATCTGCCAAGAATATTTTTTTCCGAATCACTAATTTTATCCAATATTTTGTCTCTACATCTTGAAATGATTGTTTATAAAATTTATGTTTTAAATCATATGCCTATTAACACATAGATTTAAATATTTCAAGCTTTCCCTGAGTCCCCACAATATATCATATTTAGAAATGATGTGTGTGGTTTAATATCTGGGTAAATTTCATTTGTTAATCATTAATCCAATTCAAACAATGGGTAGAGGGTTTAGTTAGATGTTACTCCAAAGATGAGATATAAATGCCCCCAAAGCACATGAAAAGATGCTCAGTGTTATAGCTTGTATCTAGAGGTCCCCCAGAGTATCAGGTGCTCTCAGGTGGAATTTGGAGATGGCTGGATGTAGAGTGTATGATGCTAGTATTAAAGGTGTGTGGTACTAAATTACTTTCACTGATTGGAATTAGTGCACTTCTGGGTGTGGCTAACGGATTTGCTAGAGAGAACCCCACCCTGAGTATGGGTGGCTGGGGTAGAATTTAAATGGACAGAAAAAGGTTGCTGCATCCTGCCTGACCTACCATGGACTGTTTCTCCTGTGTGATGGCCCTCTGCCACGCCACCTTGTCTTGGAGCCAGCTGACTGAGGACTGAAACATCTACAAACTATGAGCCAAAATAAACTTCTCTTGCTTTAATTTTGGGTGTTGGGTATTTTTTCTCAACAATGAAATAAGTTACTAAGAAGCTCAGCATTCTCAGGCATTGTGGAAATGCAAACCAAACCCATGGTAAAATATTCTTTCACATCCATTAGGATGGCCATAAAAAAATAGAAATAACAAGTGTAAAGCAACTGGAACCTTCTACACTACTGGTAGAAATGTACAATGGAGGGGCTGGGGATTTAGCTTAGCGGCATAAGCGCCTGCCTTCAAGCAGGCAGTCGTGAGTTCAATCCCTGGTACCGATAAAAATGAAAAAGACAAAAAAAAAAAAAAAAAAAAAAAAAGAAATGTACAATGGAGTTTGGCATAGTAGGCATTCCTGGATTCCAGCTGCTTGGGAGACTGAAGGAGGAGGATTACCAACTTTGAGGGTCTCTTGGGCAACTTAGTGAAGCCCTGTCTCAAAAAATAAAAAGGACCAGCAGTCACCTTGTTCAGCAAGAAGACATAGGAAGTCACCCGATCGCTCAGCAAAGGTATGTGGTTCTTGGTCTCTAGGAGCACGTGCTCCACAAAGAGGGAAATGGAGAAGATGCGATTCCACTGGGTTCTGTCAAAAGATGAAAGTCGCTTGCTCAGCTGACAGGGGAGACCAGGACATGAGGAACAGAGAGCAGGAGACAGCAGGAGGATGTGACACTGAGGCCAGAGGGAGGAGCATCCACCTGGCTACGTATTGTCACTGATACTCAACTCATGCAAGGCTCTGTGTCCCAGGTTTAGTGCCACAGTGTCCTGCTTGCTAGCCCTGTACCTGGAAAGTCCCTCTTCACTCTAAAGTCCAGCCTGATGATCTGTCCCCTCTCCACCTGCCCTCGAATTCCTGCTGCCCTTTCTGACTGCTTTCTGTTGTCACAGTGACCTTTAGAGAGCATCACAACATGGGCAACCAACATCCCCTGGCCACCAGGACACAGCAGCCTTGCTCTGGCAGCTTCCCTCTGGTGTCTAATGAGATGCTGGGCACTTCCCAGGGTTCAGTGCACATGAAGTGGGGTGCAAAGTGAGAATCCTGCCCTTGGCCGGGGTCCCTGCTCACTCTGGTACAAATGTGCCAGCACCAGGACTTGGCAGCTACTACAGGGTGCAGGGCTCCAGGTTCTCACCTGATCTCCCCAATGAGACGTCTGGTCCAGTTCCCACTGCCTTGCAGATATCCCTCTGAGCAGATGAGCTCCAGGGGCGTGGACAGGTTCTTTACTAGCTGTAGCCAGGCCTGGGGGCTAGGTATCAGGATGTCTTTTGTCAGCTTCTCCACACAAGCCATTGCTGCGAATGCATCCAGTGTCTGAAAAGAAAAGTCTTGAGAAAGGAGGGGTCCCACACTGCATATTGTTTAGCTGCTGCATTCTCAGGCCACAGTCCGGTGGTTAGCCCAGCTAGTTCCCCAATTCCAGGCTTGGCACCTACTCTGTGGTGTCCTGGGGTGTAGGCAGCCTTACTCAGATGTGTTTCAAATGACTCTCAGCTATGTGACCTACATGTCCACAAAGTCCCCCTCTGGGATGCAGCCCCACACGCCTTCTGCTCCCAGAATAGAGGCCCCTCTGCACAGGGAGGGCCCATACCATCTCGCATCTGGCCAAGTCGTGCATTGGTGAGTCACTGGTGAGGCTGTGCAAGACCGAGGGATGGATGGTCACAATCCAGGAGAAGGTCTGTAGCCGTGTGCTGAAGGACTGGTAGGCCAAGTGTACCCATGGCAAGGATGGGCTGTCCTCGGACCTTCCCGACGCTATCTGAAGCTCACTCAGGCAGGCCAACAGGGCCATCTGCAGGAACTGGGGTCAACAGAGGCTCTCAGCTGTACTTTTAGAGTATAAAGATACGTTTTCCCACAGAAAATCAGAACTATTTAAAAACTGCAGAAACAGCCAGGTGTGGCAGAGCACTCCTGTAATCCCAGCACTTGGGAGGCTGAGGCAGGCAGACTGTTGCAAGTTTGAGACCAGCCTGGGCTACAAAGTGAGCCCAAGGCCAGCCTGAACCGCATAGAGACCCTGTCTCAAAAAGACTCCACCCCCCAAAAAAAAAATTGCAGAAAAGTAAATATCAGGCTTCCTATTATCCCTTCCCTGTGTCTTTCTGGTGAAGCCTTTGGGCCATTTTCATATCCATGCCTTTCCTCACTATCATCCTCAAATTAAGACCACTGTAATCCTGGCTTTCCTTACTTGGTATTACATTAGGGACACACAACCATCATCACTGTGCTACATCTCCCGTGCTTTCTGAGGCAGGTTCCTAAGAGGTTCATCGAGGCAGATCCAAACTTGCAGTCTTTCTGCCTCAGCCTCCTCGGTACCTGGGATCATGGGTGCACACCTTGCCCAACCTGGAAACATTCTTTACAATGGTTGTGCAAATGGGCATATCTGTCCCAGCCTTCATTTTTAGATGCTAACATTGCTCCAGAGTCTTTGGTATTAGACAGGAATCTGAAAAGAACATTCCTGGGGGTATCTGTCCACATCTCTGATGACAATGGTACAGGCAGACGCAACAGCTCTCAATGAGACCTGCCACCTGGATTCCCTCGCCACGCTGGCCACTGTCCTTCCTAAAAGTCCATTTTTACAAATGAACAGGTGGAAAGGATCCAAGAGCCAGCTGTGCTTGCAGACTTGATGGTGAAGTGAGCAAGTGTGCGTGTAGCGTTATTTCCCAGACGCTGGTATGGTTATTCTACTAACGGGTGGTTTACATCTCTTACCCACTTTTAAAAGTGAGTCTATGTTCTTACTGCTTCTACATTAACATTCACATTCATTGACCTTTTGTCACATTGGTTACAGCATTTGTTCCCCTCAGGTCTGTCTCTTTCCCTTCCTGTGTCCTGAACTGTGAAGGTTTTCAGGCAGTCCAAGGTATCAATCTTTCCACTGAACCTCATTTATGATTCTTACCACACAGGGTCAGTTCAATATTTAACTTACTACTTTTCAAGGAAACGAAACATTTAAATTGAAAGATTTCTTGTAGGAACACAAGGTTGTGTTCTAGCAAGCCCTGCCCCTGGGTTCACGCCCTGCGGTCCTGCACGGTTCTCTTTTCCTCACTCACATAGTAGTAGCTCTCAAGAGGCAAGGGTGCACTCCCGTGCTACCTGGGGTCCACCCTGGACAAGCCCCACGTGTGACTGGAGTGGGTTTCTACCTTTAGCTCCTCCTGGCTGGACACTTTCATGGTGAGGAGCAGGAAGTCTGTCAAGTAGCTGTGTAGGAGTTCCAGTTGCTGCCCTTCGGGGAGCTGGGTAAAGAACTGACCCAAGGGCGTCTGCTGGAAGATTTCCACAAATTTCTGTGGCAGTCCTGCAGGGAGGAGGCCAACGAACACATGAGACAGAGAGGTGAGTTCTTGGAAGAGCTCACAGCACCAAGCAGGAGAAGCAGAGGTGCCCTGCCGAACCCCAGCTCAGGTACGAGCAGGGACCCAGACCAGAGAGATCTGCCTCACGGTGGACAGCGGGGAGTGGGTTCCAGGTGGTATGCTGTCCATACAAGTGTTGCCCTGAAAATGACTACTCATGAGCCAAACTGGGTCATGCTGGTTCACAAAGTGGCGGGATGCTGATCCTGAGGGATGAGGCCACTCTTGAGCAGACTGACCAGTAGGTCCTCTGAATAAATATTGAGAAGGTGCTTTCACATATGAATGATGACATTTCCTGAAACACCATACTATCATCCGTTTTTCTAGAATGCTATGGCCAGACCCCTTGGTAGGGGATAGCCAGGCAGAGCACAGGGCCATCTGGATTCCAGCTGCCCCTAATTGCTGAGGAAGCTTAACAGGCATAGTGCCTCAGTCAGTTTGCTGCCTGTGTTGTCCAGGTGCCTCAGAATGGGAATGGCCGAAGACAAGCACAGGTAATAAGCTCTCTCCCTGCCAGAAGGCACCACAGTCCATCCGGACCCTGGCAAAGCATCAGCTTGGGGACCCCCCACACTGTGTGACTAAGTGGCTTCTGACTTTGCTGGAGACTGCCCGTCCTGCAGAGCAAGTTTTAAAATGAGGAAATGACAAAAGCCTGAGGCTGTCCCACCTGCAAAGGGCTTCAGCAGGGAACTTGGAAGTCACCCTGGTGCCGGCAGCAGGACACCTGCAAGTGAGGACTGATTCACTGCCCCATAGCAGACCTCACCTTGGGCATCTGTGATGTACTGAGCCTGGACGCACAGGTCCTCCAGGTAGTCCTTGATTCTCCAGCTAAAAGGGACACTGTTGGAGGCATTGAGAGCCATGTGGTTCTGCACCAGGATGGAGGGCGTGTCACTCTTCGATCTGCAGCAAGGCCCAGGACCAAGAATATGTTGGTGAGATGTCCCTTCAGTGCAGTCAGAAACACTGGAGCTGAGCGCCACTCCCTTCCCTACATTTAATCCTAAACTGTACTCTGCCATTGTCCTAAGGGAGGCAGTGGAAAATATGACATTGGCATGCCTTAGGCAAGAGCACCCACTCTTAGCCTAAGCTTCTAGTCACCTTGCCCCTTGTCAACCTCATTGCAGGCTTGTAAATGTGCACTACACCTCATAAATATAATTGAGATCAGTAAGTTCTGGAATAAGCCTGTGTGCTGAGCACCCTGTCAGTCACACCTAGAGACTCAGTGGGAAGCACCTAAAATGAGGGTGCCTGGCTTTAAAGTCTAAAACCCAAGTTGTCAGCTCCACTTTTTCTGTTGCTGTTGCTGCTTTGACCTGTGTGCAGTGCCCTTCTGTGGCGCCCTTCATGCTCTGTTACACTTTTTTAAGGCAAGGACTGGCCCTGACCACAGCTTCTTGTGATCAATAAAGGCTGCCACTCATTGCTCACTGCTGGGTGTGTGCTTGGCCATCCTCCCCCGGGTGTGCACAAGACCCTGGACGATCACGGGCCCATTCAACGGTAATGGGTTCAAACACCACACAACACGCACCCCTGGAGCCACTTCCCCACCAGTCCTCAGAGACGAGGCTGGGGCTGGGCGTGGGCCTTGCAGTAGAGAGCGCTTGCCTAGGGCGAATGAGGCCCTGTGTTTCAGCTCCAGCACCACACACACAGGGTCAGACAAGACAAGGTGCTGAGGGCCATGCAGACAGCTGCTGGGCTGCCTCCCGGGTCAGGGTTCTGCCCTCAAAGACCTAGAGAGGCTCCTTACTGAACCCTTGTTTACAGACAAAACAGAAACTGCTCAAGGTGGCAGGGACTGAGTGAAGTGCCCAAAGTCTCTGGCAGGACCAGGTGCTCTGGCTGGCACTTATCCTTCTGCACACGGAGAACAGGGGACATACCATTCCTGGCTGTGTGAAGGGCGCAGGGTGGTGAGGATAGCGGGGAAGAGCAAAGACTCCAGGGCTTGGGCATCTCCTACCACCTCCCGCCCCTTGTCCTGAGAGCAGCAGCCTGTTACCCAGGTCGGGAAAACACACAGAGGGTGCTGCAGGCTCTCACTTGCTCCTCCTATAAATAAAAAAGTCTTCCCTCACCTCATGCTATGCAGGAGCGGAAAGTCCAGAAGCTTATCATCACTGAAAATGAACATCCAAAGGTCTCGTGCCCAGGCTTGTAAGTCCGGCTGGCACAACAGCTCCAGGTTGGCATCTTTGTCGAGGAGTGCTACCATGCTGGCCAGGAGAGGAGTGACAGCACCTTGGACCCGCTTCCACAGGGTGTGCCTGTATTTGGGAGACAGTCACCACAGGGGACACTGACTGCCTGGATATTACCGGCCTCGCAATACATCGGCAAAACTTCTTTCTAGTCTAATACCCACGTGGTAGCCAGGACAGCACAAGGAAACAGTCACCACTGTATGTGTGAGAACAGAGGCCAGGTGTGGTGTGGCCGAGAATACCGGCACTGTGGGAAGCTGAGGCCAGTCTGGGCAAGTCTGTGAGTTAGAGACCCTGCCTCAAACAAGAAGGATGGGGATATGGCTTCATGCAAAGTCCCTGGGTTCAATTTCCCCTCAAAGGGACAAAGACAAATGGACGTGTCTGAGACTAGAGGAAGACAAATGGACGTGTCTAAGACTAGAGGCAGAAATGGAATAATCATTTGACATCTCATAAATGAATCTGTTTACTGAGAAGGTGAAGAAGCTATTTGCTTAATTTTCTAACAGCTTTTCTAAAACAAGTCATCTTGGTTCCATAAGCGAAGAAAATAATGATCAAGTTCATTTAGAAAAAAAGAAGGCTTTAAGAAACATCAGCTGTAAATAAAATACTACAATAAAGCGAAGAACACGGGGAATGAAGTCATCTGTTCCAGATCAAGTTAAAAAGAAAGCTCAGGTCAACCTGGAACGATTTTTGTGACCTTAGCTGGGCAGAAAAACTAAGACCTGGTTACTTTAAGCCACAGGCTTGGGGAAATAGTTTCTCCCTGAACGTCACCAGCTCGAGCTCGTTTGCATTTTTGAGACAAGGTCTCAGTACGTAGTCCAGACTGGGCTGAATTCACTGTGGCCCAGACTGGCCTCAAACTCCTCATCCGCATACCTTGGGATGACAGGCATGTGCCTGCCACCACACTTGGCACCATTTTAACTACCTAAACGGATCCCCTGTGCCATGGTTTTTGATAGGCTGGTACACACAGCCTTGTTACTAGGATACATGTTCTGAGGTTCCTAAATGTTCTTTTAGTGTGAAAAAACTGAAACACACAAAAGGAGAGAAAAGGATCCACCAACACCTGCCCCCAACCACATCCAGATTCAATCTGGGTTTGTAGGGGAACACTGTAGCTTCCAACGGCTGAAGTATACAAAGAATCACCCCAAGCAGTGCAAATCCCTGCCCCGCCCGCCTTGCCTCTGCTTCCTACCGGAAGGTACCCGCCTCCTGCAGGGCTTCCAGGTCCGAGGCCTCCCTGCTCACCCACTCCTTCAAACTGCAGGGCTGGTTCTCTTCTTGCTTCTTTAGGAGCATGTAGAGGTGATTCTTGGACGCCCGCAAGAAAGAGGCTGTTAAAAAGGCAAAGGGAGCGTATGGTTGGCTGGCACACAAGCACCATGAATGCCATGCTTGTAGGTTCCTTGGCCAGGCCAGCTCTGGAGGGTGTGACAGATGCCTTTGCATTCCTGCTGTGTCCAAGGCTTCTCCTGAGCCATGCCCATAGGTTTCCCTCTCCACACTGGGGTGTGGGCAGGGGACAGGTGTGACTCCTACCGTTAAACTCATTATCCTCGTTTAGGAGTCTCAGGAGGATGATGACTCTCCTCATGTTGCGGTCACAGTGGTCGGCCTGGTCCCCGAGCATCCCCACAGCGCCCTGCACGCAGCTTTGCAGCAACCTGGTGGTGTCCAGGACCTGCACCTGCAGGGGAAGACAGGTCCTGTACTCCTACCACGTCCAGGGCGGGCAAAGGCTAAGTGCCGGTCAGGGAGTCAACAGCATCTCATGAAGTGGGACTGCTAGACCTTGCCATTGTGTTTCTGGTGAAAAGGGAGAGACCTCGCCCACAGGGAGGACGCAGGGATGGAACTCACATCACCACCTTCTGGTTCCCAGGGATCGGTCTCCATCTCCTTGGGACTTTTTATCTCCACTTCGGTCTCGGCTGTTTCTCCTGACCTGCTGGGTTTGACTTCCATCTCTTCCTCTTGGCTGCCCTCTGCTCCACAGGAAGCAAATGCAATCAGGTCATGGCTTAGGGTAGCACTAGCTGAGTCAGTGCCTAGGCTGAGACTCGCTAGGTTCCTGTCCAGAGCTTCCACTGAGGGGACATCTGTCATGCAGATTGGCCCCAAACCCACCATGGGAGTGTGCTACAGCCAGGGCTGAGAGCTGGCCCAGGAACCACAGGTGCAGGCCATGTGCTGTGGACACTCACTTGTATGGCCTTACCCTTGCCCAGTGTTCTACATGTGGACCAGGTAGTCCAACACATACCCTGAGCTCCTGCAGACAGGCAGGTGTGGGGACTTGAAGGTGTTGTGAGTATGGTGGCTCTGCCTCCAGCACCCTAAAATGGCCAGGAAGTGGCCACACTGGGCATCTTCCACCTGTCATCTCATCTCTGATCCCCAGACTGCCACACCAAGACTCACGCTCAGGTTTGTCTCTTGGCCTGAACAGTTGGCTTATGGTGACGCCCTGCAGCTTGGTCACATCCGAGGCCATGACCGTGGATCTCCGGAGGTCATCGATGTGTACAGACCGCCACAGCCCTGTGAAGAACAAAGTCACCAGTCTCTTTCTTATCTTCTCTAGCTTCTTCATCAGCCATAAGCAGTGGTGTGCTACCACTCTGACTTTTAATTACACTGCTGCTAGAGGAATGAACGGTACCCCAAAGTATAGCCTCGAACACAACTGCAACCATCGGACCCACTTTATGCATGTCAACAATGTCCATATCCAATTTAAGGCCTCAAATAACCGGTATGCAAGAGATTGATGAATAAACACTGTGATTCTTTACACGTCTTGATGCATTTCCTGCAGTATAATCTGTGCAGAAGTGTAAAGCACTGGTGAAGTTTTCTTTCCAATATCTACGGAATTATTACAGTAAACTATTAACCCCCATTTCTAGAATATCAACCATCATATCTAGTACAGCTGGAAACCATTCCACAGAGGAGGAGGAGGAGGAGGGAAGGAGATAAATTAAAGACAGCATTTTCCCTAGGAGGGTCTTTGCTGAATCATCCACATCACCAAGACAGATAGGAGCCTGAGGACCCCTCCCAGTGTCGCCCACTCTGTAGAGAAGACAGGAAGTTGCAGCAAGAGTCCTAAGATGACAGGTGTGAGCAGTGACCCTGGAGAAACGTAACTGTGCGTGCACAGAATGTCTTTGGAATTAAAATTCTAGTTTCACATTCAGCTATTTGATCTTTGACTCAAAAGGCCACAAAAAGTTACCTGGAAGGAAGCTATCCCTTTTAGTAAATAGTGCTAGGAAAACTGGGTACCTACATGCGCAAGTTTGGAGTCTAGATCTGTTATCTCTCGCCAGTTACTAAACTAAAAAAAAATGGATTAAATGCCTAAATTTTAAATCTGCAACACAATCTGCTGGAAGATGAACAGGTACAGTTCTTCAAGATGGGTAGGCAAGGATTTTCTGAATAGAACCCCAGTTATACAAGAAATAGTACCAAGAGTCAACAAATGAAATTGTAACAAGATAAAAACTTCAACATTGCTGGCCATTAGAGAATGCAAATTGAAACACTGAGATTTCACCTTACTCCAGAAAGCATGGCTATCATTAAGAAATCTATCAAGACTGTGGGAGGAAGGAACCCCTCACACTCTCCAACCATAGTACAACTATGGAAATCAGCAGGGAGATTCCTCAAAAAACTGCAACTAAAAATTCCACTTCACCCCGCCATTCCTCTTCCCAAAAGAGTTAAAGACATCACAGTAGAGTGACACATACATACACATTTCTAACAGCAAAATTCATGATAACTAAATCTTGCAGGCCTATACACGCATCAGATGAATGGATAAAAAATGTGGGATTTACACACAATGGAGTACTGCTCTGTCATAAAGAAAAACTCGAAGCATTTGTGGAAAAACAGACACAGCTTTAGACCATGACACATGAAGTAAATCAGGCATTCAAGGGTTAAAAACTGCATGTCTCCTCTCCTACTAGAAACCCCAAATATAAATGGAGAACAAAATAAAGGATGGATACCATGTGAAGGAGAGTGGTGGATCTTTTTCAGATGGGAGGGGTACTAAGAGAAAGGGGTGAATGGGAAAAAAGAAGGAACAATGTTTGGGATGCATTGCATACATGTAACAACTCCACACAAGGAGTGTGATCACTACAGACTACAAACACAGACCACTACAAAATAAAAACAACAATAAAAAAACCCTTTATTGAAATTAGCAAAAAATTTTAGTTTTAAACTTGTGCCAGTTAGAACCCCAAGGGAAAGCACCAGCCATGACCTAACTGGAAATAGCCATCAAAGTTTTGGTCCTACCTCCATGGAAGCCCACATAGGACGCCCCGCTTCCCATCCGGGACAGTTTAGTGATGAAATAGACAAAGATGCGGTGGTTCTTTCCTTGCACCTTATTGACCTCATTGAGAGCAGAATACCTAGGAAGAAACAAGAATGGAAACACAGGAAGCTGAGGAGCCCTGGGAAAGCTGGCAAAGCAGAAGCAAGTATGGGAAGCCCGGGTTTTACAAGCTCTCGTCAACTTCACGACCTCACTTCTCTCTTACTGGGCTCATTTCACACCGGGTCCTGCTCCTTTTGCTTGGAAGGGGCCTTTCTCCACTGACCAGGCGCTCAGGAGCCTGCCCTGCTGGGACGAGAGCTGAGGCCCGCTGACTTCCCTCTTCCAGAGTTCTGAGCTCAGTACGGTATCACCCACAGGACCCAAGCCCAGGACGGTTTCCCAGGAGCGTGGGACTCAGCCCTGAAGTGCAGCACGGCTTCCAGTGCTGCAAGCGGTGCAGAAATCTTTCCCACTTGGACACGCGGTAATAAGAGAACACAGTTCCATCTATAGGCAGATTTCCTCCATGCAGAACAGAGAAATGTTGGAGACATACAAACAGCAGTATTTACATACTGCTCCTGCACTTGAATTTGTAATAAATTCTGATTCGAAATTATGAGCAGTTGGGCATGGTGGCGCACACCTGTAATCTCAACACTTGGGAGGCTGAGGCAGGAGTATCACTGTGAGTTTAAGGCCAGCCTGGGTTACGCAAGAAAGTTCAAGTCCAGCCTGCACTAGTGAGACCTTGGCTCAAACCAGGGCTGGAAACACAGCTCAGCAGCCCAATGCTCGCCTAACAAGCGCAAGGTCCTGAATTCAATTTCCAGTACCACAAAACAAAACAAAATGAAAAGAAAAATCCCAAAATTATGAACAAAAAATGACTATACACACATAGAACATTCACACACATATAATTTTGGGGGGTACCAGGGATCAAACTCACGACCTTGCACTTGCCAGGCAGGTGTTTATGCCACTGAGCTAAATCCCTGGCCCATATTTCATGGTTGACAAGTCTTGTACTTTACATTTTATTAACTTTTTGGTTTATCTATCTTTATTTTCTCTAGTCCACGTTTGGGGCAATGAGAAGGGAAAGAAAGCTTTCTTATTTTTATTTCTATACTTGTTGTAATACAGTACTGTTTCCATGGGAGAAATTCTTTAGGAGGTTCTGAATAAACTGTGAATTTGCCACATTGTTTTCTTTCTTTCTTTCCTTCTTTCTATTTTGTTTCAGTCTCGCTACATAGTTCAAGCTGGGCTTGAACCCACTATGTAGCCCAGCACTCATGGTGATCCTCTTGCTTGCTGGGAATTCAAGGCAGCAGCACCACATCCGGCCTGCCCACCCCCCATTTATGAGAATAACTCTGAAAACTTACTTAGCGGAGGCAATCAGCTGCGCACTGTAAAGGCCATCGTCGAAGTCAGTCTGGATGATAAGAATTTTACAGCTGGCTCTACTTGCTAAGCAGTTTCTGAAAGAAAAAAGAAGTTACCCAAGGAGTTCTCCATCTCCCAAAATTATTATGAAAATTCCCCAAAGGGAATCGGCTGGATTCTTCTCCAGGAGGTGAGCAGGCCATCTACTGCAGAAGGGAGAGGCCAGAGCAGGTGTCCTGAGGCAGAAGGACAAGGCTGCGGAGAAGGCCCTTCACGACAGACCCCAAGTGGCAGCAGAGACAGAGGGGTACAGGGCCATGTTCGCAGATCCCACCTGGGGAGACTAGGGGGATGACTGGGGGTGGCAGGTGGTGGGGGCCCTCACCGGACTGCTTTGAGGAACGAGTGCTCGGTGTCAAACTGCTGCAGTGACAGGATGCTGGGCTTTGGGGCCAGGCCCTCTAGCTCTGATGCTAGGATTTCACAGTCGTGACTCGTCAGCAGTCTGGAAAAAGTAGTGATCTGCAAACAGAGGCACACGCACTGCTCACCAGGATGCACGGGGGTGGGGTTAGACCTGGCACTATGGGGGCTTCACTTGTCTTCTCAGGTCACAGCCTTGAGCAGTGAGGACCCAGGCAGGAAAGAATCCCCAGCAAAAGAGCTGAGCCCTAGCACACAAGCCAGGGTTCAGGTGAGCGGGACCTCCAGAATCAGGCGGTATCAGGAGAAGACTGCTTGCTTTGGTCCCTGCCTGAGATTCTCCCGGTGCTACGGGCTCAACACGAATGTCACATCTTCCTGTACCCTCACATGCAGTCAGCCTTGGCTGCTTCTTCCCCCACTTAGCAGTTAGCAACTCTCACTATTAGAGATGGTAACTACACCCCAGAGTGCAAACTCCAATGTTCTTTAAGGCATGTGATATCTCTACTCCAAATTCCCCCCCTCTGGACCAATGAGCTTCTGATTCTTATATCTAACTGCATGGCGGACATCCAAACTCATCTCAAATGGACCTTACTGTTGGCTCCCCAAAGAGCTCAGGAAGAATCCTGGGTCACCTGCAGACTCCTCCACTGCCCAGCGCCTCTCTATAAAGGAAGTAACCCTCGCTCTCTGTCATCCTTCCTTCCTTCCTTCCTTCCTTCCTTCCTTCCTTCCTTCCTTCCTTCCTTCCTTCTTGCTTTGTACTGGTTATTGAACCTGGCATCTTCACACTGATCTGCATCATCAGCCCTTTTAAAACAGGGTCTTGCTAAGTTGCCCATACTGGGCTCAAACTTACCATCTTTCTGCCTCAGCCTCCCCACAGTCCTGGGATTGTAGGGATTTGCCCCCACATCTAACCATTTTTGATTCCATCTCTCTTCTTGCCCTGTACCAATTCAGCAGCTTCCTATTGATCTTCCCTGTAAGAGCCTTACCTCCCTGTTTTACCATCACCCAAGGAATGGGGTGAGCAAAGTACACATTCCTCCACCCAGAAAAGACCAAGTTCCTCAGGCCCCCTGTGAGGTGTCTGTGACTGTCTCCTCCCACGACCCAGCACTCATCCCTGAGCTTCCAGCTCCGTCAGGGTCCCTTCTGGGCACTGGCAGTGTCTCACACCTCAATCTCTTTGGCCCCCAAGCCTGCTCAGCCAGTTCTGGGGTCTCTTTAGGGAGACTCGCATCTGACTTCCTCTCCCGCCATCTGCCCGCAGAGTTTATCCCAGGACAGCACAGCACTGCATGTCCCGCACTACATCTCTGATGACTGTGGTCCACAGAGGAAAAGACGCTGATGCCTTTCGCTGTTGTCAGCCCAGAGCTCTGCTCAGGAACTCGGTTAAACTGAACTCACTCTCCCTACATGAACCCCAAGTCTCCACCTGCCCACAGATATCCCTGAGCACTCGAGTGAAGAGAATGTGAATCCTGGCCCTTAGGGTTGGAACTCCTGGATGGCAGAGCCTTGGGTACCCGGGAAGGACAGTCACCTCAGTGAAGACGGCGTGGTGCTCCAGGCCCTTAGCTGGAAGATGAGCCTGCAAGAAGCCTGCAAAGGAGCTGTGCTCTTGCCGGAAGTAGTACTCCTGTGCCAGTGTCCAAGCAGATGAGCTCAGTCTGGAGGTGCTCAGCCGCACCACAGCGTCAGGTGTGGCACAGTCCAGCAGGATCAGCTGGGCCGCCTCCATCACCTTATATTCCAGCTCCTCCAAGCTGGGACTCAGTCCCTGCCTCTCTGTGGCCTGCAGCACCACGGAAGCACAGGCGTCCGAGTGGTAGCCGATGAAGACCTCGGCAGGGCTGTACTTGTGTGCATTCGCACAGAAGTCTGTTTTCGCATCTGTGAACTCCTGCACCCAAACTGTGAGCCGGCGAACGATGTTCTTCTGCCAGGGCTCCAGCATGGTGTGGATGTCTAGGAAATGCTTCTCCAGCCGATTGATGAGGGGCACAGGAAACTGCTGGTATACGACGTCCTTCTCCTCGATGACGATCAGGCGGAAGTCTGAGTGGACCCGACACTTGACACGGTGGGTCCCCAGGCCGAGATCCACATATTTCTGGCCCCCGAGGTAGACATAGTATTGGTTCAGTGCGTCGTACAGGCTCTCGTAGAGGTTCTGTAGGTTCAGCAGCACCACCATCTTGCCTGTCTCCATGCAGATCTTCACCCGGTTGATGTTGCAGCAGATCTGTGTGTATTCTTGGTCCTGCGGAAAGCTGGACCCGAAAATGATCTCTGGCTGCTGGTCCTCACCAAAGAAGGTCTGCTGCAGGATCTGCAGGGCCACGTAGTTCTTGGTCAACACCAGTAAGTACCGGGATTCAGTGTCATCTGGTTTGGTGCCTGGTGCTCTCTGTGGGTCCCCAAATATGTTCTGTTTGATCAGCTCAATAGTGCTGACCTCCTGCTTCCACTTGGCCTCCGGTAAATGGGCTGTGAAAATGTCTAAGGCTTGGATGTCGTCTTTGCCACTGAAGTTCCGCAGAACAGCCTGTGCAATGTCCTGTGGGGAAAGCTTCTTATTGGATGTTCTAGCCTTTGCAAAAACCATCTTGATGAGGCTGTAGTAATCACGAAGCCCAAAAAATTCCTTATCCTGTGTCTCACACACTGTTTCGTACGCTTTGGCAAAGGGCCCAAAGTACCCATGGATTTTGTCCAGAAGCAAGTTATCAGAAGAGCAGATCCCCTTGGCGCTGTCTATGAGCTCTTTCTCATTGGGACTGCCACGGGACACAAAAATGCCCCGGTTCATCTTGGCAGGGTCCAGGGCCCAATTGGAAATGCCTATGAAGCCAACTTTTTTGTAGGCTGCAGGGTCGTCGTCAATGCAGCCGTCTTCCAGCAGGGGGTGCAGTGTCTTCAGGGGCATTTTGGGAGAGTCTTCTGCCAGTCCAACCTCATCTAACACCACCACAGAGACATACTGCAGCAGGTCTTTACCCTGCTGGAAGCGGGCACACTGCCTAAAGATGCCAATGATACCTTGGGGGGTAGAATGTGGGCTGCACTGAAAAGACACCAGATGGACTTGTTTCAGGGCACGGAAGAGACTGGAGTGTGCAGCCTGGCCTTGCATGGCATCTGCCACAATGGTCTTGGCGAGAGATTTGGAGCTGCCGGGCTTCCCCACCAGGAAGAGAGGGATCTTCAGCTCAATGCAGACGACCATCATGAAGACATTCTCCTTCAAAGCCAAGTTCTTGGCTATGGTTTTCCTGAGGGGTACACCACTCAGGAAAAGATCCTGGGCCAGGCTGATCTCATCCAGGATAACCTTACTGTCATTGTACGGTTCTGGCAGGAATTTGCAAATGGCTCTCCGGTAGGGTTCTTTCTTTTCTAATGAGGCATGGTAACAGACCCCAATGGCCAGCACCAGGGACCAGAGGATGGGATCTCTCTTGAAGTTGTTTTTGTTGGCACTGGTCTTAGAAAGAAAGGTATTAAGATTTCCCAAGAGCATATTGCTGTGCTTGTAGAACCAATGGAAAACTCTTACGCAGCGTTCCACGTCCCGGAGACTGACAAAACTGCATTCATTCTCTCTCTGCCTCATGAAGCCCTGAGATGCAGAGAGCACTTCTGTAATCATCCGATTCTTGTCATCATCTATGTTCATGGAGTCTACTAGTTTCTGGACGATTTGCTGGATGTACAGTTTCTCAGCAGTGTCATTCAGTTGTCCGAAGTCCCACACCAGAGGAATCAAGCTTGGTGGCAGAGCGTGGACGCGGTAGACCAGCTGTCTCAGAGGGATGGAGCCCAGCTTCTCTGCTGTCTCCTCAGCTCTGACCCGGTATCCCAAACCAGCTGCCTCTAGGCGGCAGATCATCTCCTGAGAGTGCTTTCGGTAAGGGTTGCAGGCGGCTATGATGTGCAAGCCAGAGTTGTGCTTCAGTGGCTGGCCGTCCACTGTCCAGTCACACAGAACTTCTTTGATACAGCTTATGGCTTCTGTTGTGTTCGCTTCATCAAAGAACAAGATGGTGTCCAAGTGGTGCCGGTGCTTATTGACAAAAGCGATGTCCTCGGCCTCCTGGACACTGGAGTAGACCATACTGGGAGTTGTTCCTCCATGGACCTTGACCAGCTTCATGGTATCAGCATTGGCACCACAACGCCGCAGGTCACTGAGGAACCGAATGAGCCTGGTCTTCCCACAGCCAGTTTCTCCCATGATGATAACTGGGATCCCGCATCGGAATCGCATTTCAATGGCGAGGATCTTAAGCATATTGTCTGTTGTGAGCTCGTAGGTTTCATCAGGGTCAGTGACCCTCCGGATGCCTAGTGCCCGGCAAAGCCTTTCAAGTTTCCTGCGTCTGGGCAGCTTATCAAAGTCAATGTTGAAAGGCACCTTCTGAAGCAACAGCCCATGATACAGCTCTGAGGTCATGACATTTTTCTGGATTACTCTCCCATCCAAGTGACTGATAGCATCAATGCTGCCATTGTTATTGGGCTCGAGGTAGAAGCCCATAAAGGTCATAGTCACATGATCGCCATTGAAAAAAATATATGGATGGGGCTCTGATTCCCACCTCTTTCGGAGAGAGAAGGGGGCGAGGTCTTCTTCCTCAACCCCGTCCAAGGTGACCGCATAATTCCCTGGGCTTTGGTCAGAGGTATACAGTGTTGGTGTGGCAAAGTCTCTTGCCATGAAGATCATGAAGGTCACAACGAAGTTCTTGAAGCCCCTTAGCGTGTCCCCAATAAACCTTGCGTTGCAGAAGACAGAGGCCTCACAGTCCCGGAGCTGACAGTTTAAGAAACAAGCGAAGTTCTGAAGCTCTGACCAGGATGGGTTTACCACCCCGCAGTAAATCAGGAGGTGCTGCATGCACTCCTCTGGGGTGCCCTCCACAGAGCCTTCTTTGTATTTGAATGTGTCCAGGTTTTGTTTTTGGTGGAATCGTCTTAAGTATTGGAAAGGCCTCTGGAAAGTCTCACTGCGGAACTGTATCTTGTCCATTTGAGGATCCCTGTGGCTCCCCTTGGGAGACAGCTCCATGTCTATCACTTCTTTAGGAGGTCTGCAGGTGACTTTGGGGAAGATGTCAAGAAAACCGAACTGCAGGGCACGTGCACTCTGCAGAGGAGAGACATAAATTAAACGGTTAGGACTGGATATCCCGAGACAATCTTTGTGTCTTAACTCTCTACATAGTCTAAACTGGCGGGACCTTTAGGAAATTTACTTGAATGCTTACATGTGTCTCTTGCAAGGTATCATGGAATCTGAATTCTGGGAGCTGCATTTTCTCACCCAACTTTCTGAGACCCCACTTCTCACTGAGCATGCGTGAGCATTGTTATGTGCGAACACAAAACCCTCTTGAGCTAACAAGTTCCAACAAGGAATGTCTCCTTGACATCTTAACCAGTAATGAGAGAGAACTGCTCTCTACTGATGAAATGCTCTGCTTTAAGAACACAATGGAGGTTTACCCTGGACATATCTACTAATTCCTAATGGAACAAGACACATTTAAGGTATTGCTAATTCTGACAAGAGTATTTTAATTCCAGACATTGAAAAAATTGATAGATGAAAGCCTTAGTAACACTGTACCTTATCCAGCTGCTTCCCTACAGCAAAAGTTGAGGAACTACAAAATCCTATCACCTCCAGTCTTTTTTTTTTTGTCTTTTTCCTTTTTATCGGTACCAGGGATCGAACTCACGACTGTCTGCTTGCAAGGCAGGCGCTTATGCCGCTCAGCTAAACCCCCAGCCCCTAGTCTTGAGGGCTGCAGAACTGAAGGCACCCATGACGCATAAAAATGTTCTATAATACACACCGATTTTGAAGGCCTGGCTGGCAGTGCCGACTTTCCTTCCAGGATTTCAATGATGTATAAATGGCGTGGGTTCCGGAGCCACATTTTCCCATTTATATCCATGAGGTATTGTAAAATGAGAAGCTTGAAAAGAAAGACCCAAATTCCACTCTGTACCTAAAGATAGAAACACAAAAGTTTGTAAACACACAGGATGGTAGCCATTCTCCTGGCCCTAAGGGCCTTCTTGTGTTGTCCTCTGAGGCTGCGACACTGGTCATGAATTCAAGGAGGGAAGTCTCTTCATACAGGGTGGAGGGAGGTCAGGAGGCCTTTCCTGACCCACTCCTCTCTGAAGCACCAGGCAACTTACAGAAGCAGTCACATCCAAGTGGAAAATCATAGGCATTTGTTGGTATTGTGCTTTTAAGTAAGGCAGGAGGGCGCTCAGGACTTGGTTCTCATCCACACGAGGGTTGGTCAGCCGAATAACTTTCAAAGGTACCCTGGTATCACTAAAATTGTTCTGCAGTTTGTCGTGCAGTCTCTTCACGTAGAGAGACTTTCCTGTGACATTAAAACACAGAAACCAGATCTCAAGATTATGGAGGAAGAATGCACACAGATCTATTACAAGTTACCTCTTCTTGAGTGAAATTCAAACCTGATGCAACCTAACATCCATGTATAAATGTGCTCTGAGTCCTAAAGTCTCCTGGCTGCTCTCCTCCTCCGACCCTTATCTTTCTCCTGCTACTGACAGCAGCCCAAGTACAATGCAAGCAAGAGGAGAGGCCTGCTCTTTGGGGCAGGTGGAAAGATAAAATCAACAGAATGAAAGTCACTACTTCTTCCTCGGAAACACAATGGTGTGAGCAGAGGGGCATCTGTCCCTGCCTGAAACGGAGTATTAGCCTGCTCTGCTCACAGGCAACATCGATCCCACGGAGGCCGCTGCAGTTTTGGGGGGAAAGTAAACAACAGGGAACTTTGCTTGGGGGAGGAAGTGAGTTCCCAGGCACTGCTGAATTTGCAACTGAAGAAAAGAATGTCCTAGTTAGGACAGGTAATAGGCAGTCAGACCTTCCCATGTCCTGGACTCTCCACTTGCAGAGGAATTTTATGAGATACCCACAGCCACAGAGGGTAGCACACTTGGCAACCCCCAGCCCCAGACAAGGGTCCACCTGCTCATTACCGACACCCGCTCTCTCCGAGGTCACAATCCCAACAGACATCCCGTCTCTGAACACTGAAGCCGCTGACACCATCTGCTTTGGGATCCTGTAGTGGTGCTCAAGGTAGGCCTGGATGTCGGGCAGGGGCTCCTGTGGGGTGAGGAGGGATTTGTGCTGGCTGAAGGCGGAGGGGAGGCGACAGTGCTCCCGGGTGGCATCACAGACCACCACCAGCCGGTAGTCCTCTCGGTGGCGCTGTGTGCACAGGCTGTGGAACAGCGCCTCCGTCTGACAGGCCACTTCATAGCTCAGCTGGTCAGCAAACAGCAGGCTGTAGATCTTGTGTCCCTGAGCACCTGGGGTGAGGCAGCGGCGGAGAAGCAGTGCCACTTCCTCAAACATGGTCTCTGGGGTACACAGCAGCACCTCGTCAAAGGTGGGCAGGGGCTCCTGTGGGGCCTGCATGTAGATGGCAAGGGCGGCTAGCAGTACCTCAGAGTGGCCACACAAGACCAGGTTGGGCTGGCCCTCGTGTAGGCCGTGTGGGAAAGGCCGCTCCACGGTGATGCTGACCATGCGAGCCAGCTGAGCCAGACAGAGGCCGAGGGCCTCCAGGTCAAGACAGCCAGGCAGGAAGATACTTGAACACTCTAGGAACTGCTCCATGATGAACTGCAGCTTCTTCTCCAGGCTGGCCTTAGAGTCCAGCTGCTGTGCTAGAGCCGTCATCACTCTACTCATGCGGTATGGGGAGAGCTCACTGTTGCACTTTCCAATGGCCTCTAGGATGTCACCTGCGGTGCAGTTGCTTTTGATGAAGGAGAGCATGGTCAGGGCAGCTTCGCTGGGGTGGTGCTTCCAGAGCTCAGTGCTCAGGTAGACCAACTGCTCGGCAGTGTAGAAGTTGAGGTAAAAGTGCTTGGCACGCTTCTCTGTCACAAATCTCTTCCAGAGGTCCAGAAAATGCTCCATCTGCCTGCACAGGGCCTCCAGGCATACCGTGACATCCCCGCTCTCTGACAGCTGAGTCACCAGCTCCAAGCCAAAATCCATGCAGATGGATATATCTTCCATGGGGCAGCAGTAGACCTTCACCGTCCAGGCCCTGAAGAGCATGTTGCCGGCAGTGTACAGGTTGAGGAAGGCCTGCAGGAGCCGCTGCATGCCGGAGAATACCTGGGGAGGAGCGGTCAGGAGGAGACAATAGGCAGCACATTAGTCTAGACACACACAGGGGTAGGGTTCACTTACATCCACCAGCTCACACAGCCTTTAAGAGTAGGTCTTCCGTCCCCCACCAATGTGATCAGGCCATGCCTCCTTTCTTAAGGAAGCAGAAGGTGAAAGACAACGAATGCCGACTGCAGAGCCCACAAGACAAGGGGGAGACTTGTCACATAAGCCAACAGCCCTGTGCTCATGTGGTTCCTTCACTTTGGATGAAGGACTTTCATCAGAATCACCAAGTATTTGAGTTTTTGCCAATTTGCAGAGTAGTGAAGCAATTTATATTTCTTTGTAAGAACTACCCATTAGGCTATTTTCTTTCCAACACAGTAGATTAATGACCAGAGGAGACATTCATTTAGAGAGTCTCAAGGAGGAACAGCTTCCCCAAGGGTCTTCTGAGCCTAAGCCCCTCTCTGGGGCTGTTACTTGGGTCTAAAAGCATTTGCGGACGCACCTTGAGCCAGGTCATTCTGCCCATCAGATGCCAACTTGAACTTTCTCAGGCAGCATGGCGGGGAAATTTCCCAGCCTACCCCACGGTGACAATGGTACCTGCCGAGGGCCAGCACAAGCTCAAACCTCACCTCTGTTTTTCTTTTGTACCAGGGATCAAACTCACGCCCTCGTGCTTGGCAGGCAGGTGGAGAACCTCACCTCGGAAAACCTCTCCACTTCCTCATTGTTGTGGTCTTTCTTGCCAGACATCAGCATCAGCTTATTCAAAAGGTCCTTCAGGTCCTCCAGCGAGTACTTGCGCACTTCCTCCAGTCCACCATGATTCTCAGGAAGGATCAGGCTCAGGACAGTATCTGGGGAAAGCTGGGAGATGCCACATGTTCAGAGGTCAACTTCTGAAGGCAGAAACCCAAAACCTGCAGCACATGAACCAAAGCCAGCCTGGGTTCTGATGGTGGGGAGCTCACCTTCTGGCCATCTGTGGGTGCCCTGATCACATAGATGCCCTTGCTGTTGATTGCTTTGGCCAGGGTCAGGGATGACAGCTCTACAGACCCATGGCTTTCCTTCACTGTCTTCAACCACTCCAAGTTTCTGGCAGAATCTCGCTGTTAGGAAAAAGCAGAGGCACACGAGTTACAGTGAGTAAGACCAGCTTCCCTTCCACTTTCCTGTGCCTCTGTGCTGACTCAGCAGACTGCCTGTCCTGCTCCAAAGCTCTGGGCACTGCAATTGGTTCAGAGCCCATGACTGCATTAGGTGCCACTGCTGTCCCTCAGGACCCATGCACGTCACACAGGGAGGCTATCTGCCCATCATTCACAGTCCCACTGATGCCTGAGCAGATAGCCACAAACTGCTCTTCTGTGAGCCACTATCCTCCTGGTCCTCAAGGCACAGAGCCTCCCAAGGAGTGATGCTACTGAGCTGTGCTAAGATTCAGTATCCTTTTCTGGACCCCAATGACAATCCGGGGAACTAAACAAAAACTGCAAGCCAGACTCATGTCTGCAGCCTGAGACACGAAAATTGTGAATCACTACTTCTGTTCATTTCTCCCCATGTCTTCCTCTAACCACATGTAGAACTAGTTGTCCTGAGGCCACTTCAGGCTACAGGAAACACATCTGCTGATCAGGCAAGGCATGGAGTGTAAGATACCTCAGACCCTGCCATGGATATTTGACTACTAAATACCTTTTCCTGATCACGCATGATGGTGCATACCAGTAGTGCCACCTTCCTGGGGAGACGAGGCACAAAGGTCACAGGTTTGAGCCCAGTGTAGACAATTTAGCAAAACCCTATCTCAAAATTTAAAAACAAATTTTAAAAGGGGTGGGAATATAACTCGGGGCGGAAGCCTGGGTTCCGGCACCAATACTGGGGTAAAACAAACAAACAAACAAACAAACAAACAAAAAACCAACTGAGAAGATACTAAAAAGTAAGGGAATAAAACCACCATTCAAGAAAACTACTGGAAACATTTTAATATGTTTCCCTTCGGTCTTCTGTGTTCCATAGGGTAGAGGCTTGCTGACATGCAATTCTTTACCTCCTTTCCTAACACAAGACAGAGGAGTCATTCCACTGTGGAAAGAAAATGGTTTCTGAGCACCAGTTTGCATGGCTGTCCATGTCTCCACCACACAGTTCTGCTGCCCTGCACACAGCCACTCCCCCGAGGCCTCTAAGTGCTGCCTTCCTATCCTGGATCTGCCGTGGCACCAGGAATGAGACTTACCAGCTTATTCGGCAGGTTCTCATCATTGTCTAGAGCCTTCCAGAGTTCCGCAAGCTGGTCCATGAACACCTCGAAGCCTGCTGTCCCATCCAGATCGTAAAGCAGGCAGGCATAGCCCTGCACAGCATCATGGAAGCAGGCTACTCGGTCCACATCCATATCGTTCTCCCCGGCTGAGATGGAGGCCAGGTCTACAAACACCTTGAGCTCATTAATGCCTGGGGGAGACAAGAGACGAGGTCAGTGTGGCACCACACCTCGACGGCATGACAGTCCAGTCTGGGCCATCACAGTGAACTTATCAATGGACACTAAGTCAATGTTCAAGGCTTTACCACTTCCCAGATTCAAAAAACATCTGGGTACTTTGCCAGACATATAGTGTACACCCCAAAACCAATGTTCCAGATACCCCATTAGGCCTGCATGCACCTTATCCCCATTAGTCTACCCAATTTTGTCATGCAGAAATGAATAGAAGCCCAACTGATAAATAATATGTTGATAATTAAGTATAATAAATCAAGATAATTCTCCCGGAGCTAATCAGTAATCAGCGAAGATGTAGATCCCAGAGTGTACAGCAAAGCTAGCAAAAGCTGGAACCGGTGCAGCCTGCGCTGGCAGCAGGAAGGCCACATCCATGTCCCCACAGCACACCCATGCTGCTGTCTTTCCTCTTCCACCTCCTTCACAAATCTGCCTAACCAAACAGGCTGCTCAGGGCCCTGGCTGGAAGAGATAAGCACGGCCAGGTTGAGTACCTCGCCATGGGCAAGAGTTCTCCTTGTGTTTTAGTGAAAAACAAAAACAAAACAAAGCAACAGCAACAAAAAAACATGTGTGTGTGCGTGCACACATGCGTGCACGCACACACACACACCATCTAGATGAAAGAGCTATCAGGGATTTATAAGAAAATGAACCTTAGCTCCTCACAGCAAACATCTACAGAGTAGCAGAGGAAAAGAAAGATTTTCTTCACCAGGACCTGAGAAATGTCATGTAAATTCCACCCACAGTAATGAAGTATGCACCACTCAACAACCTAAAGAATTCAGATAGGTCTGGCCTGGAAGTACACACCTATAATCCTAGCAACTCTGGGAAACAAAGGTAGAAGAATTCCAAATTCAAGGCTTGTTTAGACAATTTAATGAAAACCTGTCTCAAAATAAAAATATAACATTAAGAGCTAAAAATGCAGTTCAGTGCAAAGCTCTGAGATCAATCTCTAGTATTGCAAAACAAAAACAAAGCAAAATCCCCCTCAAAATGCAAGCAACATTCCTATCCTACACATGGGGATGCTGGGTGAGAATCTTGCAAAACGTAGGAAGTCCACACAGGAAGCCACCTGAGTCCCTGGCAGCCATGGCAGGTGCCGAGGACCAGCTATACCTTCCATTTCTTCATGGAGCCAGGTGACAAGCTCTTTCTGCAGGCACAGTTCTTCTAGACACCGGCGGCGTGGCTCACTGATGTCCTGCAATTTCTTTTTGGCCCCGATGAGCTGTGGGCTGATCTGGTCCAGTGTCTCATGGCAAAAGTTCTCGAAGTTATCACCCTACAAGACAAAGCTGTGCTGGAGGCTGGCGAGGGCTGCTGGAACACCTGGTCTGCAGATAGCTACAGCGACACTGCAGGGCCATTGCCTTGCCCAACTCAGAATGAGCAGCTACTATGCCAACAGGGGGACACAGAGGGACATGCAGGAGGACAGCATGAGTCCCACTGCTGCTCCTGGATGGTCCAGAGTCATTACTGCTGCCAGTATCCGCCAGCCTCCAAAGAAGGTCACATGGCCTCTAAGCCTGCTCCTCAGTCACCCTACAGGTCCACGCTACTGCTCTCTCTGTGCTATCCATCAAGACACATGCCTAGAGCAGTGACTTACAAAAGGACAGTGTTGGGGGTTCAAGGTCAAGTGTGGATAAATCCAAATTTTAATCACACTGACACTTTCCTCTCCTACCAAGGCCACACTATACCTTATAAATCCCATCTAGAAAACAGTGAGAAAAGACTCATGTCTTACTCTCACAGCAGCAAACTATCATTTGCTTTTCCTGGCAGGAGCGAGGAGACCGGACCGCTGAAATAGCATTTTCTTCTTGGGCTTCTATAACCTAATAGAACCCATTCTTCTGTAAAGACAGTAGTTCTCCTGTTCCTGAACTCTTGCTTCTCATAGACACCCAAGAAAACTCATTGCCAAGGAGCAGTCAAACTAACTAAGGACGAAGGGAACTCCTCGTATCATCCAGCTTGAGTTTAGTATATACGAGAGCTGCTGGGCTCAAGGATATAGCTCAGCGGCACATCCTGGCAAACGTGAGGCTCTGGGTTCGATTCCCAGCCACAAAATAAAAACAATGAATGAGAGTTCCAGCAGAATTGCTAAATCGGCTGGCCCAGCTTTTAAACCAGAAACCCACGGCTCCCCAGGAGTGGAGGTCACACCTCAAACCCAAGAGTCACTAGCAAAAACTTACAAAGTTTAGTAACGTGTGAAGAACGCTGAAGTCACCAGTCAGCTCAAAGTTCTCCTTGACTTGTTGGATGACCTTGGCAGAGTTGACGGCCAGGTGCAGGCTGTGGTACTCCCTGATCTGCTGGATGCGCTCAGGAATCCAGTCCTTTTGGGCGGAAGGATTCACAAGGCACATGACCTGGAAGTCAGAATCCAAGTCCTCATATTTACCTATAAAGTCCTTGAAGATGTCATTAATTATGGCAAAGGTGATCTTTCCCGATTTCAGGTCGTAATAAAGTTCAGTGAATATTTTATAACAAGGAAGGTACAAGTCTTCATAGACGTCTGTAAGCTGCAGGCTCTTATCGTCCAGTTCCTCTTCAGGACTGCTCAGCAACTCTGCCCTCTGCTCCCACAGAATCTGGAAGACATGGCTGTCTTTTAGCGCGTCTATCTTCTTAGCCATTTCTCTGACCTCAGGGCTCAGATTGTAATGCGTCACATGCTGGGAGGCGAGGGACGTGGGCAGTTTCACAGCCACGACTTGGTTTAGTCTCTTGCTGCTGAGGTCTTCAGAGTGTCTTGCCTCCATCTCTTCAAGATCCACTTTGGAAAGCATGAGGAAAAGTAGGATATCAAACGGCTAATCCTGGTAGCATTTTATGCTATTTCCCTTATATTTACTCTAATTTCTTCTCTATGAAAACTCAAGAGAACCCGATCTGTAGGTGTTTCCTCCCTGTTTTCTGAGGCTTGTTCACCAACTTTCATTGTAAAGAAGCATGCAATGCTCTGGGCGAAAAGGGTAGCTAGAAACATCCATCTATTTTCCCTCCCTCCCAATCCCACTCCAGGGACAGAATGAAAGTTGTTTTTATATGCTGGGCAGAGTGGTGCTTCTTATAATCCCAGCACCATGGGTAGAGAAGTAAGGGGGGTTCAAACTATAGTACCACAAAAGTCATATCCTGATAAGGGGTACATCTGTGATTTTGACACTCTGAGAGGCTAAGACAGGAGGGACACAAGATCAAGCCCAGCCTGGGCAACTTAGTAAGACTCTGTTGCAAAATTTAAAAAAAAAACAAAAAACAAAACTAGGGGTTGGGGAAGTAGTTCAGGGTAGAGGTCCTGGGCTCATTGTCAAGAAAAAACTGCATAAGCACAGTACGCTTCAGGGCCCACACGTGGGAATACCAGCATGCCCCAAACTAAACATGCAGGGCACAGCCTGGAAAATAGGGGTCTAAGTGCTCCTCTCCCACCACAGGCAAGTCCACAGAGGACACTGGCCCTGGGGAAATCAGTGGGAGCTTTGCAGATATGGTAAAGGCCAAATCAGAAGGATCTAAGCAGCAAAGCTGACTTCTCCTGGTAAACTCATGTAAAACTTGTTTTTGGTTAAAAATTGTTTTTGTTTCTGCAAAATGAGTTCTGTTCTTGTGACTGATTTCTGCTATGTCCTCCTCCAACCCTGGCCCTGGCCCCCCTCTGCCACACGGCGCCAAGCAGGAAACCACCTGGTACCAGGTGTCTGGTTTTCCCACACATCTTCAGGAGGCTGTCAACCCATGTCGCCTCTGTCTTTAGAATCTCCAGCTGCTTCCCTCTCCAGTTCAGCACTTTCTTCACATTCCACTGGTCTTCTCGCACTGAAGGACATTTTCTCTCTGAAACAACAACCAAGTAACCCAGATGGCCCACACAAATGGGTCGCTTTCCATGGCAACACCTTCGCCCACCTCCCTCTTCATTTGCTCCCAGGATAAGAGACCAGGAGGAGCCATGGGCTCAGCAGCACGGAATGAAAAGAGCAGGCACTCGTGCTTTGGCATTATTTCACTGCTTTTCCTTGAGAGTTATAAACCGTCCTTCTCAGCTTTCTGGGAAGAGACACTGATTAAAAGGACTATGAAAATGCACATGCAAACACAGGGTCTGCTCTCAGGAATTCCTCAGCAGCCTGAAGCCCGCACCTCCGCCCACCACTTACTCAGGTCACAGATGCTCAGAAACTGAGTGCTGTGTTCCTGGATCAGCTCCAACTGTCCAACTAAAATGGTCCCAGCCTGGAGGTCACTGACAACTTCTGTAAACACAGAGTCGACTATAGCCATCAGCTTCTGGCCTTCCTCTGTAATATTGGCTAAAATTTTCTCATTGGTTCCTGGTCAGAGGAAGAATACATTCAGAACAGCGCATTCCCGCATCCCCACTCTACCTCCCCACGTATATCACAGGCATCCCCCAAGGGTCTCTGGGTTTGTCTCAACTCCCACGCAGAAGGTTTCCAGATTTGCTGTTACTCTACCCTATTCTGCTCCTGCTCTGGAGGTTCATCTCTCATCCTAATTTGTCTCCCACATGGCTCCCATGTCTGGGAAGAGGTTTCCAATGAGAGCCAAGTTAAGCCAGGAGGACCACACTGCTCAGGGTTTTATAGCCTGTGCCCTTAACACGACAGATTCTCAGACTATGGTCTGCAGGAATCACCTGGTTTTGGATCCCTGAAGCAGCAGATGGAGGTGCAGAAAGGCACACTTATACATGCAGGGCTCACAGGGGGGGAACCCATGACACGAGACCTTCCCGGGGGCACCGCTGTACCGTACAACTTGAAGAACTGCTCCACGTCCCGCCATGTGAGCAGGTACTTCAGAATCTCGTCTGGGTCATTCACGGCTTGCCCATTCCTCTGAGGCCAGGACTTGGTAACCACTGCAGACAGGAGGATGCCAAGTTTCTGGTAATCATAACAGGAGAGTCCTTCAAGGATACTGGTCTGAGACTACAAGAAAATGAATAAAAAGAGGAAAGTCTAGAAGCTTTTCTTCCTGGTTTGTTGTTTAGTAACAGAAATAAGTTACCCAATAGCAGTTCAGAAGTACTACTGAAGGTGTTTTTGGAGGATTGCAAAACAATCCTGAAATAGAGGTGAGGGCGTGGCACATGTCGAGTTATTACCAGGCACGACTCACAACATGGGGTCAGTCCTTAGCACCACACGTATACACATGCAAACACAAAAGTAAAACAGCTAGTATTTTTTAGACCGCTTCCACTTCCCTCTACCATTGTCTTAAGTGATCAGTGCCAGAGATAGGAAGAAGCAAAAACACAGCCACGCCCGCACCGGCTACGTCAAGCTCCCCTTCTGGCTGGCCGCCAGCTTTTCTGTGGCTCCTACACTTTGTGTCATGAAAAATACCAAAATCAGTGTGATTGAAACCGTAAAGAATCATTTGCTTATGTTCCTAAACCACAATCCTTTCAAAGAGTATGTGCAAAAACCACAAACATCTTAATTCCCTTTCTGATTCTTTACCAAGAAACAAAATGTTTTTCTTCTTTAAGTTCAAAGTTTCAGCAAATATTTTTTAAAGAGAGGGTAAATTTACAACATTACATCTCACCACTTAAAAGGATGAAATAAGATAACCATTGTTAAATTCCTATCATCTTGTTTTGAAAGCCGATATTGTTACTGTTTTGGGTTTGTTGTTTGTCTCTTTTGCTTTTTTCCTTTTCTGTGTTTTTTGTTTTCTCTTAAAAAAGGATGAAATAAGACACTCAAAAACGTATGAAATGAATAATATACAATGGCTAAGTGGGATTTATGGGGGATTAATTTAATACAAAAAATTAATATAACACATTGTGTCAAACAGCAAAAACCCACTTTGATCACTTTGTTATATATAGGAAAAGTTTTTGACAAAATCCAACACTCCCAAATTGGAACCAAGATTCCATTTCACTGCTTTTATCGCAGTACTAAAATTTCTAACCAGAGCAATCAGGTGAAAAAAAAAAAAAAGACATAAAAGGCATTCCGACTAAAAAGGAAGAAGCAACAGGTAACAACATTGCCCGTATGGGGAACCTTACGCGTGCTCCCTCTCCATAGATACCCCCACTGGAGCCCCAGAATGATACCAGCCAGGCTGCAGGGTGCAAGAACAAGGTGCAGGGCTGGGAATCTGGCTCAGCGGCTTACGTGCCTACCTGGCAAGCACGAGGTTGTGAGTCTATCCCTAGTACCAAAAAAAAGAACATATAGTTTTGCTGGGGACTTAGTTCAGTGGCATAAGCGCCTGCCTGGCAAGTACGAGGTTGTGAGTTCAATCCCTGGTACCACACACACCCACACAAAAAAAATAAGGTGCAACTATATTTTTATACACTCACAATGAATGATCTATAAATTAAGAAAGTATTTCAGTTCCAACCGCAAAACAATAAGGTACTTAGAAATAAATTTCACAAGAGAGACGTAAAGCTAAGGCTCTAAAAACAAAACCTTGTCGAAAATAAACTAATGACCTAAATAAGCAGAAAGACATTTCACACTCACAGATGTGATTAAAGTAAAATTTCCCCCAAACCGACTACAGTCTCAGTGCCATCCCTGTCCGCCTCATTTCCCTGGGGAAACTGAGAAGCTGAGTTTGAAGGGCCGAGGCTGCAGACTTTCAGAAGAAGCAGGTCAGTGGCAGAGCGCGTACTTAACACATATACCAGATCTCTAGCACAAAAAACAAAACACATAGACAACTCATAGAGGGAAACACAGCCTTAACTTTTCATGATATAGAATTTAATAAAAGATTCTCTGATAACAAAACCATAAGCAACAAATCGGAGTGTTGAGGTATACCCATAACCCCAACACTCACGAAGCTGAGGCAGGAGGATTATGAGTTCAAGACCAGCTTGAGCTACACAGTGAGTTTGAAGCCAGCCTAGACTACATACTGAGTCTTAGTCTCAAAACACACACACACGTGCATGCACACATCCACACAAACTATCACCATCATACTGGACTTCATCAAAATTAAAAACATGAGCAGAAACCACAAGAAAAGATAATCCATAGAATTCACAGAAGGGAAGAGACTGTTAATACGTCTTATATCTGACAGGAAACTTACATATGGACAGTATAAAGGACTCTTACCACTCAAAATAAAAACGCAACCTAATAAAAACAGGCCAAAGATCTGATTAGCTGTAGCCAAAAACACATGAAAAGTTGCTTGATGTTACTATTCAACAGCGAATCAAAACCATAATGAGAGTCGCCCTCACATCACCCAGGACAGCTAAACCATCAAGTTAGAGAGCACGATCGGCAGCAGTATGGAGACCCCAGAAGCCTCCTACGATGTTGGCTGGAACACGAAAGGTCCAGCTCAGTTAGAAATTGGTCTGACAGTTTTCCAAACAGTTTAACAGACTTACCATACAACCCAGCAGTTCCACAGCTGGGTATGTAATTTCTCCAAGACACATAGAAAGACACACCCACATGTAAAGCTGTACGTGAATGTTTACGCCAGCGTATTTAGAATGCCAAAAACAACACAGATGTTCATCAATGGACTCAGGGAATAGAAACTCTATACAATGTGGTATCTACATATGTACTCACACACTATGATTTCATTCCTGTAACGGTGTGGAGGGAAATCTATCATGGTTATAGGTGCTAGGATGGGAACAGGTGGCTGCAAGGGTGGGAGGTGACAGCTAATGCTGGGGGTAGGGTCTCCTTCTGCGGGGAGAAAACTGGTTCACAATTATCTGTGACAGTGGCTATATACTTCTGTGAATAACTCACACCCACTGAAGCGTAACTGTCAGTGGGTGAATAACGGTTTGAATAAAGTACGGAAATGAAAGCCTCATAAAAGTTATTAGCTGGTGACAAACCTTAGGGACCCTTGGTCCCTGGAAGACAACAAGCTGTACTTCCAGAATTACTTGCTGGCCAGCTGGGAAGCTAAGGCCTGCAGTAGAAACAGGAGCAGGGGTTCTGGGGTCAGCAGGGAGCCTGGCTATGTGGTGTCCCGAGGAGACTTCCTGCTGGCCCATGAGGGACAATCTCTTTCCACTCAGCAAAAATGAAAAACAAAAAAATCCCTCAGTGAATTGATGGCATGTTTTGTTTTTTTCTGTTTTACAGAGGCTCAAACTCAGGGCCTTGTGTGCACGAACAAACCGCTTTACCATTCAGCTACACGGCAACCCTAATACAGACTTTACGGTTTCATGCCTTTTTCTTCCACAAATGTTTTCTCGATTTTTGGGAGTCTTTCCATGCACACCTGCCAGGTAAATGTCAGTGGAGGAGGAAGCCAGTGAACTACAGTGCTCATGATATGCTCACATGCAGCATGGCCCCCCCCAATACAAACAGCCTCAGCTGTAGGAAGTGGGGAGACGGTTACTGGGTTTCAGTTTCACCACCACACACAAGGAGAGGGACACCCACGATACAGCCACTGCTCAGCCCAGCCTCTCAGAACTAGCAAGCACTGAATGGCCGTCAGCTGCAGGGAATCCAAACAGGAGAGACACGTCACCTGGCAGGTGGAGCTCACAGCTTCGATAACACAGTCCTGGAAGCTCTGGGCCACACTGTCAGCCGGGCCTGTAACGTTCCACTGAGTGCTGCAGAAGGCATTGATCTGGAGGCGCGGTGGTGCCTGCGGACATGGAGGGGCGTGAAGCATTAGGAGGCCGTGCTAAGGCACCATGCGGTGTAACACCCATCCCCACCCCACCTAGTCCTGTGCCTCTGTTCTCCTCGATCCATGCTAAGCACATCCTCCCTGCCCCTCATCACAGAAGCAAAAAGAAAAACAAGTGTCTTTTCTCTCGAGTTGCAAAAACAGCAGCTCGGAAAACAGGCAAACTGTGACAAAGAATTCATTTTTCCCTTTGCTTCTATTTTCCTAAAAATGATCCCTTTGGCAGGCACCTGTGAAGCCTTCATACAACGTAAAATCTGATTTCCTGGGGTCGGATGTCTGCATCCAAAATGAAGAGCACTTTTTATGTTCTCTCCATTGTCACCGTGTTTTGTTTTACTACGGCTCCTGCCAACCACAGACTGTAGGAGCCCTTGCCTGGGGCAGGACTGCCCCGTGTATGTAGAAGGCTCCCGTACTGCCACCAGGGATATCACAATAGAACCTGGAAAGCGTTTTCTGTGGTCAAACTGAAGCCAGATCAAAAAGAGAACTACAAAGCCATGGTTCATCCTAGGTTCTGCACAGGCCGGCGGGCCATCCTCATATATCACTCACGTCCACCAGTCCTTCTGAAGCTCTACTTTCACTGACGTCCCTGCAGCCACTCCCCCCAAGAGCACCCCTGAAGTCCCGTACTTGCTTGAGCCTCCCTTCCATGTGCCCCAGCAGCGATTTTTTCCAGATTGGTGTCTCAGGGAAGTCTATGTTCACGAGCCGTCGCCAGACCTACAAAACAAGTCAGTAACAGCCACCAGGACACCTGTATGGGCTAATCCTTCAGAAAGGACAGGCACCCAGGTGAGGGGACACAGGTGTGTAATCCGAGGTGTTCAGGAGGCTGATGCAGGAGGATTGCTTGAGCCCATGAATGCAAGCCTAGTGTAAATAACATACATTTTATCGGGGCTCAAAATAAGCCAGACAAGTTGTGAGAGTGGTGGTGTATACCTGTAACCTAGCCCTTGGGGAGCCTGAGGCAGGAGGACCTCAAATTTGAGTGACTTAGCAAGACCGTGTCTCAAAAGGTATGGGTAACAAGGTTCAGTGCCCTGGGTGCATGGGGCTGCATGCCTGTAATCCCACTGTACTTGTGTGGCTGAGGCAGGAGCCTGGGCTTCATAGTGAGTTCAAGAACAGCCAGAAATTATACAGTGAGAAGCTATCTCAAAAAATGAAACAAATAAATGACAAACAAACAAAACCCCAAGTATGATGGAGTCTGGACCACAAGATACCTGCTCTGGTGCCATTTCTATTACTCACGGGCTGTGAGTGGCACACCAGAGTGAAGCCACTGATATGGTTGCATCTGAATGTCACCCCAAAGCCTCATGCAGTTACAAGTGGGTGCTCTTCAAAGTGGCTGAATCTAGAGTTGGTGGATGATTCATTGTTCAGTGTGGGGATGTAGCCCATACACAATATGAGGGGCAGGAGTCAGTTCTCTTCTTCTTCTGCTTTTGCTCTTGTTACTTTTGCTGTCTTCTGCCACCACAAACCTTTGCCTTTCAGTTGAGCCGCCCTTCCTTGGAGGAAGCTGACTATGGACAGAAACCTCCACAAACTGTGAGCAAAATAAAGCTTTCCTTCCACTTAACTTTGCATGTCGGGTATTTTGTCTCAGCAATGAGAGAACAGTAACTAAGAAGCCACCCATGTGGCCTGTGAACCCAGGGCCCTACTGGACCAGCAGCCACCACTGTCCTTCCACTCCACAACTGGTTTGAGTATGAAAGAATTTTGAGCCACTACTGTATTTTGAAAACTTTCAAACTTAAAAAAAAAAATTGACAAGGACGGCAGTGACCCTCATGTCCTCTGCACTATGCTGCTGAGGTTTCTGTATTCAACACAGCGGATTTCTCTGTCTCTCTCTATTCCTCCTCCCTTTGCTATGGAGCCACTTGCAGGACAGTGATGTTCCCCATCATCAGCGTCCTGCTGCCATACCCTGGAGAACTCACATCTGTGTCCCAAGTAGATGAAGGCATGAGGTGCATGAGCTGCCTGCCCCATGCCTTCCACTGTCTGCTCATGCTGACTGGACCCAGGGTCCATCTGGGACACACACTACCTCGGGTCTCTATTCCAGAAGGCTCCCTGGTATTTTATCTTTATGAAGCTGACTTTATGAAGTGCTCAGGCCACTTCCTATGCTGTTTCTCTGCCTGACTTACTGGTCATTCTCTGGCAATTAAGAATCGGGACAGGAACACTACAAGCTAAGCCCCGGGAGACACTTTGGGAGCATCAGGCGTGGCTGAGTGTGACTATTCCTCGGCGCTCAACAAACAGCTCAGGTGCTAGACTTAAGCCGGTGAGTCCTCTCTGGAACTGGGGGGGACAGTGACACGGGTGTCTGTCGGACTTGTCCACGATAAGAGTACTCTCTTACAGTATGACACAAATCCTGCACTGGAATAGTCATGTGCTCATGGGACTGGTTTCTGCACTCCTAGATATTCTTGCCTGAATCAGTTACCACAAGGGTGGAGGTCTTGGTGCTGCATTTTTAGGATGAGAGAGCAGACCCAGGCCTTTCACAATAACCTATCTCCCAAACTTTTACCCGCCCCCCACTCATTTTTTATTTTGAAACCGGTTCTCACTGACTTGCTAAGCTGTTCAGACTGGACTCAAACTTGTAACCGCCCTGCCTCAGCCTCTCAAGTAGCAGAATAACAGGGAACACTTCAGTTTTATTGGAGTGGCATGACAGGGTGTTAGTCTGAAACTTCAGATAGCAGTCGGGACGGGATCACCTGCTCCTTGATGAATTACAGGCTGGTGCAGCGATCCCTGCCTCAGGGGAAGCGGCCTAACACAGAGGTGGCCACAGATCACTGAAGGCAGGCTGGAGCTCATGGTGGGAACAGGTGCTTGCTGCTAAGCTGGGTGGCTAAGGAAGGGACTGCACTGGCTGAGCTGGTCGCAGCTCTGCTGTGCTTTCTGCAGGGACTGACACAGCTCCAGTCATTGAGAGAACAGTATCTCATGTGGCAACTGACTCAGCCCTCAGGGGACCTGTGGGGAGCTATGTCGATGAGGAGGAGGTCACAGGTCACTAGGGGGAACCCCTGGCTCCCTAACCTGGAAGCTGACTGCAAAGGGACGATCTGCTGTTTGGAAGACAGAGGCTGTGCTGTGTAGAGGGGGTGGCCAGAGCTTCCGCCTTCACCTGCCCAGGCTTTGTACCCATCTTCGAGAGGACTGCAGCCCCCTGCAACCAAACCTGCAGACCAAACCCCACAGCTTTTCACACTACTCTGGGGTGACCCACTTGTGGGATCCTCCCTATATCTGGGTACTCAGAAATGCAATGCAAGCACAGTGTTCCTCAGTTTCCCCACAACCAGCTCCTTTCACATTGGGCTTCTGTTCCCACAGCCGTGCATCTACCTGAAAGCCTCAGTTCTAACCCAGACCCCTTGTGTCCTCAGGGCAGCACTCTCGCCACTGCCTGTGCAGGAGCAAGGCCCACAGGTTCTGTCCTGTCTTGGGTCATGCAGAAGCTGGGGAAGCAGTGACACCCGCTCCTGGGGAGGCTCACAGAGACTCAGGGCAGCTCACAAGAGCCTCGCTGTGGCCCTGCCAGGAGATGGTGATGGACACAGTGGCACATGTCCCGCCTAGTGCCTTCAACAATTTACCTTAATCTCCTCAGGGTAGGAGAACAGGGAAAATGCACACAGCATGCTCTTTTTAAACACTTTCTTGAGCCAGTTTTGAGTGGCAGAGAGAGCACCCCAGAACACATTCTTGCTGGCTTCGTCCTCTTGGCCTGCCGAGTCCTGTGGGGACATGAGAGAGGTTACTGGCTCCATTCTGCTGCTCCCTCATCCCGGCTGGTGCTCCAAGGCCTTGTCTGAAGCCCACTGGATGAGCACTCTGCTCCCTCAGATCTGGGCTCTGCCAAAACACAGGAAGAAGGGAAAGAAGGCACAGTGCTTGTGTCCTGTGGGGTCCACTCAATAAAAGGGCCTGTCTCCTCCAGACCAGATGAGAGGTCCACGCTGTGAAACCCAGAGCTTGCAAAGCCCAGGCCACGCAATCCATGATAAAACAGCTCATCTGCTGTCCAAGAGGTCAGCGAACCCTCTTCCAAGGTACTCTCGGGAAAGGCAGTGCCCTCCTTTCCTTGCCACCAGCAAGGACAGGGTAAAGGGGTCAAGAGGCAAACTGAGAGCCAGACAAGGTGATAAACCCAACAGAACTGCAAGCACACCCCTTCAACCCTCCGCCATCACACATTGAAAAAAACAAAACAGGTAGGACTGGCATGGCGGCACATGCTTGCAATCCAGGCTGGACAATTTAGCAAGACTCTTCTCAAAAAACAGAAACAGATAGGGGCTGGGGATTTAGCTCAGCGGCATAAGCGCCTGCCTTGCAAGCAGGGAGTCGTGAGTTCAATCACCGGTACCGACAAAAAGACAAAAAAAAAAAACAAAAAAAAAACAAAAAAAAAACCAGAAACAGCTAGGTTTAATCCTAGTACTGAAAAAGAAAAGCAGCAGCCTAAAGGAAGCACCCAAGGCTGCACTCAGCGACCCCCAGATGGGGTTTTGCTTTCTCTACCTGCCTCTCATCAGTCCACCACCCAACCAAAGAGCGGACACCTGTCACATCAAGTCTGTTATGTTCCGTTTCAGTAACACAAAGTCTCCCTGTTTTTATGGCACCGGTAGCACTCTTGCCAGGCCACCACAGACTTGACTAACACAAGATCTCAACCAATCAGTCAACCAGTGAAGACAGCAATCGCCATAGAAAAATACACCCCATATAACTGCAGTACTGCATAGACACCGTGTGCCTGGGAGCTGGGATCTGCCTATGAAGGGTTATGTACTCAGGAGCGCTTCCTTTACCAATAAAATAAATCGGAGTGGGTTTCTTATATGTCATCAAGAAAAACTGAAAGGGATATGGTGAGAAGGTTAAATGATCTCTTTCCACTGAATCCCAAGTTTTGATTTAAAGTTGAGAAACAGACTCTGTATAAAATCCTATATCACTTTCAAAGAGAAGGCAGAACACTCAGATGGGGTGACATCACCGCTATGAAGAAAAAGCCCCTGATGCTATGGCCCAAAGGATGAGTCCAAAGTGCAAAGGTGAGAGGGGAAAGCCAGGCACTGAGAGTGACCCTCAAGAAGCCGCAGGGTGAGGCCCCGTATTGGGGATCACCCGTAGTTTAGGTATAGAATGTCACCTAAAGTGCGTGCGGCTTTGAAGGTGACTGCATCATGGGCCACTGCACTCATCAGAGGGGTCATCTGAGGCAGCACTGAGAGCTCAGCGTGCAGCTGGGGGAGGGCTGAGACCTGAACGAGTATTCCAGTTCCCGGCGCCCCCTTTCTTGCTCTGCTGCCTGGTGGCCACATGAGCAACTTTTCCTCCTCCTCCTCCATGCCCTCGGCCACACTGTTTCTGTCTTGCAGCCAGCTGACCGTGGCCTTGAACTGAGAGCCAAAATAAAGCTTGCCTCTTTTACGCTGCAGGTGCTGTAATTCTGTCCCAGTGAAGAGACAGTGATGAAGACACAGAGTCACAGGGTGCACAGAACTGGGCCAGTAGGACAGACTAAGCTACTGTACTGTACTGCAACATAGAGGCGCTCCAGAGGAGAAAGAGCATGCATGTTTGGGGGGAACGAGATTCTTCCATTTTCCATGAACAAAGAAATCAAGGAATATAAAAAGCCATCTTATCAGTAAGACCTTGCCTGGCTACAGAGCTGCCTCTGTCAGGTTCAGTGCTGAGCAAATACCCAACGCATACCCACAGCTGGATCTGCCTCACCCCAGCCATCCAGAGAGAACTGGTGCATTGTCCTTGTAGACAGAAGCTGCTGGGATCCCATACCTCCCCGAGCACAGTATTAGAAATATTAATCCCACTTACCTGGCCTGGCTGAAGTCTAACAAACCTGCCGACAAGCTCTGCAGACAAGGCCAGAACCTCGTAGAACTGGCAGTCCCGGGTGCTGCTGCAGACGGCTTCATGCAGTTTGAGGCACAGAGGCAGGTAACACTGTACCAGGGTCTCCTCCAGAATTCTGCCCAAAGTGCAGAAAAATCAGCATCACGCAGAAGAAATGGGCAAACAACGCCCATTACCGACGCTCAGCTCCTCCCCTCTGAAAGACTTGCAAGAAGGGCCTTGATCCAGCCTAGGTCCTAGGGCCCACGCCTGGGAAATTTCAATTGTCCCTGAACTTCTGAATCAGAGTAAAAGGGAAAGAAGTTGTTTTTCCTTTGCAGCATGAACTGTTCTAATAAAAGCAAGTTAAAGTACCTACAAACTCAACCCTTTACTCTGAAAAAAAGCCAGGGGTCTATGTAACTCATAGAAATGCTGTATATATTTGAAAATCAGCCCTACTTCCGGGCAGGGAAGGCAGACAGCAAGAAATGCTAGAAAAACAACAACATGTGTGTGGAGTTTCATCCCACTCCTCATGGACCTGACTTCTTTGTACTAACAGAGGTCTGTGAGAGGATGAGAGTGGTGATGCGGCAGCCACCAGCGCAGCTGTGTCCCTGGCACACCCAGCATAGCTGACTCAAGCTGCGTGGACACCGGGAACCAGGGGCTGGGAGCGCCAGGAGAGGCACAAACCCCTGAAACCAAGACACAGTTCTCTCCTGCATTCTGTCCCTCCCGGCAATAGATGGCACACAAAGGGACAGAATAAACGACTTCAGTAGGTATGCAAAACCACCTGAGATTTTCATTTTAAAGGATCTGATTTACAAAAGACATATCAAAACTGAATGTTAAAAAATGCAGCACAAAGCCAGGCACGGTGGCACACTATTATCTCAGCACTCGAGAGGCTGAGGCAGGAAAATAGTTTGCAAGTTCAAGAGCAGCCAGGGCTACAAAGTGAGCCCAAGGCCAGACTGAACTGCATAGTGGGACCCTGTGTCAAAAAAAAAAAAAAAAGCATGAAGCACCCACCTGTAATCCCAGCACAAGTCTAAATTTCATCTGGGCAACTTTACAATTTATTGAGATGTCATCTCAAAACTTAAAATATATTTTTAAAAAATTATTGATTTTCGGGCTGGGATTTAGCTCAGTGGCATAAGCGCCTGGCTGACAAGCACAAGCAAGGTCATGAGTTCAATCCCTAGTACAAAAAAAAAAAAATATTGATTTTTCTTTTTAAAAGTGTCTAATCACTATGTAGTCCAGGTTGGCCTCAAACTCACAGCAATCTTCTTGCCTCTACCTTTTGCATGCTAGAAAACAGGTATGTGCTACCATGCCTGGCTAAAATATTTTTTAAGGGGCTGAAGATAGAGCTCAGTGCAAAAGCCAAATCCCAATTTAAAATATGCAGAACACAAATATAATTATGTACAACAATAATGATCATTTAAAAATAAATGAAAACCACATAGGAAACAAAGACCAGGTGCAAATAAAATCTCAGCAGATGATAGCTCTCACTTCTTTGCTAAAAAATTAAATGATCAGATGGGGCACTGGTGAGGAGCAGTGGGTGTGGACACTGGCTTGTGGTCTTCCATCCTGGCAGTGAGTGTGAGCAGCCGCCCATCAGCAGGGCAGCAGGGACATGCCTGGGAGGAGGCTGCAGGTGGCTTTTCTACTTACACGCCACCGTACGTGTCCACGAGCTGCAACAGCTTCTTAAAAATTTTCTCAACATCCTAGGATCATGAAGGGAGAGGAAATGACAGATTAATTACCGTATGCTCTCTTGGGGGCAGCAATGCTTTGAAAAATCCTAAATATCTCTGAATAGTCAGATTATTGCTTTTTGCTTCTTACTAACTGCCTGATTCCCCCAAAAATTCAGGATTTAAGATTACATCACTTTCTATGGCCAAAAGTTCCTCAAAGGAGAGGCTGTAACTAGGAAGTGGGTCACAGCACAGTGCCTGCTGTTCTGCCTCCCACCAGTGGGAATAACAAAGGGCCATTATTTTCTTGAGTTGTATTTAGTGAAACAAATGTTAGACCTAAAACTACAACGGCCCCCTCCTGGTTCTCTTATGTCTAGAGCTGCCCCCAGCCAGGTGCACCCTGCAGGAAGGACCCACCCCCTGCAGACGTCTACCCACCACCACACTCTGGGAAGAGATGTGAGCTTCTGCCAGCCGATAGTAAGTCCCCTTGAAACAGTCCAGCACATAAGCAGGCGCATGGTTCAGGAACTCAGTGGCGTTGTCCATGTAGTGAACCAGGCACCCCAGTGGGAGCAAACTAAACCAGGACCGGAAGAGGTACTCATCCACATGGAGCAAATGTTTCTTTTTTTCCATAAACAGAAGCAACTCATTTCTGAGAAAAGAAAATGGGAACAGAGAGAAGGGCTTTGGTGAGATCCTAAACAGACCCAGAATAAAGCAGCACAAAGCCAGGAGTTTATAAAGTTCAAACTTCAAACATGATTTCAGTGTCACATGGGAATGAAATGTGAACAGCAGCAGGTGAAGAAACCACTACTGTGGGAGAACTGCGTGGATGCTACCCGGGGTGGAGCAGCTGCCCCGGCGGGACACGCACTGTGGGTTCCTCAGGGACACACTCGCAGCCTCAGAATGTGGGAGGGTAGGGCACGTGGATTGCGGAGAGTTCAGTGTGAGGGCACAAGTGAGGCCGGAGATGGAGGGTGGGGCGGCCACACAGCCATGCAATGTGTTTCATGCCACGCGCCACTCACTTCAAAGACCTTCACACACTGGATGATGTATGTTTTACCAGAATCTCAAAAAGAAGAACTGAAGCTGAGGGGTAGCTCCGAGGTAGAAAGCTTGCTTAGCCATGCATGAGGCATTTCCCCCGCACTGCACAAAAAAAGAAAGAAAGAATTCACCGGGAGCTGCATCTGTGGAGGAATTCGGGAGTGTTCAAGGTTAAACCAAGCAGGGGAGCGTAGTCTGTAAACAATGCCGATTCTGCAGGTCTGCACTGGAGACCCAAAACATCGACAGGCAGCAAATTAGCAAAGCAAGGAAGTGACGCAGGTTAGGACACTGTTGCAGGCTCACCGCGTACTGAGGCCTGTGTACTTCCGTGCTAAGGATAGACCCCCACAGCCTCATTCATCCCAGGCAAGGGCTATACCGCAGAGCCACAGCCCAGCCCCTAACCCAGCGGTCACTTTTACCTCAAAGACAGATCTGCAGAGCCCGAACTGCCATTGTTTAATGTTAACAGTTACATTTTTTCTAGATGGTCTACATTTTGAAGGACATTGAAAATACACACTTACATAAATGATTTTGAGTTGGCTTTAATTGCAGAGGTTTCAGATAGTAGAGAAGAAATAAGAACTCAATTAAACCTCGCTCAATTAAACCTCTTCCCTGTGAGGGAGCTAGGCCAGCCCTGCGTGGATCCGAGAGGTGCGTGGGGCTGTAAGTGTTGGAGAGAGTGGTCCTGGGAGCCAGCTGGTCTGTGTGGTCAGCAGTGTGCCCACGCCTCTGTACCTATCCCATGGATCTGTCCCTTACTAGGGAGGAGTGTGCAGCCTAGAGCTGTGTCACCGGCTGCTGCTCTCCTCACTTCTGGCTTTGGTTTTATTCCCTCCCCCTCCCCCAGGTCTAACGCACATCTGTCTCGGTCCTCTGTGATTCCAGCCTGCTCCTTCAACTGGTGAAACGTGTATTTCGTAGCTTCCACTTTACCTTTCATTTAACTTTCAATTTTGCACTTGAAGAGTTGTTTTTCCTTCATGCTAAAGAGCAGAAGGGGCGTGTGAGTGTGTGTGTGTGTGTGTGTGTGTGTATGGGGCGCCTGGTGCCCCACCCAGGCAACATCTAGAGACATAGGTGATTTTAATACCTAGGGAAGGTTGGTCAGCATCTTGTAGCTGGGCACCAGGGCTCCAACTTACCAGCCAGGCTTGGTAGCACACACCTGTAATCCTAGCACATGGGAGGCTAAAACAGGAGGACTATTTAATTAATTAATTAATTTATTTATTTTGGTCTTTTTCCTTTTTATCGGTACCAGGGATCGAGCTCACGACTGTCTGCTTGCAAGGCAGGCGCTTATGCCGCTGAGCTAAATCCCCAGCCCCAGGAGGACTATTTAAAGTTTGAGGTGACACTGGGCTACATAGTGAGCGCAAAGTCAGCCTCAATTACATAGCAAGCCTATCTCAAAAAACCAAAACCAATCTCCAACAACACCCGAAAACCACACACCTTCCCACACCCAGAAGAGTCTCATCATGTGGAGTAATTCAGTCCCAAACCTCAGCAGTGCCACAGGGGAGAGACCAAGGCCTCCAGATACAACAGTGGTTTGGTTTTTTAACTTTTAAAATTGTGGTAAACATACGCAAAAATCTGCCACACCAAAACCCCACTGTCTCTCATGAACTGAAGCTCTGTCCCCTTTAAACACTGACTCTCTTCCTCTAGGATCCTCTAGGGTCCACTCCACTGCCAATTTCTGTGAATTCGATGACTCCCGGAACCTCCCTAAGTGCAGCCATGCAGTATGTGGTCTGTTATGGTTCCCTTCAGAGAATGTCCTCCATGTATGTCCAGGTCATAGTGTGCACCAAAACTTTCCATGGCTGACTACAACGCCACTGATGGAGCAGGGGACAGTGGCCAAAGCCAGCCCTACCATTCCAGCTTGCAATGGACACCAGACACCACTGGGTGTGGAGGTCCTGGTGGCTGGATGGCATGGTGAGGCAGTGGAATTTCCTGGTAAGAATGGGGTGGGTCCCAAGGACTCTTCTCCCTTTGATCTTGCTTTAAAACATGAGTTGTTTCGGAAGAACAGTTCATAAATTGGATTTGTAAGGAGGCAAAATGAGTCTTACACAGTACACCTGTGAACGTTTATAACTCAAATGTCCATAGGTCAGGGACTGACTGTAAATACAAACATGCACACATCTGTTTACACCTCTCTCTCGAGGTTTCCTACCTGTTCCTGCATGAGATTCCCTCTTCCTTCCAGATCCTTCACCTTATTAATTTATTTCCTTCTGTAATCTATATGAGGGACTGAGTCCAGGACCTTCAATGAACTACATTCCCAGTCCTTAATTTTTTTTTTTTTTTTTTTTTTAATATGGTGAGACAGTGTCTCACTAAGTTACTAAGGTGCCTGGCCTGGACCTGAGGTCAAGATCCTCCTGCCTCGGCCTTCCAGAGTACAAGGATGACAGCCGTGTGCCATACGCCAGCTCAGTTATTTTAAACACGCTGCTTACAGATGACCCACTCCTGGGCCCCCGACAACTCTGGCGTGGCCCTGTGCTGTCTGCACTGCCCACAGCTGCTTCTTCAGCTGGGGATGCAGGCAATGGTGAAGACGGACTGGAGCGAGGTCATGGCTTTGGTGAGGCTCAGTTTGGCACTGCTCTGCATCCTCTGGACAAAGGGGAGACCACCATGTTCCCCTGGCAGAAGACGGGACCTGAGATGGCTGGGGTGACCCTTCCCTTCTTCCTGCAGCAGGACAGGGCATCTGAGCTTTGGCAGGGCCTTTCTGTTGCTGGCTCTGTGGCCGCAGAACAGCCACAGTCCCCTCACACTGCAGCTGCCAGGCTCCATCCATGGTCATCGCTCACTGTCCTATCCCCCCAAGACCCCAGGGGCGCTGCTCACCACACTGTGCAGCCTGAGCTGTCCTTTCCCAGCCCTCGGGGCTACCTCACTTCCAGCCACTTCTCTGTGGGCCAGGCCAGGGAGCACGGAGCCTGAGCCCACTGAGGGGCTCTGTGAACACAGGAGTGCACAAGCCTTTTGTGCCACTAAGAGAAGTTCCACTGCAAAGCTGAAACTAGTACGGTCTATTTTATTCAGACCTATGGGCCTTATTTCTGTTCTATTAAGTAATCTACCACTCAGTATTCTACAGAAGTTACACTTCAAGGGAAAGTGTGTTTGTTTTCTAAAAACACAGCTGCCAGGGTGCAGGGCTATGAGGGCATCCTGTTGGAATGTCCAGTGCATAGTTTTGTAGATCTAGCGATTGAACTCAGGGCCTTGCGTGTGTTGGCAAACTGCTTTATCACCAAGCCACCTCTACCACCGAGCTATACCCCATCCCTCCACTGAATTCTAACACAGGGTCTCACCAAGTTTCCCATGCACTTTTGATCTTCCTGCCTCAGCCTCCTGAATAGTTGGATTGCTGACATGAGCCACCAGGCCCACCTCCAGGTACATTTTAGACTAAAATGCATTTTCTTCTAGGTTAGTGTTCTAAATCCTGTCAGAGGTTCAGACATGTAGGGACCTGGAGCAGTCTCCTTATGCAGGTCTTAGTGGTAGCCTGCCCCGAGGGTGTCCTGCTGGCTCCCCACGCAAGGACACAGTGACTAGGGACAACGGAGCCATTCTCCTGAAATGCATGTGACCCACGGTGCCAGCCCTGCACAGCAGAGTGTTTCCCCAGATCCTCAAGCATGCAAAGGGATTAGCCTTGAACACCAGCCTTTGAAAAATGGTTCGGTGCTCTCAACATGCCCAAATGAACCACTACTGTTTGGATAACACAACCACATTGCCCCAAAACCCCTCCACTGATGAAGAGTCTGAACTGCTTTGGTAAAACATCAGAGTGAAAAAAAAGATCTCAATAACAGTAGATTGAGCATGGGGTCGACTGAGTGACATGAGCTCACAGCCAGCCTGAACTGTTAAAGAACTGTTTAAGATAGAGAAACTCTATCTTAAACAAATAAATAAATATATGATTTTGTTAGAATTTCTCCTGACATTTTAAAACATGCTTGAGTTTGTTAGCTAAATGTTTAGGGGCTACCATCTAGTTCAGAAGAGCATTTGTTCAGTTGGCACCCTAAGGCACTGGGCTTGATCACTGACAACACAAAATAATAATAATAATATTAAGGATAAGTACACACACTATCTAAACAGCCCTACGCCCAGATATCCAAGTTTTCTCAATACTTTGCCTGGTAACGCTTTCTTGTGAGGATGGGTGGTTCCCTCTGTTTGGATACACATAACAATTATGCCTCTGCTAGGGACAACAGCAGGAGAAGCACAGTGCCTACAATGGGCGAGTTTTGACCTAGCAGTTAGTTCTACTTGTAGGCTTTTATGTCAAGAAAACAACTGGAGGGAAGAACAGGGAAGACAGGAGGCTGCTTATCAAAGCCCCTCTCACAGCCGGGATCGTGGCACAAGCCTCGAACTTGAACAGTTTGGGAGATCGAGGCAGGAGAATCACAAACTGAGTTTAGTCTCAGCACTACAGTAAGAACCTGCTTTGAAAAACAACAACAACAAAAGGGTCTGAAGACTGGGGACGTGGCTCAGTGAGAAAGTCCTGGGTTCATCAGGAAATCAAAACGATCTCACAAAACTAAAGAAATAACCAAATGCTAACAGCAGAGAGCTGTGTAAAGGGAAAGTGGCACATTCTCCAAGAGGGACCTGAGCTGTCATCACCTGACACTGTGGGTGTGCGTGGACTGATATTAGGGAGTTCCCAGGGGCTAGCACTGTAGCCCAGGGGGACAGCACTGCCCTATTATATGGAGGCTCCAGTTCCACACCCAGCACCACACGAAGGCATGCGAACACGCATGCGCGCGCACACACACACACACACACACACACACACACACACACACTGTGCATAATGATTAGGTGAAAAAACTAGGTTGTAAAATAATAATTACTACCTATGTAAATATATTTTTAAAATTATATATATATATATTTATTTATTTATTTATTTATTTATTTATTTATTTTTTTACTTTCTTTAAACTCAGGGCCTTTGCACCGGGCTACATCCTTTGCTCTTTTTATTTTCAGACAAAGTTTCTTGGTAAATCTCCCAGGCCAAGCTCAAAACCTGCAATCTTCCTGTCTAAGCCTCCCAGAATGCTGCGATTTCAGGTGTCCACAATATATTGCTTGTCTCAAGATTGCCTTAAAATGAAACCCCAAAATATCTCTGTGTCGACAGAACACGGAGATATGTACACCAGTGTCCACAAGCAACTCTGGGCTTGTTGGTCACCTTGCACTTTTCACTGTGCCTTTGTGTTGCACACAGAAATGAAGCTACTTGTCTCACGAGAAGCAGAGATGAGCGTGCTGGGAGTGCCCTCCACCCTGGGCTTCAGAATTATTCAGTGGCTGCGCTGTCTTTCAGCTGGGAGTACTGAGCCACAGAAGCACAGAACTGCTACTCCACAACTGCGCTGCTCTAAGGATGGTGCCTTGACTTACTGACTGGCCGCGCTCTCCCGAAACTTTGAGAAGAGGATCCCTTCCAGGCCCGCCCAAGTGTCCTCCAACTGGTTCAATGGCTCGTGCTTGGCAGGGGTTAGCTGCATGCAGTAGTGCAGGACTGGCAAGGTGCCCAGCCAATGGTAGGTCCCTCCTTCCACTATGCCCAAATTGCATAGTTCCACCAGGTACTCTCCCCACCTAGGAGAAAACCAAGAAACAATGTGTCAGACACGACGGTGGTTGATGTCCTGGAACGGAAGTGACCGGCCACCTGCACAGGGCACAAGAATACCCCACATGGCTAGATGGCATTACAAACCCAGGAGATTCGGGGAACAGGGAGACACAGGGTGCTGGACCCCACCCTCATGCTGGTGCTCTCTGAATCCTCACAACAGACTCCCCTAGTAATCATTTCTGCCACATGGACTGAGGTGTGTGGACACTGACTAAGGATCCATGCAGGGGCCTCAGGGTAAGTCTCGGTAGAGAAGGGTTTTGAACTCAGGTTGCCTGGCAATAATGAATCTAAATACAAAAAAGCAACTTCATCAATGCAAGGAGCAAGCCTTGGAGCAGTGTAGTCTCAGCCCATGTTCCATAGTCTTATTAGCATGTCACAAATTTCAAACCCCTGCACCAGTTCCAGGCTTTCTTACCACTGTTTCTCCTCTTTTGCAAAATTCAAAGATTCCTGGGGCCTGGGGACAAACGAAGCAGGTGCCCTGGTAGAGCTGTGTGGGGAAGGCTGTCTGGTGCGGCTTGCAGTTAGTTCACAGCCACAGGCAACACAGTGAAAAGCCCTCATCCTAGTCTCAATTGCCAAGCAAAGGGCCATGGCCTTGTCACCAAGCCCTCCAATACCCAGCAGTGACCTCATGCTTCCTAAACCCTACAGCACAGGCAGAGCTGGGGAGCGCACACCTTGGCTGCCACAGAGGCCCCAAATTGTTGCCTGCAGGCAAGCAAGGAGCCATAGCACAAGACGCACAGACACAGCACGAGATGCAGCAGGAAGCCCTCTTGATATTTTCATTTTCTGTGTTTGGGTAAAGGGCTTCTGATACACTGCCCAGGCTGGCCTCCAACTCCTGGGTTCAGCTGATCCTCTTTCTGCAACCCCTCTGCCTGGCTTCACGAAGCTGGATAAAAAGCAGGATATTCAAAAGAAACAGAGGCTGGGCTCTCTCCACAGCAGAGCACTTGCTGGGATGCCCATGGCCCTAGGTTTGACCTCTGGTACCACCACCCAGAAAAAAGAGAATGAGAACACAGAACATAGCAACATGAATTATAATGCACATGGCAGGACAGACTGACATGGCAATGGTGAGTGGCAGAATGACAGGCAGCTTTTCTTCCTTTCACGTGCTCTGAGCCATCCCGCAACAAGGGCTCGTCTTGGTAATCAGACAACCATCAGAACAAACAGCTCTACACCCTTGACAACAGACAGAATACCTCTCAGTGGTGCTGCGGAAGTGGCGTAGGTCGCTGTGCAGAGCATCTGGCAAACTGGTACTGGGGATCAGGAGGCAGCTCAGGGAGGTGTCAGATTTGGGTAAGGAAATGTGGATTTTGTTCACTATAAAAAGGACAATCAGGCCCATCTGAAGTTTGCTCTTCACTGGCAAGTCTTTAGGCAGAGGGTCCCCACTCTTGCCTTCCAGAAATGGGGCCATTTGTTTCTTCAAACACTCCCACAGGTGTTCCTTCACCTGTGCCCAGGACACAAAGACCACATATGAGCCACACAGTACCTGCCCCAGAGCCTGGATAATAGCTGGGAGGGGCCCGAGAGTTTAGGGGAGTCCCCAGCCCACCCCACTCCCACCACCCATTGGAGTCCTGCCTTAGATGCTCACAGAGTCCACTGTCAAATGCAGGGACACCTCCAGGTCACCTAGGCCCTACACATTCTTTCCACTCTGTCCCAGACCATGTGAGAATTGGGTACCAAAGTGGGCAGGAATCAGGAGGAAGGAATGGAAGAGGGAGAGAAGTTCCAGGAGGTGAAAAGGGGAGAAAGAGACAGAACAGTCATCCTGTGTCCCCATCGGGGTCCGGCCACTCAGTCAAGGCTCCCTATGGCTCCTAGCAGGTGGCTCTGGCAGCCCCACTACGTACACTAGGGGCAGCCCTACCTCCTCCACCTTGTACTGCAGATCACTCCATATCTCCTTCTTCCCTTCATAAACCACAGGCTCTCGGATGACAAAGTGGAACTGCATGAACTGGGCAAAAAAGTTCCTCAGGTTGATGAGGTTCCAGGTCTGTAAGATGCTGAAGATGCGGTCCAGCATGATCTCAGCTGCCATGTGCTTCCCAGCCACCAGGTCCTTCCTCAGGTTGTCGTTCCACCAATTCGTGGCTTTCTTTAACACCCCAGGCTTCTTGCAAATGATGTCATCATACTGATGCCATTCTGGGATAATGGCAAGAACAGTGTCACACCCAATCCATGACAGCACATGAACTCAGGCCCCTCCTGGGTGGCAGCGACAGTAGGGAATGGCCAAAAGAGGGAACAAAGAAAGGAAAACCAAAGATTCTGGGGAACTCCATCAGTCACCCCTTGCCGGTCATTCCAGATGGCTCATGGGAAAAAGCCTTAAACTCAAGCCACAGATCTGTGTGACCATGCAGCTCTGCAAACTTGCTACTTGTGCCCCTGAAATACAACCACGTGCAGGTGACACACTTTGCACAATGATGACTCTGTGGCTCCCCAGCGGTGAGCACCATTCTGATGATGACTGACATGGTGCAAGAGCGGCTTCCTCTGTGTGTACCACGAACAGTGATGCCTCCCCACGACAGGGTAGCTTCCCTGGCAGCACAGAACCCTGCACTGCTGCCTGCTGTGGGGTGAGAGCCATATTCATGGTTGTTGTAAGAACTGGCTGGACTGTAAGTTTGAGTCCAGCCCAGGTTAAGTTGGCAAGACTGTATCACAAAAATAGTTTTCTTAAAAAGGGATCGATGGGCTGGGGGTTTAGTTCAGTGGCACAAGCAGCCGTTGGGCAAGCAGAAGGTCCTGAATTCCATCCCCTGTACCAAAAAAATAAAGGGATCGAAAGGTAGCTCAGTGCAAAGGTCCTGGGTCGAGTCAAATCAAGCTCAGAGTGGGGTCCAAACGCCTCTCCACAGCCAAAGCCATGCCTCCACAGACTGTCTCATGAAGCAGCAAAGCAGAGGGAGACGGGGGCCAAGCAGGACCAAGAGGATGGTCAGGAAGGCTCACCTCCATTAGCCTCCAGCTGTGGTGGTATGTGCAGACAGCGGTTGACATGCTCATCTTTCTTCTGTTTCTTGTAGATGAATTCATACTCCATGGAGTTCTGGGCTTTGAAGATGAAGTACTTGTATGGGATGGGGCAGTCTATGCTCTCCTTGGGAATCACCATGCTGCCCTCGATGAGATACCCAGTCTCCTGTAAGTGTCTGTGAATCAACGGGACACTGGGAAATTATCCAAAAGTCACATCAGGCATGGTGGCACATGCCTGTAATCCCAGCACTTGGGAAGCTGAGGCAGGAGGATGGTCATGAGTTCAAGGCCAGCCTGAACTGCATAATAAGACCCTATTACAAACAAGAACAACAACAACAAAGTAAAACCTGGGAATGTCAGCTGTTCTCTAGCCACCAAGGTGGACACAGCCCACACCAACAGATGCCAACCCACAGAACATGTCTAAAATAGGCCAGTGACCAGCCAGACCTAGAGGAAGAGCTAATGCGACAAAGAAAGGCACCATAAGGAAGATTTGTTTGAAACACTCATTTTTCAGAAGTTTAAGAATGTCATCCAAGTCCAAATGCCAATCGCTTACACCCACCTGGGCGAGCCCTCAGTGTACTCACTTGGCAAAATGCATCTTGCAAGCATTTGTCCACTCTGGCTTCCCAAGTCCTTTGCCGCCTCGCACAAACACTTGATGGCAGCTGGGGTCAACTTTGAAGTCCTTGGAGAGGATGGCGTGGAAGTACACAGTGAGTCCTTCCCCGGGGCCCAGCATGCTGGGGAGAGCAGACAGGCAGGGGGTAACAGCTCACGTGTCTGCCCCTCTGTATGCATTGGTTCACCTGCAGACATGCGTGTGCACACACACAGACACACAGGCACCATCCCTGCTTTTCTACTGTGCAATAACACAAGCGAGCGGACAGTGCTGCCCAGAGCACACATACACGGCGCACAGGAAGCCTTTAGTAGGGAGCCCATGCCTGTAGCTGAGGGGCTACAGGAAGGACCTGGGGCAGTGCAGGAAGGAATCTGGGCTGTGATGCATTCTGGGACCTTCTGTTCTGAAAGGCCATATTGGGACCCCAGGGACAATCAGGAAAGGAAAATTTGGAACAGGCCCCCCAGCCAGCAGTTCCCTCAAAGATGAGCTCAACAGAGATGTGGCTGGGGCGGCCCCCCTTGCTCAGGCCACCCAGCCGTACCTCGCTGTGACCTCCTGGGCCACGACGCTCAGGTTCCTCTGCTCCTTCTCATTTTTCACAGTCGCTGGTTGAGTTCTATCACTCTCTTCTGCCTTCTTCCTGTTTTCTAGCATCACATGTTCGTTTTTACTGGTTTCCCCCCCAGCATCAGCCGACTTGCCCTTGGCTTCCGCTTTCTGGAAAGAGCAGCCCAACCCAACTGTGAAGACCAGGTCTTGAGCTGTCGCACAGCTGCCACAGTGGCCCTAAGGACTCCAGTCTGGTCCACTCCCAGGTCCTCGAAGGAGCCCTTTCTCTAGCCCTCCACCCTTGCGGTTGGCCTCTTCTCCCCTCACACACGTGGGGCACCAGCTGCCTTCGGCTCTGAGGACAGGCCCACCATAATCCCCACCGAGGGGCCCCTGGCTGCACCAACCCTTCTGTTAGGACAGGTTTCCAGGTGGCCCATGCTCACCCCTCACTCCCACTGGGCTCTGCTCCTCAGCACATCACAAGGCCTTGCCCGGCCACCCAGCTAAAGGACGGACCTTCCCTCAGGGCCACCTGCTTGGGGTCCTGGCAGCACCTGCTTTCCTTGTGCACCCCTCTAATGAGCTCCAGCAGACAGCACCTTGGTCCCTCACACTGTACCCTAGCACCCCACAAACGTTCCCAGAGCGTGTGAAGGGCTGCAGAGGAACAGCTGGGATGGACACAAGAAACACAGGCCTCTACCTGGCAGGATCCCTGGGGTGTGTGGGGGCTCTCCAGTGGCTGTTGGGCTGCCTGAGTCTTGTCCTTCATATCCTCGGTGGACTTGTTTGCTTTGTTAGGTGGCTCAGCTGTCTTACCCGTTCCCTGAAAGAAATAAAGGACCTAGCCCCTGAGTCCAGGTGACAGAACACAGGGACAGACTTGGACTCGGTGGCACATGGCTCAGTACTGGCCGTAAACTGAGAAGGAGGCCAGCAGCCCTTTTCCTGTCCTGGCTGCAGGGAGCAAGTCTCAGGCAGCAGAGTGATGTCACCCCTGCAGACACAGTGAGGCAACCAGCGTGTGGCACTGTGCCAGCCACCTCCCCGACACTCACCTGGGGTGCTGGCAACCAACCCTACCTGCTGTCTTTGCTTCTGTGCTTTCTCCTTGGGCTCTGAATTGTCCCCTGGAGACTCAGACTGCTGAGTGACATTCGCAGCTCCAGGGTGGTCTTTACAGGTGGAGGTAGTTGGGCTCAATTGTTCTCCAGAGGGACTTTGGTCTCCAGAGCCCACCAGGGCATGGGAATCCTGCCCTCTCCGGGGCTCTTGGGTGCCACTTGGGGCTGCACCAGTAGTTCCGGCAGGCTGATCCTCCATGGGGCTGTCACCATCCTGGGCTTGCACAGCAGAGCCGAGGGAGACAGCCTCCTCCACCGGTGGTGTCCCTGAGGCCAGAGGATGCCCAGGCTGGCTGGCCAGGTCACCCTGTTGGGCTTGGCTGTAGGACATGGATACATCCAGGGAGCCAGGGCTTGAGAGCAAACTCAGACTAGACAAGTCGGGAAGAGACAGGGACAAGGAACTGGAGTGCGAGGGGTCATGCTGGTTCTGAGTTTTTTTCTTCCTTCTCTTCTTTTTACTCTAAACATTAAAAAAAAAAAAAAAAAAAAAAAGACACTGATTTTACTTCTTAGATTTTTCATATGCTACCCACTGTTTCTTTCCACTTTCTCAGGCACCTGAAGCTTAGCTTGGCAGACCGCACTCACGAACTCTGTTCCATCAGCAATTGCTGTGATACTGGGAACCAAGCCAGCGCCTTTGCACTGAGCTGTACCCCAGCCTTTTTTTATTTTCTACTTTAAGATAGGGTCTCACTAAGTGATTAAATTGCCTACACAAGGCTTGAGCTTGCAATCCTCCTGCCTCAGTCTCCCAGAAATACAGGTATGAAGCAAAACACCCACGTAGTTTATGTTTGACAGAACAGAACAAAGAAACAAAGGCAGGGCAGAGGAAGATGCAGTGCAGGGGTAACTTGCGTTCTGCCCTTTCCATAGCTGCACCACACATTAGGAGCCCAGAATGGAATAAAGAGAAGGAAGTGGGCATGCACAGGAGCGGAGGGCTCCTGGCTGTACTCCAGAGGCACATCGGACCCAGCGTAAGCACCTTCCCTGCCTCAGGAGCCAGGACTGGAGCCTGAGAAGCAGGGTGGGGACTCTGGGACCCCATGGGTGTGGCATTCTTGAGGGAATGCTCATCTGGTCACATCATTCTTAGGCCTGCCACACTGACAGGCAGCCAGCACATGCTGCCCCAACTCCCTACTCCTGAGGTTAAGTCAGGTGGGAAAGGGATACAAACAGTGTGGGTTCATCTGCATATAATACAGCCAGCCACCTTGTGGGTCAGCCTGCAGCTACCCCAGAACCCTAAGTGACCCCAACAGCTGTGCCCCAGTGGCCAGCACACCACGGGGCATCCTCAGCTCCCCAAGCATTGCTAAGCTTTTGAGAACATGAAGTTTAACACAGAACTTTCTCCAGCTTTGGAAGGCGACAAGTCAGGAGTGCAGACCTCGTTGTCATGCAGCACGGCTCACCTGTATGGCTGGCCACCAGGGCTGTGTCTGCATAGGCTTCCAGGGCCACAATGTGAGGGTGACACCAGGGTAGCAATAGGGGGCTCAGCCCCACAGTGCCTTAGGGACACCTAAACACCCCACCTTCTCACTCCATGCCCTGTGACTCTTGACACGGTGCATCTGGAGGTCCCACCTCCATCAGCTTCCTGCCGGCTTCCAACAGGCAGCTGCTGAGTCTCACTGAGTCAGACGAGGTACCCACTTCTCCGCACGCTGGTGCGTCACACAAGCAGCCTCACTTGCACAGCCAGCTCCTGAGCCACGTGAGCTTCTGCAGGAGGACACCAGGGGCCCTCATCCCACAAAGCTGACAACATAGTGGGGCTGATACGACACATAGTTACATGGGAAGCAAGGGTCAAGGCCAGCAAGGATGGCACTGGGGTGGTCAGAGAGGCCTCCCTCAGAAGGTTCCTGGGGGACACAGAACAGGGTTGGGTCTAAAAGAGGCTAAAGCCTAAAAGAGGGGCTCCACCTCCTCCACAAAAACCCTTGGGTTTCTGTTGTCTCCCATGACTTCCTGCTTACCCAGACTTAAAACTTCGATCTGGCCAGGAGTGGTGATGCATACTTGTAATCCCAGAGCTGAGGGAGGCTGAGGCAAGAGGGTCGGGGCTGGAGGGAAGTCCAATCCTTGCGCAGGCAGATGGGTCTCAAATGGCCCCAGGTATTGTGCTTGGAAGCTGACCAGATCACAGGTGCCACCCTCACCAGTGGATCCTGCACTGATGACTTCGTGCTGACTTGTGCTTGGAGGCCTGGGCTCTAACTTGGCAGGGTGTATTCCTGCCCTGGCTCCCACCCTCTCTCTGCCTCCTGGCTGCCCAGCAGGCCACATTCTTCCACTGAACCCATTTAGCCTTGGAACTGGCTGATTGTGGACTGAACCCACTGACTACCTTCCTTTAAGTTATGGGGGTCAGTTATTTTGTTTCAGCAACAGAAAAGTGACTAATACAACTGATAAGGGGGTGCTGGGTGCTCTCCAAACCCATACCCTCCAGCAAACAGGTGTTCACCCCCACAGCAGGGCTGGTAAGAAGGGCTATACAGATGCACTCTAAGTTACATCCTCAGTCTTTTTCAGTTTCTTATTTTGAGACAAATCTCACTAAACCACCCAGGCTAGGCTTGAACTCTCAATCCTCTTGCCTCAGCCTCCCAGAGTGCTGGGATTATAGGCCTGCACCACCATACACAACCAAATAATCCCAATGAAATGATAAACTTTTGGGGCTGGGGATTTAGCTCAGCGGCATAAGCGCCTGCCTTGCAAGCAGGCAGTCATGAGTTCAATCCCCGGTACCGATAAAAAGGAAAAAGACAAAAAAAAAAAGAAATGATACACTTTAAAAAAGGTCATTTCCTTCTTATAAGAGTAGAAAATAAGTCCAGGTGACCGATGTTCTAACTGCTTGATGGCGTGGATATCAGCTCTCACAAATGCTCCAAGAGCATGATACTGACTGGGGCCCCACTGTGACCAGCCCCTGGCCCTCTGGACCTGTTCCAAGTACAATCCCTAGCACCTGTCCTTCAGGTATAGACCTTAGGGACAGCTGCCAGCTGCCCTCCCTGGGGAAGGTGGCTCAGAAGGAGGGAAGCACTCAGCCTCGAGGAGAAGCTCGTGGCATTTGGAGGGCACAAATCTCCATAAGACTCAAGGGGTATGGAGAGGGGGGCCAAAAGGAGAGACTTCTTGTTCCCTCCGCATCACATGGGGGTTGTGAGGATGATAGCAAATACAGGGGTGGCCCAGGTAGACTCTGAAGGACTAAACCCAGCTCCATGATGAGCCAAGATGGCGGCCAGGCAATGGCCCAGCCTGTGTGCCCTAGCCATGTTCAGCCCACTTTGGCTACATTCGGACAGCAGCTGCCACTCATGCACCGTCCTTGTTCTCCAGTGCTGGGACAAAAGCCAGGACACAGGGCCTGCTAGGCCAGCACCCTGCCACTCAACTCCATTCCTAACACCCTTTTAATAAAATTAAACCCAACCCTGAGAGGCAAAACAGGCCATCCAGTTGAGGGAAGCCACTCCCTCACCCTTCTGAAGTGCTGACAGCCACTCTGTGTCTCTCTCCAAGCTGCCTTTAGCACCCTTGACCCACCATTCTGGATAACTGGTCCTCCCTGAGAAATTATGAAGTGTCGCTGTCCCTGACCTTGTGTGGACACCTCCTGGCCTGGCCCCAGGCACAACAATAGTTGCAGGTTCTATTCAGTTTTTAATGAAGCTTAGGAACACTGGCACTTAGAGGGCACGGATCCCTGCAGGACCCCTAGGGCGGGTCAGTCACCCTGTTCCTTAAAAGCCAATGTGATACATACAGCATTCCCGTTATTTTCTAGAACTCTAAAGAAGTTGTCTTATATTAAAATATGTAACAACCAGGACATATTTTAGAGTTAGCTTGAGCTGAGAAGCTGGCTTCTTCCACATGGTGAGCCTGGGGTTCAGACAGCGCTGGCCTAAGATGCCAACTCTCACTGTTTCCTGGGGACGCTCCTGTCACCTGTCTCGGCACCTACAGGGAATACTGCCATCACCAGCTTGGGAGCTTTACTATCAGTCTTCATTCCTTGTCTTCTTTTTTCTGTCCTTTATAGGTTTTCTCATCAACTTACAGTTCAGGTGGATTTTTGAATATTTTTTGCCGACTTCCAAAGAAAGCGAATCCTTCTCAGAGCTGTATTATTTTCCTACGTAGTTAATCATTTCATTTAAGGTAGAGGTCTGGAGCAAGGACAGAGCTTTGTCCGATTCTTCATGGGCTCAGACTTTTTCCCTCACGTATCAGTCCTCTATTTTACATTTTTGGGGGTGCCAACGATGGCACCCAGAACCTCACAGCCTCAGCTGGGCCTACCCCTGTGTGCTGTGCAAAGCGGACCCTACAGAGCACTCACTGCCACACAGGAAGGACACACCTGGCTCCCAGCCTTCCACCCTGACCGGCGCTGGTCTCGTGTATGCACGTGTGGTGACCTTACTCAGAGGATGGCAGCACCCTCTGCAGAAAGGCCAGAGTTAAACCTCACAGTATCACCTGCTGGTGCTCAAGGTTACCCTGTTCCTCCTAAGCAAAAGCACTTTCACTGCACCCAGTTCTGCATTTCGGAGACAAAGTCTTTCTGTGTGATGTCTTAAAACCTGCAATTCCTCTGCCTGGGTGATGGGAGTACAGGCATGCACTCCCCCAGCAAGTGTCATTTCTTATGTTGTTAAGGAACCCTATAATGCCCCCAAATGCTGCAGAGAATGAGGGGCCCCAGGACTGAGCCTCTGGAGACGGACACTAAGTTCAGCCAGGTGTCCACACTACGGCAGAGACCATGCCATGACATGCTGACAGGGGACCAGTGTAGCCCCAGTAGACTCCCCACTGGTGTTGGGTTCCTGCAACCCCAGAAGTCTGGATCCTGCTCTGCTCTGTGAGAAGGGCCCTGGCTGCTGTGGAGCTTGCCCCAGGGAAAATTTCTCCAGATGTCAAAGAAGAAAGTTTCATAAGAAATAAAAGCTGGAGACAGGATGGAAGGACACAAAAGTGTCCGTGAAATGTCTCCTTCCAAGAGCCAAAACTTTGCCCCTCAAGGGGTGAGGACTGAGACATGAGGGCAGCCTGTTGGCATGCAAGGCTAGACAGAGGCATCAGAACAGCTGTGCATGCAAAACACCTGCTCACAGTCTGAAAAACATGCGTCCTCTACCTCAAACATGCGTCCTGCTTCCTTCTCTTGTTCGGTGGGTAACAAGAAGCTTCTAGCTCATTAGCACCAACAAAAACCTCTGGGGCAGCTCCCTGTTGAAACACGAGCCCCTTCAGACAGGGCAGGGTTACCCCATGCACTGCTCCAGCAAATTCTCCATGACCTCCACCTTCAATAAGGTCAGGGCCGCTCGGTGGGCTGGCCCGTGGCTCCCGTGTCCTCTCTTCCCATGTCCAGCGTCCTGCACCCCACCCAGTGGGGGAGCCTCACAGCTGCACTTGGAACTACACAGGCCACTGTCAGCTGAAAACGGCAAGAACACACCATGCCTGGGACACAGGACAGCCCTATGAGCTGCTCCCAGGAACAAGGCCACCAGCTGCAAGCACACTCTGAACGGCACCTGTGGACCGGGCTTTTGTTTTTACAAGTTTCCTTCAGTGATGATACTGTACATAGCGTTTTCTTTTCTTTCTCTTTTTTCCTCTTTGAAGTACCAGAGATTGAATCCCAATTGCCTCCACACTGAGCTGCCCGTCCCGTGAGTCTGCTGCTCCTCTGTTTTTTTCTTTCGTGTTTTTGAGGCAGGGTCTCATTAAGTTGCCCAGGTTGGGCTTGAACTTGTAATCCTCCTGCTTCAGCTTCCTAGAGTCCTGGGATTACAGATGTGCACCACCATGCCCAACCTATAATGTTTTGTTGTTGAGATGAAATTTAGAGCTTTTTCCTTTATCTGTGGTGCTGGGGATCAAGCCAGGGACTCACGCAACCCAGGCAAGTGTTTAACCACCATGCTACATTCCCAGACCCAAACAGGCCACCTTCAAATGAATGCTTTAATGACTTTTCTAAAGTCACCAACTAAAGTTGTTAATCACCACCTCTATCCAACAGGTGTCCTCAAAGGAAACCCCCTGCTATGACATGGTAACTCCTTCTCTCTCCTGCCAGATCCATATTCTCTCCATGGACGTGTGCACTCCGCCCTGACCACACCAATGGGTTCCCTTCACCCAGCATACTTCCGAGGTCCATCCCTGGCACAGCTTGGACACACACGCCTCCTTCTTTTTCATAGCCAGTAACAGTCCACGGCGTATACACGTCTCGGTTTATCCATTCATGCAGCCATGGACATGTACCATGGTTGCTTTTTTTCCGTTTTTAGTACTGGAAATTGAACCCCAGGATCCCCAGCTTCAAGCCCCACAGCCTTTTTTCAGCTCTTTATTTTGAGACACAGACTGGCACAGGCTGGGTTCCAATGTACAACCCTCCTGCCTCAGCCTCTCAGAATACTGATAGTACAGTCATGTGCCACCACCTGGCCACATCATGCTGTACTGAACTTGAGGGGAAGGTGTTGTGTGAACACCTGCTTCCATTGCCCTGACACCTGTACCCAGAGGAGGGACTGCCGGGTCAGAGGGCAATTTTATGTCTACTTTTCGAGGAACAGTCTGGCACAGTACTACGCCACGGCTCTAATTCCTGCCCGTCCTCGCCACCAGCTGTTCCCTCCTGGTGTGTGAGACAGGGTCCCTTACTGACTCCAGCTCAGCTTCCTGGTCACTGCTGATGTCCACACTGTGTCACGTGCTTGCTGAGCACATGGAAATCTTCTCTGGAGAAATACTCCAGCAAGTGCTCTGCCCATACCTAGGTTGAACTGTGTTTTATTGTCAAGTTCTAAGAGTTTTCTGTATATCATGGGTACTAAATCTCCATCCGATATCTGATTTACAAATATTTTCTCCCTTTTTGTGGGCTGCATTTTCTATTTTAAATATACAAGTTTTCACTTTGACAAAGTCCAAGTTGTATTTTCTTCTTTTGTTGCTTGTGCTTCTTTGGTTTCACGTTTAAGCAACTCTTGTTAGACATTAGGCCTGCAACTGTCCATGACATTCTCTTAAAATCTTATAACCTCTAGGTTTTAAGGATTTTTTTAGATACAAAATTACACCAACAGTTTTATCACTCAGCACTTGAGTGTGTTACTATCTCCTGGACTCCATGGTTTCTGATGAAAAATTGGCCATTACACTACTTGAGAAATCACTTCTACAGCACAAGCCACTAATCTTTTGAAGATTTGAAGACCTCTTCTTGCTCTGTCTGGTTTTGAACTCACTACCAGCTCAAGCTGGCCTTGAATACAAATCATAAACTCACACGCATCCCACACTCAGGCCCTCATCACATATACTACCACCAACACCCACTGCTCCCCTGCAGACACCCACCACAGAGCGCAGTGCGGCCCGCTGTGTCCCTCCCACCGCTGCTGCCCCACAAAGCTCCCCCCACCAGGAACACCACCGAAAACCAGCCCATCCCAGTCACAGAGAGACGACTTCACGGTGGGACGAGGTGGCACATGCCTGTGATCCCAGCACTCCAAGAGGCTAAAGCAGAGGACTGCAAGCTTCAGCCCAGCCCAGGCTACTTAAAAACTTAGCTGGACCTGTGCCAAAGTGAAAAAGAAATTTAAAGGGGCTGGGGATGTAGTTCAAAGAGCAGAGGCACTGGGTTCAATTCTCAGCACAAAAATGAATGAGTGAATGAATGAATATAATTTTTAAGAAGCCAAATTCCCCTCCCCTGAACCCAGCAGGAAGCAGACATTGGATGTGGCCACTGGGGTCCTTCCCGGGCTGGAGCAAACATTTCTAGGTAGCTCCCTTGGGAAGCCTCCCCAGGACTCGCATGAGGTCCCGCCTGAAGAAATGCTTTCTGGTGTTTAACACGCTGTGGGCTCTGTTGGAAGCCATGGGGGACAGAGATAGGCTAAGCCTTTCTCTTGGACGAAGGATCCCCACCTACCTGTGTATTCCCAGTCCTGCCTAGAACCCTTGAGCCCACCAATCCCAGGACAGAGAGGCTCAGAGGAAAGCAGGACCCACAGACACTTGGCCCACACCCACAAGTGTCAGGTCAGGGAGGAGGACAGGTGATCCAGGGACCCTGTGATGGAGGAGGCAGACATGGGACAGCTCTGTCACTGCCAAGGAGCAGGGCTCTGCAGGCTGGCAACACAGCACTGGGGGCTGGCTAGACAGTCTCTAGCAATGCTACCCCAGAGAAGACACCACAGGGACATGGGGACAGTGAAGGTCTCTCAACGTGGACTGAGCTGACCACCAATTAAACCACCTCAAGGAAAAGCTTTTGGGTAAAAAAGAGGGCAAGGGGGCAAGTGGGTACAAGTGACGACAGGGGAGACAGGCAGAGGCAGAAGCAGCTCCCTCACCTTCTGGACTACGGTCCACGAGGCGTCAGAAATGGAGTTCTCTGGACTTTCCTGCCAGTCGCCGGAGTCTGGGATGGACTGCAGGTCCCTGTCCTCCTTCAGAGGTTTCCCAAGCTCCTGCTCTCCCTCGGGGGCTGAGCACGTCAAGGAGTTCTTGACAGCTACAAGCAGATAAAGGAAGATCAGGGAAAACCAAGGGGCCCAGGAAGGGGACACCAGCCCTCCGTCCTCTCCCCTTGCTGAGGCAGATTAGCATGGTGCTACCCCGGGGCCAGGCAGGACCCTGACCCCAGCTGTAGTACAGAGCAGGTCAGAGAAAGAGAGGGACAGTCTGAACATTCACCTCTCCAGTGCCTCAATTCCATACTTCTAAAGCAGTGCCCACTCATTCCTCCCCTTCTGAGAGCTCCTCCTCCCATGGAGGCCCAGAGGCCTCCAAAGCCTCTGGATTCCTGGCTCTGACCCACCTGTCCACCTGCTAGTCTATACCTATCCACAGTAGCCATCTACCTGGTGATACGGTCACTCAAAACCACCTGCCAGGGCCCAACAGGCCACTTCGAGGGGCCTCCACTTTCATGCCTGGGTCTCTGTAACTCCAGCGCTCTCCCCATTCTGTCTAGAACCTTCTCTTACCCTGACCTCCTGAGACCCCTCTCCCAGGCTGGCTCCAAGTGCACAGCTTCCTCTGGGTGCTTCCTCTCCAGGCCCTCCCATCTGCCCACCCCTAGCTGTACCTCCCTGTCTGCCCCTAGCTGCGCCCCACAGACTCTGCCCACTCTTGAGAGCAGGACCACAAAGGCCTGGGTCCCTGTGGAGCCCATGCCTGGCCACAGGAAGGACTTAGAAGGACAGCAAGGCCTCCAAATGTCTGCAGGCCTTTGCCCGCACTTACTCCTGTACAGCCACAGAGCAGAAGCTGGAAAAAGATCTTTAAACAGCCCCGGGCCACATCCCTTTGCACCCCCAGCACTGAATTAGAAACCAGAGGCTCTGAGCTTCCTCCCTCCCCCTGGGGAGCCCTGGGCAGCCTTGTCTGTGAAAGGGCCTCGCTCTAAGAATAAAGTACAGTTATGGCAATGGTCTAACATGGTGGAAGGCCAAAGTGGACCTCATACCCTGACGGCCACTCCCTCCTTCTTCCCTTTCAGCCCAAACTGTTATTTGCTTTCTTGTTTCTTTCCTCTTTGCTGGAAGAAAATTCTAATCAGTCCCTCCCACATCATCAATGCCCCGCCCCACTGTGCGCCACTTCCGATCAGAGGTCACTCTCTGACCCTCTGTATCCGGGCGGAGGAAAAAGCCAAATCCCCGTGGGCTACAGGCTTCTCTCCACATCCTCAAATAAATGCCCACTTCCACTTTCTTTTCTTTCTTTCTTTCTTTCTATCATGGCAGAAAACTCTAACATCGTCCACTCAGGACTTGGCATCTCCCTGAGCCAATCAAGGTGAAGAAGGCTGCAGGGCTCACAGGAGGGGGTCCCTGACACGGCCATACCTCCCCCACTCCTGGCAGAGGTACTGACAGTTCCTAGGTGTGATGCAGGCTGGCAACTGCAGCACCATTCCCCCTGCAGCCCAAGGACAAGCTGACTCATGGAGGGCAGCAACGTGGCCAGGACTGGAAGCGGGGGCCAGAGGCCTATGAACAACCAAACCCTCCAAGCAGGAGCTGGGGAGCTGGACAGCTCCAAGGACTAAGCATCAATACAACTCAGGAGGCTGAGGCAGGAGGATTACAAACTCGAAGCTAACCTAGGCAACAAAAAGACCTTGTTGCAAAATAAAAGATTTAAAAAGTTAGATTACATTTAGCTCAATGGCAATGTGTTTGCCTAGCATTCACAAAGCCTTGGGTCCAATCCCCAGTAATACACAAACACACACACACACACCCCTTCCCTACACTAAAAACAAAAAATAAAAATCAACTGAAGTCAGGTGTTCAGCTGGCCTTGGGGCACCTCCTTGTAATTCCAACACTCTGAGAGGCTGAGGTAGGAAGATCTCAGGTTTGTGCCCAGTTTCCACAACTGGGCAATTTAGCAAGACTCTGTCTCAAAATAAAAAATAAAAAAGGGGTTAAGGCCATAGCTTAGTGCAAAGATTCCAGATTCAATCCCTAGTTAGGGAGGGGCCAGGCAGAGGCCAAGGTGGTTAAAAGATAAAGAGACACACACTTGAGTGGTCTCTGAACTTCCCAAAAGACACTTGGCTTCCCCGCCAATGAGAGAAATCACAACAGAAGCCATGAGAAGGCATTTCCACCCATCCCCCAGCATGGTGACAGGACCAGCCCCTCTGGAGACTAGAGAGGCTATGCACGGAAATGGAGCCCTTGGAGACCGGTCGCTGGCCACAGGAGCTGCAGGAGACCTCAGTCCTCCTCTGAGGCAAGTCGTCTGCCACTCGCAAGCAAAAAAAAAAAAAAAACTGTTTGTAATGTAGGCTGGCCTTGAACTCACTATGTAGCCCAGACTGGCCTCAAATGCACAGCGATCCCTCTGCCTCAGCCTCCCTGCTGGGTTTACAGGTGTGTACCACTGGCTGCTGTGTACATACTTCTATAGCAAAGAGTGACACAAGGGGAAGTAGCCAAATACAGAAAGCAAAAGAACAAAAGGACAGAAAGGCTCAGGAACCTGCCCTGGCCCCCCAGCATGAGCAGAGAGGTGGGCTAGAAGAAATAAAGACAGGTGGCTAGGTGTGGTGGCACACACCTACAATTCCAGCACTGGAGAGAGGCTAAGGCAGGAAGATCGATGACATTTGACATAAGCCTGGGCTACACAGTGGGTTCAAGGCCACCCTGAACTAAATAGTGTGACTGTCTCAAAAAAATTGTTTTTAAATTTAAAAACAGAAAAGAAAACAAACAAACACACAAAAAAGACAGGCAGAAAGGAGATGAGCAAATCCTAACTTTAAAATTGCACTTGTAAGACAGCTGCAGCTTCCTGGTACTGAATAAAAGAAGACGAGAAAAACAAAACTGTAGCAGAGAACGGTGGCGCACCCCTGTAACCCCAGGACTCGGGGAGGCCGAAGCAGGAAGGTTGCAAAGTCAAGCTCAGCCCAGGCAACTCAGTGACTCAGTGAGACCTTGTCTCAAAATAAAAGATAAAGGGGCTGGAGATGTTGGTCATGAGGCCGTGGTTTGACCCTAAGTACCAGGAAACAAAAACCCAATGAAAACACATTAGGCTGCAGTGGCTCAGTGCCAAGGGCGGGCAGTGAAACCCTCCAAAGGAGGGCACTGCTGATGCCAGCGCTGAAGGTCCCAGAATGGCCAGACCCCAGACACAGCACAAGGAGGGTGTCAGACTGGGGCTGGAGCCATATGGGACAGGGGCAGCGCTTCATCTGGAAGATGCAGGAGCTTTGGAGGTGGACGGTGGCAGCAGCTGCACAATCCCTCGAGGGCCTGGATGCCCCTGACCCCACACCGGGAAGGGGATCTGTGTGAAATCATGTGACTGCTTTGTCACCAGTGAAAAACGTACAGGCACACAGTACAATGCCACTTCGCCTTGTGTGTCAGGGTTGGAGCCAGGGGGTAGAGCTGAGCAAAACTCAGAACCCCCCCCCCCCAAAAAAAAAACCTCAGAAACCCAATACCCACAGCGCGGGCCACTCCCCAGCCTGCCTACCCCATCCGTCACGCCAACCCTGGCACAGGCCCTGGTCCTCAGGCTGTCCTTGAAGCTGAATCACCACAAAGAGGACTCTTCACCTCCTCTTAGCCTGCACCTCACCCATCCCCACCAGAGCCTGGGCTGAACCCCTGAGGAGTCACTCCTGAGCTCATGGTCCCTACTGCCTGACAATTCTCATGTCATCTTTCCTTCATAATAAAAACATCTAACCTTCCTGCAAACCTAGAAAATGAGAGGGAAACACATGCCCAGCGTGTCACCCCTCAAAGTAACCTTCCAGCATTTGAGGTGTAAGGTCCACTGGAGCCCCTGGGAACTTGGGCAGGCAGGGCTGGCAGTTTATGCTTTGAACCTCCCAGGATACCTCATGCCCTGCAGACACACAGGCAACCCCAGTTCACAGTATTCAAAGCCCTCACCCTGGCCACACCACTATCTCCCACCTCCACTAGGGACCCTAAGTCTTCCCTATGTCTTTATCCATGAGGTCCTCCAAGACCCAGGCACGTGGGAGCCTCTGGGCAGGGAATGTGCAGCCTCTGTTGACCAGCAGATCCCTGCCCTGAGTGGTGGAGAGCAGCCCCCTGGAGCTGGCAACTGGGACCCTGGATCCCCATCTCTAGCCCCCAGGCCTGCTGGCCCCGGGGAGGAACTGCAAGTGGCTGTAAGTAAGGAAAGGCTGTAGCCTTTTGCCAGCCAGCCGGTAACCGGCCTGTAAGTCATGGCCAAGTTGCTACCCTGGTTTCAGTTTCCTTTTCCTTCTCTTCTAGGGGGAAGGGGACTGTGCTGGGATCACACACCGCTCCAGTGAGTCGCTGAGCCCTGGTTTCAGTTTCTACTCCAGCTGCTTGTGAGGAAACTGCTCAACATCTGGGCAAAAGCTACCACACGCCCAAGCACTCAGACAGCCCTTCACTGTTTCTCCGTCTGTTGGTGAAGCTATGGTGACCCTGGCAGCCTTGCCCAAGCCCCACTCAGAATGAAGGAGGGCCAGGAGGGTGACCTTTCCAGCAGACCCTGCCAGGGCAAGGCCACTGGTCACCCATTTCCCCATGGGAGCCTGAGACTTAGAAAAGCCACTCGGGCTGTCTCCACCACCCCTTCCGGCCACACTCAGGAGCCTGACCACCAGCTCTGACCCATCTCAGTAATTACCTAGCTCCCCCACACCCGTAAAAGCAGGATTGTACCTGCTCAAAGGAAATCTCACCAGCACCTGCGTTTTCCCTTCAGGCTGAGGCCAGCAAGACCTCAGTCAAGGTTCCTCCCAAGACCTGGACTCCAAAGGGTTCAAATCCTGCCTCCACCAGGTGCCACCTGTGTGGCTGGCTGAGTTACTTAACCTCTCTGTGCCTTACTCCTAGTATTTGTGGTTTATCAGTTACATATGCAGCCCAGTGCCAGGCAAATCTCAGGGAGCAGCCCGGGCTTTTCTAACGGCCAGAGTTGCAAGCCTCCGCCTCCCCAGCCCTACATGGGCAGATGGGCTTCCCAGTGTCCAGGCAGCACAGCCCCAGCAGGTGGGGTGTCCCACGGGATCCAGGTACCAGAGGTCCACCAATCACTCTGTTGGTCACCAAATGCACTCATGCTGCTGTGACCCAACCAGTCCCAGGAGATGCAAAAGAAAAACCAGAACCCTTAAAATATGACCCAAAGCCCTTTTCCAAAGAGTCAAGAAGAAAAGGAAATCCTAGGGAGGCTGAGGCAGGAGAATTGCCAAGTTCGAGTCCCATCTAGGCAACTTTGGGTGCCCTTTCTCAAAACTTAAAAGTATAAAAAGGGATGGGCATATAGCTCAGTGATAAAGTGCCCATGGGTTTGATCCCAGCACCCCTCCCCCCACAGGAAATCAGTGAGACAAAAATCAACAACCAACAGCAACCTCCTCACATTCACACCTCTTGGGCCCAATAAAGCTCTTGTGAGATTCAAGTGCAGAGAGACAGCAGGCTGGAGCCACCCTTCCCCCAGCGCCCAGGTGCAGCGGAATTCCCTCCGAGGACCTAGGAGGATCTGTGTGTGCACAGCACGAGGTGCAAGTTCAGAAACAATCGCGCCAGTTTTCCGGGCGGAGTAAATGCTGAGTGCTGATCTAGTACTAAGCACTGTGAGAGGCCCAGAGCACAGAGACCATGCCTCCTTGGAAACCGCACAGTGATGCCCCGGAGCCAGGAGGGCCGAGCTGGCTAAGGGCACCAGGGAATCCGGGGGAAGGGATCACGGTTTAAGTGGGTGCTCAGGACAGCCTCGCTGGATTGCAAAGAGTGGGCGGGGGTCAGGGCTCAGGCGCTGCTCTGCAACCCGGGAGCAACAGGTCGTGGGAGCAGGTAGTCAAAGGCCCTGCGATGGGGGCACATCTAAGGTGTCCCAGAGGACTCTGGGACGGTGGGAGGGGGCAGAGAGGAAAGGGAGTGGGCAGCAGGCCGTCTGGTGGCCCTCGTGGGCAGGTGAGAGCCTTCAGAGCGCCCCACCCTACCCCAGAGCTCCTCCATCCTTCCACCAGCAAGGGAAGGGGCCTGGGAGAGCTGTGGCAACCCCTTGCGGTCACCCTGCCGACCAACACCGAGTCCTCATCCCGACGTCCTGAGATCCTCCCAGGACCCTCGGCTCTGCTGGGGCGCCCCACGCATCCTAGGGAAAGCAGAGCCCACCCCACCGCCCCAGTTCTTTCAAAGAACCGAAAGTGAAACTTCAAAAAGACGACTGGCTCCGCTAGCAAAGAGCTCCCTCAAAATGACCAAGGACCGTGCTTCTGCGCAGAGCTCGGCAGCTGCGGGAGCCCCCGGGGCACCCACGGGCGGGGCCAACTTCCTGGGAAGCAGGCTGGGCCGCTGCGCGCCGGGACCTCACCTGCCGCAGGCGCCGCGGGGGGCAGCCGATTTCCACATTGGCTGCAGAACTTGGGGTCTTGCTCGCTGGAGACGTGCCGGCACTGAGGGCACCGCATGCCTGGCGGAGCTGCTGACGGCCAGCCGCGCTCTTCCGATTTGCGAGAAAGGGCGGGTTGCTCCAGCTGCCCGCTGCAGGCCGCGCCTCCTGTCACGTGACCACGGCCCCAATCGGTTTCATTTTCTGAGAAATGCCGTCCCAGCAGCTCCCCTAATCGATCTAAAACCCGGCCCAGTGTGTCCTCTGCTCCGGGCTACTGCCCTATGCCAAGTCTCTCTCTGCCCTGGCTGGACTCACTGCCCTCTCGACCCTCCTGGTTTCCTCCTGCTGCCTTCCAAGTCCCTGTTGCTATTCAGGGCCAAAAAGGCCCAAGCTGTCCAGCAGAGATCGTGGGCCAAACTTCGGGGTGACGCCTCAGACGAAGGGGAGGGGGTGGGAACACGAGCAGAGCTGCAGCTGTGTGGACCCTGACACAGGACGTGGGGGGCTACTTGGCGGCCTGCAGGGCTGGTGTCTCCGGGTTGCACCAGGAAAGTGGGCAAAATACTTGACCGCAAGCAGCGGCAGGTGAGCATTAGTGAGTCATCCTGTAGGAACGGCTGGTACGGTCAGCATCCTTGGTGAGCCCTGTGCAGGTGGATGGGAGCCCACAGCTGCGGAGGCCACCTCTTCTCGCTGACCAGGGCTCTTGGTACCTTCTACGGTGTCAAATTAGGGGGCGCTCACAGCAGAATGGAGACAGGGAGCCCCTCAGCTCTGGGCCTGCACAGCAAGGCCCTGGGTGAGCACTGGAAGACCCATCTCCGCTGGCCTCGAACCAGAGAACCATAAAGCAGAGGCCAGGACTGCTTCTCCCATTGCTGGGAGGCTCCGGGGGCTCCAGGATACCCCCTGGCGCCTGGCTCCTTTCTCTTCTCCCAGGACTCGATCTCCACTACTTGATTATCAACTCTTTAGGCCAGGCCTCAGATAGGGGCACGGAGGGGTATGCCCCTCCCCCACGCAAACATCTTCAATGGTTCCAGTCACCCCCGATCCTTTTCTTTCTACAATTGGGGGGTGAAAAATGGCTCCCGGTTCTCCGGCTGGGCTATGAATGAAAACAACATGAAACAGATTAACAAGAGGGAAAAGTACATATATGTAATTAGGTACTTATGCACTCACCGGAGTCCCACAAAATCCAGAAGTGGGATCAGGCAGCTGGCTGAAGGTTACACAGCCTCCAGGACCGCGGGAAGGAAATCAGCTGGGGGCCCGCAGTGGCCGGCAAGTGGGGGGTGTGCGGGTGAAAGCTGGAGCCCGGCTCCGGAAGAGCTCGAGTGTTGTTATGCAGATGTGGGTCCTCAGGTGACCCGGGCCTGTGCCGAGGTTTTGTTTTTCTTAATGTAGATTTCCTAGAAGGATGTAAATTTTTCTTAGCAGAGGATTCCTGGACCGGCAGGCCTTGGTGGCCCAGAACTGGAAGGCCAGCCCTCTAAGAGGCTGAGAATGGGCGATACTAACTAGAAGCCCAGGCGGAGCAATTTAGTCATGTAGCCAAATTCCTAAAACTAAAGATAAGAAAAGGGCGGGGATATACCTCAGTGCAAAGGCCCTAGGCTTAATGCCCAGGACCATTTTAAAAAGAAGGGAAGAGTGGAGGGAGAACGGTGCGTTTGACACCCGCCGCCCCAGTACGCGGGTGCTCATGCCCACTCGCTTTTAAGGCCGCTACAGCCAAGGGCGCCCACCCTGGCCTCGAACCTCTGGCCCTGGGAGTTGCGAGAGCTGCGCTCCGCGTGCTGCCGCTCCGGGCGGCAGCGCCTTTCTTCTAATTGGCGCCGCCCAAAGGCTGGGAGAGCTCGGGGTCCAGGGGGCGCAGCCGCAGGTCCAGCTGTCCTGGCCGAATCGCGCTGGCCCCGCGGCCGGAGGGCAGGGAGCCCTACCCTTCCCAGATGTCACCAGTGCCCCTGGAAAGGTCAGGGCCCGCCGTCCGCCGCGGGAGAGCGGATCCAGGGAGGGCTGGACCCAGCTGGGAAAGCGAAACTCGGTGCCGGCCAGAAGAGGCGGCCAGACCCCTGGGCCTCGGGACGCACGCTCCCCTCCCCCTGCCACGGCCCCGACCCCCCAACCCTCGCGCCCGCGACCCGGACCCGTGAGCCGCAGCCTGCTGCCCCGGGGGGGACCCCTCTCTCGGGCTTGCACTCCTGCCTCGGGGCCTTTCGCACCCAAGGGACCCGAATCCCAGCGGCCCGCAGCGCCGCCCCGGTCCTCCAGCTCTGGGAGTCCGCGCAGGCGGACTGGATTCCCACTGTGCCCTCCTCGCTCGGAGTCGCCTTCTGCCACTGAGCACCGGTGCTGCCGCACCAGGGCCCCAACCGGGTCTCCCCAGCCTCCCCGGTGGATGAGCCGCCCCTTGAATAGTGTGCCCTACCGCCGGGAGGGTCACTCCGCCCGCTTCAGGACACAGTGGAGGTCGCCTCTCACCACGACAAGGCTGGGAGTGGATGAAACAGCCTCAAGGACAGTGGCAGTGGCACTGCTGTTGGAGTAGACCCCAAGCCTGCGACCACGTTGCGCCTCTGTGCCTCGGTTTCCTCATTTATGAGGCTCTTGGTCCTGCCTCTAACGCCTTTGGAGTATCAACTTCACTGATGCATAATCTGTATTCAGTAAAACGCATACATTTATAATTTTCAGCCATGTGTGGTGGTGCATGCCTGTAATCCTAGCACTGGGGAGGCCGAGGCAGGAGCCTTGCCATTCTTACAGACAGCTAAGTTAGGTAGAAGTATTACAGGCAGTCAGACAGGGCTGCGCCCTCAAAGGAGCCAGTGCAGGAAACATGATACACTGCACCTGTGGGGGAGACAGACCCCTCCCGCTGGGGGCCAGACCTTGAGACAAAAGATGAAGCCAGTGCACCACCATACTTCCCCTAAGAAGACACAACAGTGACTGAGATTCTACATAGGTTGGATTGAACGGGTTTTGCCCCAGACAGGACACTGTAGCCGGTAAAGCCAAGGAGCTCCTATCTCCCCATCCCCTAGGAATTTACCTATGGCGCCAAACAAAGACCAGTGGGCTACCTGTGCATCCCTGATGCCCCCTTAGGTTCCACCCCAAACCGAGGCTACTTATGCGCCTCATTCCAGGATGGAGATGCTGCCAGGGGATCGGGGGTGTCTCTCCCCGCATTCTTAAAAGAAAGGGCATTTATATTTCATACTTCTTTTCAGCCGCTGCCGCCGGTCCCACACAGTTCCATCATGGATCACCTTGGGAAAGCCAGGAAGAGCCGCTGTTCCGTTCCATGCTCACTTGCTGCTGCGAGACTAGCTTCCCCACTTGATCCCCATTTAATCAATATTTTTTCCATTTATTTGGTTTGTTTTTTTGTTTGTTTGTTTTGTCTTTTTCCTTTTTATTGGTACTGGGGATCAAACTCACGACTGCCTGCTTGCAAAGGCAGGCGCTTATGCCGCTGAGCTAAATCCCCAGCCCCAGTATTTTTTCCATTTAATCAATGTTACCTGACCATATTGGTTGACCATAGTTTTGTCTTACCTCCTACCCACCTTGTAATCTCTCATATTTCCCCATTTTGGGCCCCCTCACTTGAGGTTTTGCTCTATAAAAACCCGTTAGGAAAGACAGGGTTGTCACCGCCTCATTTGAGACCACTTCTGTCTCTCTCTCAGACAGAAGCTTTCTCTCCCCAATAAACATATTCTGCTCTAAACCTCCGTTATTCCTAAAATTCATTCTTCAGTTTTAGAGAACCCAAACTCACACCGGACTTCTAGCAGGTTGGGAGTTTCTTTCTCCTATGTCACCATAAGTTCAGAGTCAGCCTGGACCACACAGCAAGACCCTGTCTCAAAAACATTTTTTTCCCATTTTTATCAGTGTTGCTGTGGAACAGTCCAGGCCTATGATGCCCACAATGAGGAAAGAATTGCCAAGTGTATACCCTGTCAAAAGTAGTAAGCAGCCACATTTATGGAAGATCACAGAAGCATGTGCCCAGGGCAAACCTGTGTCGACAAATGATAAGACACAGACTGACCAAGACACAGGGGGACAGAAAAGCACTGTGCACAATCAAAGAACACAGAAGTAACCACAGCAACAGACCACGGGTTAATCAGGCTGCTGGGGTTTATGAAGATGCGCTTCAGCCTGGTGCATGTCCTTAAACCCTGACTCTACCTGTGACTGACAGGAATGATGGACAGTGTGCTGAGTTTCTTAGGGACTCAGCATCCCTGCTTGTCCCAGCATTCACTGATCTTAAATTTATTTATCTATTTCTTTATTTGGCCTTTTTGACACAATGACTCATTGTGCATTTCAGGCTGGCCTTGAGCTCACTTCGTAGCTCAGGCTGGTCTTGAACTCGCAACAATCCTTCTGCTTCAGCCTCCTAAGTGCTAGGATTACAGGCATGAGCCACTATACCCAGCTCTTAATTTATGACAGGTGACACCTGTTTATGAACCTGTAATGAGGTGGAGTGAGGTAACTGAAGGTCAGGCTCAGAGGTCCAACTCACAAATGCTCTCGCCTAGAGCACTAGAGGACTCCTGGGTTTTTATTTTCTACTTTAGGAGAATAGAAGCAGGAATGACCCTGGGAGGCTGTTTGGAGTTAAATGAAGTGAAGGAGCTTTGATAGTCTCTTTGATAGTCTCTAACTATATCATAATGTATGTCTGCAGTGCATAAAGGGCACACATACTCATCCTGGGGAGCTGGCCCGTATACAGAAGCGTCTTTAGCTTTTTCCTTCCCATCCCCTCCCTCCCATAGATCCATTTTATGTGCAAATTCAGTGAGTTTTGAGAAATGCATAGACCTCTGCTGGGTGTGGTAGTACATGCCTGTAATCCAGGCAGTTGGGATGCTGAGGCAGGAGGATCATTGCAAGTCAGAGACCCCTGGGCTACAAAGTGAGCCCAAGGCCAGCCTGAACTACATAGCAAGACCCTGCCTCAAAAAGACAAAAAAAAAGCATAGACCCATATATAACTACCCAATTAAGATCCAGGGTAACCACATTGCCCCCGAACCTCCCCTCATGCCCTTCCTAATACATCTCCAGATGACAGTCTAGCCTAGCAGCCCCTGGTCTGAGCTCCGTGACATGAGTGATTTAACCTGGGTATCATTTTTTATTGACTCTGGCTCTATCGAATAGATCTGTTGCCCTGCTAATGGATATTAGGTTTGTTTCTAGGATTTTGTTGTGATTTTTACTTTTTCAGTACTAGGGATTAAACTCGGAGCCTTTACACAGAGCTATATGCCTGGTGTATTTTTTAATTTTTTATTTTGAGACAGGATCTTACTAAATTGCAAAGTAGCCCAGGCTGAGTTCAAGCTTGAGATCCTTCTGCCTCAACTTCCCCAGAGGGCTGGCATTAAAGTCTGGGCTAAGATAATTGTTTTGACTACCCCCTCAAGCCAGGAGGATTTCTCCAGAGTAGAAAGCCAGGACTGAGAAAAATGACAAACCCAGCCCCCCATCTAACCCTGAAAGCTGGCCTCCTGCCTTCGTGGGTGAACCTAAAACCCTTCACCAGAGTGAGCCCCCGCCAGCGGCTCCAGCTGCAGTCCTTTACTATTTTCTCTTACTCTGCTTTTTTATTATTTATTTATTTATTTAGTCTTTTTGAGACAGGGTCTCACTATGCAGTTCAGGCTAGCCTTGAGCTCACTATGTAGCCCAGGCTGGTCTCAAACTCGCAAAGATCCTACTGCCTCAGCCTCCCAAGTGCTGGAATTACAGGCGTTGCACCACCATGCCTGGATTTACTCTCCTTTCTTAAGGACCAGCCTGATCTTTGCCAGCTCCTCAAAAAAAGATTCTTTTTTTTTTTTTTTTTTTTGGTCTTTTTCTTTTTTATCGGTACCAGGGATCAAACTCAGGACTACCTGCTTACAAGGCAGGCACTTATGCTGCTGAGCTAAATCCCCAGCCCCAAAAAAAGATTCTTTACCACTTTCTCTTTCTGTATGCCTCAACATGTAGTAGAAAAACAAATTTAATGTGAGATATACAAATATATAAGAATTTACAAAATTGGCTTACAGCGGCTGCCTGCAGAGTCAGGTGTGGGAAGGTACAGGTCTGTGCTCTGGGGATCTGAAGGGTCCAGCTGAAGGTCTGGAGCTCACTGCAGCATCCCATGTGAGTTCGTATCAGGAGGCCGAAGGGTCTTCATCTATTGAAGGCTGAAGGTGTCAGACCTGACCTGAGAAAGACCTTCACAATAAAGCATGCTGCCCTATGCAAACAGCAGGAATCTGTTAGGAAGACCATGCTGCCCTCAGCAAACAGAAGTGATGGCCAGAAAGAAAGTTAGGATTGGGCATACAATCTGTTAGGTGCCAGAATGTCCAGCACTGTCTGCACATCTGCACTGACCCAAGCGTCCTAAGAACTTTGACCCCAAAAGTTCCATTCAGATTCCTTTCGATTACAAGCCTGCCCAAACCCTATATTAACTCAGTCCTTCCTCTTTCCTCCAGACCAGCTGCTGATAGCACTCTACTTTCAGTCTGCCTGCACCTAAATGAAATTCAATCCAGCCTCTTCCCCAGTAAGCCCGTCTCCAGGTGTTCCCTTTGTCAGAAGGATCTGCACTGGAAGCCAGGAAGTGACAGCCAAGGCCCGGGTGAAGACTGGAGCTCCTTTGAAGAAGAAACGAAAGCAAGGCTTCCTTCTTCCTCTTTACACCATTTAGGCAGCAAATCCGTTGCTGCTGTCACTCACACCCAGAAATCCCTGTGCTGAGCCAATTTAGTTAAACTCTTCTTACTCAAGTTGACACAATCAGTTAACTATTGCACTTTCCAATTAATTTTCTTCCCCCTGTAGATTGGTGCCATACTTGTGTTCGTGTGTGTGGGGGGGTGTGTGTGTGCATGTATTTTGTTTGTATTTTGAGACAGGGTCTCCTTATGCAGTCCAAGATGGCTTTGAACTCACTATGTAGTCCAGATTGGCCTCACCCTTGCAGAGATCCTCCTGCCTCACCCTTCCAAGTGCTGGGATTACAGGCATGCACCACCATGCCCAACTGCTCTAACCCTAATTCCCATTATCACTGAACCATGCTAGCTGGTGATAGAGTGCTCCTCCCATGGTCTATGGATTTTGTTTTCTTCTGTCTCCTTTTCTAATTGTGTCAGATCATGCAGTACATTGCTGTGACACATGTGTCATTCTATTTTTTACTTTAAAAGATTATGCGCTACCGGATGTCGTGGTTTACACCTGTACCCCACAGCACTGGCAAGGCTGAGGCAGAGGATTGTGAGTTCAAGGCCAGCTGAGGTTACAATAAGGGAAGACTGTCAAAGAAAAATTTGCAGGGATAGCTGGCCGTGTGGCCCACATGTATAATCCCAGCTCCCAGGAAGGCTGGCGCAGGAGAATTATAGGAGAATTAGTCTCCAAGGCAGCAGAGGGCAAGGATGTAGCTTGGCACTCCCTGAGTTCAGTCCTCAGAACACTGCAGTACAAAAACAGACAGAAACATGACTAACTGCACACCTGTCAGTGCCCCCATTCATCACAGGGGCACAGGCTGTCCCGCCGTGCCTTTGACTTATGTCTGGTGTATTCCGTGGCTGCCTTGTTGATAAGCTACTGTCCTTACTGCCCCGTCAGGGCTCTGAGTCAGGCAGACGGGGTCCCACCTTTGCCTTCCTGGAACACCTCGAGGCCTCTGCCTAACCCTCTCCGATCAGGCCATACACAGTAGAGCACACATGGAACCCACATTCCAGAGTCGGGGCACGATCGTAGTGTAAGGACACATTCATAAAATAGCAAGCTCACAGGTATTCCATCAGACAAACTTAGAGAGCAGTTAGAGGTCAGAAAGCTCTGACCAGCTTTCTGCTACTTCTGCTGAATTCAGCTGACCGTACAGCGTCCAAAGCCCAGCTGCACACCTCTGATATGCACGGAGTCAGAGTAACTGTCAGTACCCTAAACACCGTGGGCTACTCAAGGGTAAGTTTATCTACGCTCATCCTGTAATGGCCCCTCCCTTTTTTCCTGGAATGTTTCTATATTATCATGACTTTGACTGTGCTCACCCTGTTCCCGGAATGTTTCTATATTATGATAAATGATTCCTGTGTTTCAGCAAATCTGTTTAAAACTAGCCTTCCTGTCAACGTATGACTCAAGGCATGACCAGTTACGTAACTTTGTCACTTGCTTCCCACTTCTAAATGCTATATAAACTAAACTCTATAAATGCAGGGCTGTTGCCTTTGGGAACGGTCCTGCAACAGTCTGCTGGCCCATCCTTCAACAGTCTGCCAGCAGAAAGTTAGATGCTGCCTTCTTACCTCCTCGGTGCAGAGTCTCCCCTTCAGTTTGACTTGGGAATTTTCCACATCAGCAAGTAGGAAGTGGCTGCTGTCATGCCAGATGGGCTTCTGTCGTGAGTGTCTAGGGCACTCTGAACTCCGGGCAAGGTAAACACACACGCACGCCTTGTCGGGACACGGGGGGTACAGCGCTTGGAAAAGAAAGACAGGAGAGACACCTTTGCTGTCTGCACCGCGTTACACTGCACTGCACGCACAATCTTTATTTTAGGATTCATATATAGTAAACCCGATCAATTCACAGAGCCCAGATAATTGAGTAGTGAAAAGGCATTCTTTGTGGCAAGCTACAACGTGACAGACTACAATGTTTATTCTAAAGCTATCTAAGTGAGGTAAATAATCACAACCAGTTCTCATAACTTCTCTAGCCCAGGAAGAAATTCATTAGCTCAAGAATGTTGTTAATTTGTCTGCTGTTAGTGTCACAAAGGGTGGCCAGCCACTTCCTCAAGACTTCTGCAAAACAAAGCCAGCTCACAGTATGGATTCCAGAGGGTGAGGGGCTCACTGAGAACAGGCATTCCTATTCTACCTCCTTCTCGCATACCAGGGCGGCTATTGTAAATTGCAGGTTAGAGGGGGTTGGGCCTACAAAGTGACACCTCATCCCCCACAGGCTTCCTCTTCAAAGTACTCACTTGGACCAGGTAGCCCACCCCAGGGCAGCCCAGCTATAGCTTCATTTACCTGGCATCAAGAACTGAATCGGGAGTGCACTGTAGGAAGTGGGGGCCCTCATCTTGGGTTCCAAGGCTGGATGTAACAATTCCTCTGGCTGTTCCTGAACTTCCCTCTGGAGTGGATCAGCCAAGCGGACTTGGTGTGAAGCCCCACGTGTTATAGACAGCTAAGTGAAGTAGAAATATTATAGCAGTCAGACAGGGGTAGGCCCTCAAAGGAGCCAGTGCAGGAGACAGGATACACTGCAACTGTGGGGGAGACAGACACATGCAGCTGAAGGCAAGACCTCAGGACAAAAGACAAAAGAAATGCACCCACATACTGGCCTAAGGATAAACAGCAGGAATTGATATTCTAAATAAGTATGGATCACCTTGAGAAAGTCCAGAAGAGTCACAGACCCAACCCCCTCCAGGGAAACCCCCTGTTCTGTTTCATGCCTTCCTGCTAATTGATCCTCACTCAATCAACATTACCTGAGCAATTACACTCATGATCTTATTGGTTGACCATAGTTCTGTCCCACCTGACGTGCACCTTGTGATTTCCCACATTTCCCCACCTTGGACCTGCCTCACCTTTTTTTTTTTGTCTTTTTCGTTTTTTTATCGGTACCAGGGATCGAACTCACGACTGCCTGCTTGCAAGGCAGGCACTTATGCCGCTGAGCTAAATCTCCAGCCCCTAGACCTGCCTCACCTTGTGGCTTTGTTTTATAAAAATCCCTAGAGGGGGCTGGAGATTTGGCTCAGCGGCATAAGCGCCTGCCTTGCAAGCAGGCAGTCATGAGTTTGATCCCCGGTACCGATAAAAATGAAAAAGACAAAAAAAAAAAAAAAAAAAAAAATCCCTAGAAAAGGCAAGGTCCCTCAGCAAACCACTTGGAACTCCTGTTTCTCTCAGACAGAAACTTTCTTTCCCCAGTAAATATATTCTGCTCTTAATCTCCATGATTCCTAAAATTCATTCTTTGACGTTAGAGAACAGAAACTTGTACCAGACCTCTAGCAGGTAAAGAGTTTCTTTCCCGGGGCTGGGGATTTAGCTCGGCGGCATAAGCACCTGCCTTGCAAGCAGGCAGTCGTGAGTTCGATCCCCGGTACCAATAAAAAAAGAGAAAAAGACAAAAAAAAAAAAAAAAAAAAAAAAAAAGAGTTTCTTTCCCCTATAGCACAGGGACCTTTTGCCAAATGCTCCCAGAGCTCAGGTGCAGATCCTGAGATCAAGGCTGCTGCAGAAAGGTGCACCCCAAGGACAGAGCAAGGGTAGCCAGCCCAGAGGAAGGAAGTGACCGGAGGTGCAGGAGGGCAAAGCTTTGGAGAGGCAGTGGCTGGATGCTGTGGCTTTCTAACCAAATGCTAACCACAGCGGAAACTGGCCCAGGTGATACGGATGGCTCCCCGTCAAGTGGTCCCAGGCTATTCTGGGTGGGATGTCAGGATATTAAATAGGGTGGATGGCAAAAGTTTGGCTCTGGTCCTAGAACAGCAGGCCAGATGTGGTAGCTCATGCATGTAATCCCAGTGCTGAGAGACCGAGGAAGGTGGATCACAAACTCAAGCCCGGCCTGGGGAATTTATTAAGACCCAGCCTCAAAATAAATAAAGGAGGGCTGGTGACAGGACTCAGTGCAGAAGCCCTGGGTTCAGTACCCAGAACTGCAAAAGGTGAGGATAAAAGGCTCATAAACCAGATTCAACAGGTGGGTGCCAGGACCAAGCGTGACCCTGGCCCAGCCCTTCAGGGGGAAGAAATGACTTTCCTAAGTGCCTGCAGCTTCCCAGCCCCTTCCTCACTCATGCCTCTTTTCTCAGGGCCTAAAGCTGTAGTCATTCATCTGCTTTCTTCTCAGACTGCCCCTTCTGCCTCTCTTCAGAGGACAAACCACAGTCCTAATTTAGAGGCTACTCTTTTCATCAAGCTAAGATAATCACCCAGTGGCTTTCTAGCAAGTCACCAGTTCTACAGGCTCTCACAAGGAATGGACACAAGGGTTATAGTTTAGATGTAAAATGTCTCCCACACCCTCGTGTGATCAGAGGTGGGGCTTTCAAAGGGTGACCGGATCATGGGGCCAAGGATGAGGTCATAGCTAAATATGCTGTTAGCAGGTGGGGGGTGTGACCTGGGAGGTTCCTTGTTCCTCCCATCCTCCCCTCACTCTACTTCCTGGTCTCCATGGTGCCTCGAGCAGCTTTTCTCCCCCAGAATCTTTGTCTACATCCTTCCTGCCTTGGAGCCAGTAGACTATGGACTGAACCCTCTAGAAGCCATGTGCTGAAAGAACCCTCTCCTCCTTTAGGTTGTAGATGTCAGGTGTTGTGTCCCAGCCACAAGAAAGTGACTAAGACAGGAGTGAAACAAAAGACCTAGTTGAATCTCCAGCCCCACAAAGACAGAGTTCATTGTGCTGTATTCTCTCCTCCAAGAGTTATGGTTCCAGGAGCTGAAGCTGGAGAAGAGACTAAAGGAGGGAATAAGCTAAGTTTAACCTTAAAAACCAAGGCCCACACTGAGTCAAAACAAGCAGGCAAAGGGAGCATCCGGGTACCAAATGGTTTCAGAGCTGGGGTCAGGAAAGAAGTGCTGGTATGAGACCTTTCCCAAGAGCTGCACCTGGCCTGGCCTGGGCCTATCCAAGACAGGGCAACAGGGTCAGGAATTCCCATCTCCCCATGCCATTATCACTGCACAGAACCAGTCAGAAAAGGGCTGTTTTGAACCAATCAGAAGCTTGCTATTTTCAATCCTTCATTCGAATCTGGTGCTGTTCACATGACCAATCAAAAGATCCTTTTTAAAAGCCTTTTTTCATGTGCACACAACCTATCAAAAGATACTAGTCCTGATCCTGCATTTATATGTAATGGAAGCCAAAGATTTTCTTGACAGGGCAGTCTCTACACGGCATGAGGCCCAGCGAGCATTTGATAGGATGACTTTCCAAATGCCTAACCCAGGGATTCTAGATGCCGAAGATGCATTTCCCTTAGGCTTGGGGCTGCTGTGAGCCTCTGCACTGCTCATTCTTACTCTGCACAATGTATTTCATTTCAGCCTCAATAAATGTACATGTTCAGAACTGTCTTTTCCATGTGTTTGTTCAGTTCTTTGAGACACCAAGAACAGAGAAGGAAGCCCCATCAGACTCCAAGCGGTACCACACCTGTACAGGTCTGAAGCCTGCTGGGCTAAAGTGTTCAGGGCTGTGCATGGCCTTTGGGACCTGACCTGATTTAACCCAGGCAACATTTGACTCTGGGACAGTTGTTACTCTGCTGGGTCAAAGGAACAGAGCCCCATGCAGGAATATCCAGCTCCACAAAACAGCTGGTGCCCACCAACCAAACCAAGCTACAATCAACCCATCTGAACCCAGGAGCCCACGGATCTGCAGACAGGTTGGTGAGTAGCTGCATCAATCCAAAACCACAAGTCCTCTGTTTTGTTGTTTTGGAGAGTCTCACTGTGTAGTTCAGGCTAGTTGTGAACTCACTATGTAGCCCACCCTGGCCTTGAACTCAAGATGATCCTCCTGCCTCAGCCTCTCAAGTGCTGGGATGACAGGTGTGCACCACCATGCCCAGCATCCCAAGCCCTTCTGGTTGGGCAGCTTTTACTATATGGCTCAGGAGTAAAGTGAGTATTTGGCTCCTCTTTGGCTTATCACGCAGCTTGCTCTCAGGTGACTGGGTCTGGGAGGCAACAGCCCCACGGGCCCAAACCACAGAGGCTGCTGAGATTGTGAACATGAGTCCGCCCACACTTCCCGCTTGCTTCCCCTTACAAGGCAGCCTTGTTCTCAGCGACTGCCATCCCACACACTGCCAATTGCTCTCATCAGTCCTGCACTGGCAGAGGGCATCCTCACAGGTCCTGGAACAGCTCTGCAGCTGAGTACTTTGAAGGGGGCACCCAACCATCCAGATGAACAGACTGGAGCAAAGTCACAGTTGGACTGTGTTCCAGACCAAGTATGGTCCTTTCTGCAGCTGCTGGATGAAGCAGTGACAGCAGCTCCACAAGTACACACCTAGAAGCAGGCCCTGGATGCAGGCCTGGGCTGGGCTGGGCTTACCCCAGGGAGTTACCAGGACAATGCAGAGTGGTCCAGGAGAGACAGGTGATCCCCACCCCTTTTAAATCTCTGGATTGTGGAGGATGCAACCCAGGGCCATCACTCTGAGCTGCCCTTTTACTTGGAGATAAGTCTCACAGAGGAGTTACCAGGCTGCCTGGGTTGGACTTGAGCTTGCGTTTCTCCTATCAGTCTCCCAGAGTGCTGTGATTGTGGGTGCGACCCCCATATCTGGCTCTGATGGTTTTAACTTGCATTTCCCTGCTGACTGTGATGTGATCACTGCCTGTGTTCTTCATCTGTGAAGATCTGTTCATTTGACTACTAAGTCCTATTCTTTGCTTTTCTACATCTATTCAGATTGTTCCCTTCTTTTTTATTTTTATTTTTTGCAGTGCGAAGGGTAAACCCAGGGTTTATAGTGCTAAGCAAACACTCTGGTGAGCTCCTGTTCTAGCCAAACTGTCCCTTTCTTAAGGACACAAATCTAGAATTTACGGATTTAGAATATCGGAAGAAAAACCCAGGCCTAACTTACACTTACTGTGTCCTTAAGACTCAGGATTTAGGAGTGAGGAGCTGGAAGAAAAACACTGTTGGTGGGAGGGTAAACTAGTACAACTACTATGGAAATCAATATAGAGATTCCTCAAAGTCTAAAAATATCTGATGCACACCTGTAATATGCCAGCATTAGGGGGCTGAGGCAAGAGGATTGCTGCCAGTTTGAGGCCAGTGTGGGCTACATAGTGAGTCTAAGGTTGGCCTAAACTATTTGGTGAGACCTTGTCTCAAAAAGAAAAAAGAAAATAAATAAATAAATAAGCCAAAGTTGTTATTAAAAAGATAAAACATCCACATGCAAACATGCTGAGAAGCTATCTTTGGTCTACAGATATGTTCCTAAAACTTAGATGTTTCCTATAATTTCACCATGAGGGATGGGGTCAGCTAGGATTGACTAGAATTTGAAATGGAAGCATTCATGTTTATGTATTTTGATAGGAAAGGCGGAGCCACAGTTTTGCACACCATTCCAACAAATAATGTTTTATTTCTCTGAATGTCTGCACTGCACTTTAATTTCTGCCTAATAAACTCTTCCTATGTTTCTTACTGGTGCTTCTTGAGAGTTCTTTTTTCTGTGAGGGAATTTAGCAAACCTTCAAACCTATAGGTAAGGTGGGTTAGATTCCTTCTCTCAGCTTGAGGGATCTTCTAGAACCCTGTCCAGTTACATTTCTCTTGCTAAGTGTTATGGCTATATCTGGATATCCCCCCAAGGCCTCAAGCAACTTGTAGGTGGGGCTTTTTCAGAGGTGGCTGGATTGAGTGTGTGAGGCTGGGATTGATTCGTGGCACAGTGCTAGGCTCAAGGGCACTAGGATTAAAGGTGTGAGTGCTACTGTACAGGAGTGATATCAGGGTCTCCAAAGATGATATAAGAGAAATATTATAACTCTCAACTTGTTAGATATCTAATATGCCGAGGTCATGTTCTCTGAAATTCAAAGAATGAATTCTAGGAGCCACGGGAATTAAAAGTGGAAATATTTATTGAGAGAGAGCTCCTGAGAGGCAAAGTGGATCCTGAGTGGGGTGCCAGGAACCCCACTTTACAAGGAAATTTTATAGAGCAACACCAGCATGGATACAACATGGGTTACAGCTATGATTAACCAATAAGGATACAAGCATAATCACTTAGATAATAGTGACCTAGTGGGGAAACAAGTCACATAACAAGGGTGCACAGAAGGAACAAAGACTTTTTCTGGGATGATGAGTCCAAGGGTCCCACCAAGGTGACCCTTATCCAGCTAAGCTTCATTAGGCCTAGAGTTTGTTCCTAGAGGAAGTACACAGGCCTCGTCATCTCATCTTTATCTTTTCTTTCTTTTTTTTTTTATTGGTACCAGGGATCGAACTCACAACCACACACTTGCAAGGCAAGCACTTATGCAACTAAGCTAAATCCCCAGCCCCTGTCTCATCTTTATCTTGAGACCTGGTCTCCAACAGATGTGACTCGGGCCACAGTTGACATATGTTTCACTTTAGTCCTGGCTCTCTTGAGGACCTCCGCCTATCTGATTGCCTACAGTATTTCTGCCTAGCTTAGCTGTCTATGATACTACCTGCCCTAGGTAGTCTGGATAAGATAAAAAGGGTAAAAAAACAAAGCAAAACAAAACAAAAACAAAAACAAAACAAAACACTGTTAAGGTCCTTTGTTACTTCTGCTCTCTTGTGGGTGCCATGAACTATTTTCCTCTGTAAAGTTCTCCTTTGCCTTGCCTTAGGAACCTTAGACTATGGACTGAAACCACTGCAGACTGCAAGGTATGTAACTGTTACTTTTTTTTGGTACCAGGGGTCAAACTTACAACCTTGTGCTTGCCAGGCAGGTGCTTATGCCACTGAGCTAAACCCCTGGGCCTGTGAGCTATGTAAACCTTTCCCCCTTTAAATTTGGGTGTCAGATATTTTGTCTCAGCAGTGAAAAAAGTAACTATGACATCAAGCTAGACAAGAGATAAAAGAGTGGGGAACCCGGCCAAAGAATTTGCAAACCTCAGCACATGCACACACACAGCCAAACCAAAAAAACCCAGAAACATTAAAAAACAAGGCAACCAAATGCCTCCAAAACTCCCACCTCGCTCCAGATCAGTACAGTGGGCAGTGAGGGGGAGGAAATCACAAACTGCACAGCAGTTAGGTCTGGAAGAGTTTCAGTGGAAGTAAAATAGTTCTGCAAGGGTCTTGGGGGCATTCGGAGAAGGTTTCACTAATCACATAATGATCATAGTAAAACAAATGATCAGCAAGCCTAGAGAGCACACTAATAACAGCTAGTGGAGCTAAAGACAAGAGATGCAAAGCATAAATATCCATCATAGAAAAGAATCAGAGTTCATAAGAAAGTTCAAAATAGAAATACAGGAGATTAAAAATATGACTGAAGCCGGGCATGGTAGCATACGCTGTAATTTCAGCTCTCGGAAGGCAGAGGCAGGAGGATTGCTGCAAGTTCAAGGCCAGTGTGGGCTACATACTGAGTTTAGGACCAGCCTGCACTCAAAAACCTAAAACAAATGAACAAAATATGATTGAAAGTGTGGGTAAAAGAAGCAACCAAGGTAAAGACAGAGTGTCAGACCTGGAGGGCAGGCCTGGGGTCAGTGATCACTTAATAAGAAATACCTTAAGAGAACAACAAAAGGATGTGAAAAATAGATCCAACAGCTCCTAGACTTCTCAAAGGGCAAGTAATTGGAATTAGTGAATAATCAAATACACCACAAAGGACATAAAAAACTAACTGTATGTGTAATAGCAGGCAAGGGCAGAGAATTTTACATGTCGGTAAGTAAGCATAAAGAACCCTAAATATCCATGATCAGTTTTTAAAAATGCTCCATTTCCCATAATAATTTAAATACCAGAAATACAGCACAAGAACGGAATCTTAAAGGTTTCTCAAGAGAAATAAGGAGTCACTTACAAAGGAAATTCTATCAGAGTTACAACAGATTTCTCAACATAAATCGTAAATGCAAGGAGAACATAGAATAAAGTATTTCAAGCTCTGAAAAAAATCTTGCCTAGATTGTTAAATCCTGTAAAATTATCTTTCAAAATTAATAAATAGGGGGCTGGGGATTTAGCTCAGTGGCATAAGTGCCTGCCTGGAAAGCATGAGGTTGTGAATTTGATCCCCGATGCCAAAAATCAAAACAAAAAAATTGATACAGAGATAAAATACTTCCATGATAAAGAAAACCTAAAGAAATTCATGACTACCAAACAAACCAAAAATATCAGTGGTAGCCTAAGTCTTTATTTTTCTCATTGCTGAAACAAAATACTTGTCACCAAAATTAAAAGGGAAAGGTTCCTTTAGCTCACAGGTTGTAGAGGTTTCAGTTTATTATGGGCTGAGTCCAACGTAGTGTAGTGTGGCAGGGGTAACATTCATGGCAGCAGAAGACAACAAAAGCTGTTGAGGGACAGGGAGAGCAAGCCTCTTTCTGCCCTTTATATTGTGGGTAGGCCAACAGCCTTAGGCAGGTGTAGCACTCACACCCATCATCAGACATCCATCACACCCATCATCAGACACGAATCAGCTACAAACTCCAGGTGTAGCAAAGCCTGCCCCCAATACTGCATGAAGCTTTGGGGGGCAGCCAGACACAAACCATAACATCCTAAAATGTCAAAGATCTACTGAAATGAATATATCTGGTAAGGATAGTAATGAAATAGAATGGAAAAAGAGCAAAATGACAATAGGAAATTAATATGACAGGAATAAATCAACATCTATCAATTATATCCATCAGGGGCTGGGGATTTAGCTCAGCAGCATAAGCCCCTGCCTTGCAAGCAGGCAGTCGTGAGTTCGATCCCTGGTACTGATAAAAACGAAAAAGACAAAAAAAAATTATATCTATCAATATGTAGGCATTTAATTTACCAAACAAAAGACACACTTTGGAAGAATAAATAAAGAAAGAAAATCTAATGATATTCTGTACACAAAATACACATTAAAGAGCCAGGTGGGGTGGTGTACACCTGGAATCCCAGCACAGGAAAACTGCCTCAAATTAGAGTCCAGCCTAGGTTACATAGTGAGTTCAAGGCCCATCCTGCACTACGTAGGAAGACTCTCAAAAAAAGCAAAACACACACAAAACAAAAAACAAAATTTAAAAATTTAAAAAGCAAAAAACAAAAAAATAAAACAAAACCTAGAAAACTCTCACAAAACCTCCCAAAATCAAATACAAAAAGAAATCCATAGACTAAAAATCAAAAGATGGGAAATAATATTACACAAAGTTGGAAACTGAAAAGAAGTGGGAGTACAAATCCCATGTTCCGACAGAGTGAACTTCAAGGAGAAGCTGATCACCAGGGATACAGTTCAGCAGCACAGTGCTTGCCTAGCAAGTGTAAGGCTGTGAGTTCAACTGCAGCTACCACTCAAAGAAAAAAATAGGCAAAGTTGATCAAGAGGCAAATAAAGATACCACATATTGGTTAGCAGAACTGTTCAGCAGGAGAAATAAGAATTACAAACCTATATGCACCAAACCCATGGTATACCCAACTTCATAAACTAAACTTTAGTGAACAGATGAGATCAGATAAACATAAATACGATTACAGGGAGAATCTCAATAATCACTATCAAAAATAGACAGATCAACTTACCAAGAAAAACGTCAAGGAAATATCAGAATTGAACCAAATTTTCAAGCAAACAGATTTAATAGATTTATACAGTGTTCCACCCAACAACAGATTGCATTTTCTTGAAGCACACACGGTACTTTCTCAACATGAGAGTACATATCAGGTAACAAAACATGTGTAAGTAAATGCAAAATTTTATCATGCGTATTATCAGATCACAGTGAAACTGAACAAAAGGAAATCCCAGAAACAATACAAACATATGGAAATTAAATGCTACACTCTTGAATAATCAGTGGGTCACAGAGGAAATCAAGGAAGAAATAAGATTACTTAGAATTAAGTGATAAAGTCAACGCAATGTGCCAGAACTTATAGGATACATCTAAAGCAATCCTAGGGGGGAGTGTATAGCACTGGATGCCCAGAAAAATAGAATGAGTCCAAACAAGTAACATAATGATGCATGTAAATGTCTTGAAAAAAAAAAGAAGAATCTAAATCCAAGTCTTATATAGGCAATGAAAATACAAACATCAGAGCAGAAATTATTGCGATGGAGAAAAAAAGCCCAGTAAAATGAATCAGTAAATCAAAGAACTGGTTCTTTCAAAGAAGTAAACAAGAGCTCCCCTCCCTGGTAAGCGGCTGTAGTGTGGCACACTGCGGCTCTTCCCAGGAAGAACCACCAGTGTCTTCTTAGATCCACACCATGTTGGAAATTAGGACGCTGGGAAACCGAGCAACCAGCCTGCCTCCCTGCCAAGCAACAGTGAACTACTGGTGCACAGCCTAGAGTCAAACATGCCACTTCCCTTACCCCCCTTACCTTGTCCCCCTGTTAGCAAACGGGAACCAGAAATCTGAGCAATCTTGGGATGCTGACCATAGCAAATAAGGGAGATTTCCTTCTACCATCTCTTTGAAGGCAAATATTTTTATTATTGCTTTGCTTTATTCTGATTAATGGTACTGCTCTATTTAATATTCTGTTTTGAGACGTTCTATAATGTTCTGTATTTCATTTTATTTTGATATATGTGATTGAAAGAATAATTGTAAAGATAATGAAATATATTGTGATACCTATTACTGTTAACAAAAGAAGTAAACAAACAATTAGCTAATCTTACTTAAAAAAGAAAGAAAAGATGCAAAATAATGCAATTAGAAATGAAAAATATGAAATCACAACAAATACTCCCCAAATCGAGAAAATTGCTTGTAACGACTTCACAAACATATATGTCAAACAATTGGGGAACTCTGAAGAAATTCCTAGATACGTATGATGAGCCAAACCTGATCCAGAAAACATAAAAATATTAAGCAATACAATGACAGGCAATGAAACAGAAGCAGGAAGAAAAAACTGCCAAATAATAAAAACCTTGGATCTGATACATTCACAGTTGAATTGTACAAAAACTGCCAGAGAGATCTACTGCCAATACTCTTCAAGATTTTTTAATGAGGGGGCTGGGGATTTAGCTCAGCGGCATAAGCGCCTGCCTTGCAAGCAGGCAGTTGTGAGTTCGATCCCCAGTACCGATAAAAAAGGAAAAAGACAAAAAAAAAAAAAAAAAAAAAAAAAAAAAAAAAGATTTTTTAATGAAATTGAGGTGGAAGGAGTACTTCCAAAATCCTTCTCAGAAACTATAGCTATCTTGATCCCCAAACCAGACAAAGTCAGGTGTGGTGGCACATGCCTTTAATTGCAGCACTCAGGAAGCTGGGGCAGCAGGATTGCTGTGAGTTAAAGGTCAACCTGGGCTACATAGTGCATTCAAAATCAGCCTGGACTATACACCAAATATTGTATCAAAAAAGTAAAAAAACAAAGCAACAAACAAACAAACCAGACAAGGATCTCACCAAAAAAAGAGAACTATGGGACAATTTCTCTAATGTACATAGATGCAAAAATCCTTAAAAAAATATTGGCAAACTGAATGTGACAAATCATCAAGAAGATCCTACACCATTACTAAAATTTCATTCAGGAATGCAACAGGATGTCTTTTGTGGTTCTCTATTTTTAAAAGTCTGTAACTTTCCAGTTTGGTGCTACTTATTTGGTCCTGAGCTCAGTTAATTAAATTCCAAATTTATCAGTTTGGCTTCTTGGATTCCTATATTGTTCACAAACCCACCTCAGAAAGATCTCTGTAGTAAAAATTACATCATTCTGAAAAAATAAATCAAGGAGGAAAATATTTCCTATTTATGGATGGACAGAACCAACATATTCAAAATGGCTATATCTCCAAAATTTATACACAGATTTAATGCAAGTTCATGTCTCACAGAGGTAGAGAAAACAATCCTAAGACTTATATGGAATCAAAAGAGATCCAGAATAGCAAAAGCAAGTGTGGGTAACAAAAGCAAACCAGATGACATTACAACCTCAAACTTGAAGTTACATTATAAAACTATAGTGCTTAAAACAGCATGGAAATGGCACAAAATCAGGCATGTGGATCAGTGTAACAGAAGAAAAGTAGCAGAAAAAACATACAGCTATTTGATCTTTGACAAAGGGCCAAAAAATACCCTGGAGGAAACATAGCCTGTTGATAAATGGTGCTGGGAAAATTGAATATCCACATGCAGAAGATTGAATGTAGAACTGCATGTATTTTTTTTTTTTTGTACCAGGGATTGAACTCATGACCTTGCACTTGTCAGGCAGGCATTTATGCCACTGAGCTAAATCCCTAGCCCCAAGAACTACATGTCTTACCATGTACAATTTTCCTGCCCCAGTCTTCTAAGCGCTGAGACTACAGGCTTGTGTCGTCAGTCCCAGCTCCTAGATGTGATGATATGTGAGTTGAATTTCTGAATAAAAATCAGGTGTTGTGTGTAGCTTCTTTTCCTGCCTTTCAGATTTATTGATAAAGGTTGGAGTAGCCATGTATCAGGAGCAAGGATGCTTACCCTGGGCATGAGCAACAGATTTCTCTATGACCAGTGGAGTCACCTAGAAAACAAACAAACAAACAAACAAACAACAACAGCCTTAGCAAAGAGGGAGACTGGCCTCCAAACAGAACTTGGTAACACAACATTCCAGCTTGATTTATTCTGTAAGAAGGAGAAAAATGCCAGGCATCCTGTATGTCCAGGTCTTTATGGTCCTAAACCAAGACCCAAAATTAGGTGGAACTTGTACACCTGTTATGTGGCCACGTGCAGATGAAACCCACGAGAACAGAACCAGGCCCCGAAGAAGGTAAACTCTCGAGTGCCACACACCTAGCAGCCCAGAGGCCTGCAGCACCAGTAGCATGTCAGGAGAGGCTTCAATTACTTGGAGGAAGGATCAGAATCTAGTTCAGCGGCTTCTTCTGTTCCATTTTCTCCCAGGGATTCTTCTCCCATCTCACTTCTTTATCAATCTGTCTCTCCCTCATTTCCAAAGGAATCCAGCCCAGCTGGTATAACAAGAATGGGCACTGCTTGTCATAGGATTGACTCTAAACTGCATAATTTACGTCTGCTTTGAGAGGTCTAAAAGGGAACAGGGTGCTATGAGATGTTCCCTTCTGCATCGACGATCCGGACAGAGCAAAGAATTGGAGAAGTGCTTTGGAAGACACAGATTCATAGGTAAGTTCCAGACTCTGACTGTAATTTATGATGTAACTTGAACCAAACAAATGCTACCGTGTTCCACCTGCTGCACCCTTGGTGAAAAAACCCACATATGGGCGAAAACGCAAGCTAAGGCTGATGAGTGCTGAACAGTGCTAAGATGTGGCTGTATCCACCCAGGCTCCTGATTGGTAAATATCACATTGGATGTTAGAGTCATAGTACATGCGATGATACAATTATTTTTCTTATTGAGGGATTCAGTTATAAAATCACTCAAGACAAAAAGTGGTGTTACCTTATTTTTGGAACACTGAACTAAAATCCTTCACAGATGTATTAATTGGCAGGTTTTTAGTCATATAAATCTGCCAGTCATCATGGCAGAGTTCCAACATTACCATATTGGAGATCATAGAAAGACACCTTATCAGGGCTGGGGATTTAGTTCAGCAGCATAAAAACCTGCTTGGCAAGTGCAAGGTTGGGAGTTCAATCCCCAGTAACAAAAAAAAAAAAAAAAAAAAAAAAAGACATCAGTCTTCTTCCTCTGATGCTCCAGACCCAAAATTGACTTCTTGCCTTTCCTTCCTACTTGCACCAAAGACACACCTATCCCTAGATAAAACATCACTCGTGCTCCACCCTCACCAGCTAATTTAGCACCACCCAATGAGAGTCTTTATAAGCAGCCTCTGCTCTTTGTCTAGGAAGAGAGGCTCTGCATTCCTCCACAGTCTCTCCCGTGCCCCTCATTAAAGGCCTCTTCATACTTTGTCACCTTATCTCTCCTGCACTGCTTTAGATTGAGTGCCAAAAAATACTCAATCACTAATGTGTATTTATTCTCACAGGCAGCATAAATTTTACTGGGAATACATCTTCTTAACCTGTCTGCCCCAGACATTTGTAGAAAGCTTCAAAATAGGTTATGGGGTCTTAGATCTGCACTAATGAACTGTTAAATTTGACCTTCGAGATCTCCAGCAACAGGACCAAAATGGTATCAACTTCCAGGGCCCAGGGAAACAACTGCAGGTACAATTAATTGCTGGACTGTTAGCTAAGGAATGAGCCCTGCCTGCTCAGAGAAACCTGAAGACTCCAGATGCAGAGGAAGAGACTATGAAGCCAGACAGTTGTCAGTGCTGTGGAGAACCTGGACATTGGTGTAAGGTGGTGGGCAATGCCCTGTCTCTCGTAGGTGCCACCTCCACGGGGAGGAAAGCACTGGTAAGGAGACTGCCTCGCCTCGAAAGGGATGGCAACCACTGGCTTCCATCTTGTCTGCCCTGAAGATTAAAGATGCCCAAGCTTTCTGAAAGCCCTGCAGGACAGAGTGGGTATCCCTTTGGAAGGGCCTCACGTAACTCTTACTGTGGTACCTAAAAATTAATTTTCTTTTAGACAATAAAGCTTCATTTTCTGCATTACTCAAATCTGGACCCCTTTCAGTAAGAACTGTGTCATGACTGGTGTTGATGGTGTCCTAAGGGCAAATGCCTGAAGATCTGGAGAGCTGATTTTTACTTAAACTTTCCTACTTTCCCTGAAATGTCCTACTGATATAAGGGAACAAAACTCCCAACCTATTAGATGTCCAGTACAGTTCATGTTCTCTAAAATCAAAGAATGAATTTAGACACAGTGGAGGTTAATAGTGATAGGATTATTTCCAAAAGATGAGAAGTATAAAACAAAAAAGCGGCTTTTATTCTGAGAACACGGAGAGCGATGACCACACCCCCCACCACTGGAGTCCAGCAATCTCTCCAGCAGACACGTGGCGTGGGGGGTATGTAAGTAGCCTTGGTTTGGGGTGGAACCTAAGGGGGCATTAGGGATGCACAGGTAGCCCATTGGTCCTAGGTTTGGCGCCATAGGTAAATTTCCAGGGGCAGGAAGATGGCATCACAGGTAAATTGCTAGGGGCGGTGGAGATAGGGGCTTCCTGCTCCTGGTTGAGGCTTTCCTGGCTACAGTGTCTTGTCTAGCCCCAAACCCTTTCATATCCCATCTTATGATTATTATTATGAAAAGGGGCAAAGATTTCTCTCTTTAACTACTTCCTGCTGACAGAGGGTGCTGTACTGAAGCCTAGGGGAGTCGACGGGATGATGGTTGATGCCCAGGTAGACGCTGGTGCCAGGTGTTTTAGCCAGGACAACTTCACTGGTGAATGCATGTGTTAGACTGGAAAAACAAAGGGACAAGATGTTATGAGGAGGCATAGCACTGTCATATTTAAGGACCCAGTTAGAGGGAAATGTGCCTTTGATTTAGACATGTTCCATGGTAAGGCAGAATTCTGAAAATTAAATGTGGGATTAGAAGGAGTGAAGTTATGAGAGGTGATTACTCCCACCTGAAATCATAAAAGTTAAGAGGTAGGTCGGTAAGGCTTGTCTCTGGTATGCATGACGTTGGAGTCTGTAGGCAATACTGTTAAAGAGTCCTTCTGTAAAAATGATCATTAATAGAATGTAAGGAATTAGGAACCAAAGTGGATAACAAAACATGACTTAGCCTGTTAACTGTGGCTGCGAGGCCTTTGTGAGACGGAGACGGGTGGGCGACAGAAGATGAGATGACCACTCAGAATGATCAGATTTAAGGCTGGGAGGGCACCTCTTAGCCTGAGTGATGTGAAACCAGGATGGCAGTCTAGCAACTTTGATTTAGGTATGGGTCGCTGTAACCTGGGTGTATCAGCAGTTTATCCGGTTGTGGGAAAGGCTTTTATGTATCCTGAAAAAGTATAAACAAAGTGAGAAGACAAAATTTATCTGTCAGTCTTGACCAGGGTTGTCTGACAAATTGGTGAATAAGAAAGGAAGGGGGTGATCTTATATCACTGAGGAGAGGTCCACCAGTGACAACAGGTGGAAGCTGCCAAGGCCTCAGTGTATCTAAGTGAGTCTGCATAAACACAAGGGAGTGAAAGCATTTTAAGATTTAGGACTGGGACCTGCACAAAATAGGCCCTGTTTATAAATGGCATAGGTTGACCATCAATACCCCATCAGAGATTGAGGACTTAATACAGCAGCCTGAAAACTCAGGAAGAACTCGGTATATATGGCCTCTATGTCCACAAATATAGAGAATTGTCTTACCTGAGACTTTAGTGTGACTTGGACTCTGAGATGGATACCCACAAAGGAGGCTGTTGTTGGCCTTAGCCCCTCTCAGTCTTTGGCAACAATTTTTGTTGGCGATAAATCTGGCAGTGTCAACATTTCCTGTGAGGGCTAGAAGTTAGGATGGCTTACCCACTCTCTGGTGGCTAGGACAGTCCAGCAGCTCTGGAGTAAGGTCTCAAAGAACACCAGGATGGGGCATTTTGTTGCCCAATGTTTTCTGCTGCATTTGAGCGTGGTTCATAGGGGGCCAGGCAGCTTCACCTTGTGTAGGTTTGCCTGCCTCAGAACTCCAAGTGTCAAAAGTGTTAAAAATATGAAAAACCATATTAAGGTCTCTCTAAGGTTTGAAGGTCAAGTTTTGCCCTTTTGTTTGGGATTTGGACTACAGTAGAATTAAGTAAGTATGCAGGAATTTAATATTGGCATTTTAGATTAGAGAGCAGGCTTTATCTGGATGGTGTACCGCTTTTTTCAGGGTGCCATGTGGCAGGCCATTGTTTTACTGAAATTACATACTGTCATGGTTTATGTCTGTGTCCCCCAGCCCTCAAGAGTTTGAATTGTGCATTTGTTATTCATTCATTGTCTAGTGCTTGGGTTGATTGTGTCAGTGCTCCACCCACATAGGGGTGGAGGCAGGATGTGATGTAATGGCAGGAAGAAGGTGTGTCTTTCTCTTTGCTGGTTCGAGCTTGCTGTTTGCAGCTGCCATGAACGGCGGTCCAGCCATGCCCGCCTGTCTTGGAGCCAACTGAGTGTGGACTGAAACCTCCAAAAACTGTAAGAAATAAACCTTTCCTTTCCCAACTTTGGGCTTCAGGTATTTTGTCTCAGCAACGAGTAAAAAGTAACTAAGACACATACTTGACAAAAAAGGCTTTAGTCTGCCCAAAAAGGCTTCAGTCTGCCCTCTCTCTTTTGGAGTATAATCTCATCTTAATGGAAACATTTAGCAGTAAAGATTTACCAATCTTATGAATAGTTTTACCAAAACTGATCTAATATTTTCAAATTCTGAACACATTTATTTGTTTTTAAACCTAAACAGCAGATTGGCAACAACAGGGTATAATGCAGGCAATAAGCTCAACATATAACAGTAGTGGTGGTCTACATCAAAAGGAATTGATAAATATCTTTTAATTTTAGTTGTTAAAACAGGAGATTAGTGAAGGCCTTGATTGATAAACAAGGCTGGTAAAATTACCAGGTGGCCAGTAACCTTGATTAAATGGTTTGAGAATTGTGATAAAAAAGCATCTCTTGAGCGGAGCCGAATTGTAAAAAAGCATGCCTGAGTGGAGCCGCTGAGCAGCTATTTTGCACCACGCCGGCAGAGCATGCCCAGCATGGGGGTGGGGCAAGCGTCAGGACTTAGCATGCAGGGGCAGGCAGAAAGGTGTAAGGCGGCAGTGACGACAGCGCACAGGGTAGGGAGGGGCTGGGATGGCACATGGGGGAGGGGCTGGGAGGCGGCCCCATGCAGCACGCAAAGCTGGAACTGCTCGAGGGGCACGAGGATTAGAAAGCTGATTTAGGAACACAGCTGGGTTTTTATTGGCCTCCTGGACCTGTTTTAAAAGTTTGTTATAGTTAGTATGCTTGTCCTGCTCTGGCACAGCTATAGGCCCAGGGTCATTATCAGTGGTGTTTACCTTATGTCTGTGATCAGCTTCTTTTTGAGCTGCTTGCCACAGCTGATTTCGCTCTTGTGAGCTGAGAGTGGTATTTAAAATCACATAAACATCCTTAAAATGTAAATCATAACAATTAGTAATAAATTTAAATTGCCTGATATAATTCTGTGGGTCAACAGAGAAGCTACCTTATTTATGGGTAATCTGAGATAGATCAGAAAGGGAAAAAGGCACATGGATGTTAACAAGTCCCTTGGGGCCAGCTTGCTCCCAAAGTGGTAGCAGAGCTTGAGGAGAAGAATGAGGAGTAGAGGGCCACTGAGCAGCTATCCGTCCGGTAGATGCATGTGATCAATCATCTGTAGAGCAGCTACAGAGCTGCTGCCAGTCACCCTGGGAAACACAGGCAAATGGTGTCTCACTGTGTGCCTTGCAGCCAGAGGATTGTTGTCAGCAGCACAATGAAGTGTCATGTGCACTGCAACAGGGCAGCTGTTGCAGTTCACAAGAGGAGCCACAAGGGGGTGCCCATTGACAGTGAGACCCGTGCGAACATGGCGGCGCCCGGCCACATGGCGGAGGGTTGCAACATGGAGACTGTTCCTGGTGCAAGCCGGGGCAATCGTGCGGCTTGCCGGAAGGGCACAACGACCAAGATTGGGTATGGTGGGCAGGTGGCAAGAATGCTGTAGAGATCAGAGAATTATCAGGAGAAAGAGTCGGAGACTTTGAGGAAGCGCTAACAGAGTGACTAGAGTTGCTGGGAGAGTTATGGGTCCCAGAAGGCGGAGGGGAAGACGATCCCACAGCGGGAGATAATGGTGAGGAACCATTTTGGGGGTAGGGAGGTAGCGGCCAGGAAAACACCGGAGGGTAGGACGGAAGTTTGTGGTGTGGTAGATTTAGCTAAAAGTATCTGAGCAGGAGCACAAGACTTAATGAGAGATGGGCGTGTTCTCAGAATAAGAAAGGCCTGAATATAAGGGAGTTCTAATAACTTGTCACTGGCCTGACAGAAATCATACAAGTTTCTGAGAATGCAGGGGTCAAATGTTCTTTCCTTGGGCCAACGCTTGCCGATAAGCAGGTAGGTTGGCCAGACCTCCTGGCAGTAAAAAGTTAATTGTTTAGTTTTTATGGTACTTTTAATTTTTAGAGTACGTAAGTTGGAAATTAGGCATTGTAAAGGCGTCTTTTGGGAGTTAGAAAATACGTTTCCATGACTGATTCAGGCAAGAAATAAGCCGTGGTCTGGAATAAGCCGTCACTTGTTTGTGGCAGCATACGGCGGCTAAGGTTCTAAAAACTCGTATATTCCAGTCGTCACTGAGAGATTTACGAGTGGAGTTCACGTGGGGTCAGTAACAGTTTTGCCTGTGAAAGCACGAGGCTTTAAGGGAAGTGAGGGTCTTTCAGTGTGGGCGGTCCAAAAATCTCTGCTTTGGGCTATCAGAACCCAAAGAATGTGAGAGATTTTAGAGTGTGGACACAGGTTTGCCCAGAAATAACCCTGCCCTGGGCTGTCCTAAGGACGTGAAAATGCACAGACCCACACGAACAGGGAAAACAGTCCACTGGGGCTGCCCAGTGCCAAGAGTTCCCTGGGGAGTGCTCACCTGAAATCAATCTGGCCGATGGTGAGTGTAGGTGGCTGGCAAC